TCACTGTGAATAGTGTTTCCATATTGTTTAGCTGGCACAAAAACTTCGGACGAGTTATAAAGCTGCATAGTTATCTTCCATGAAGAAAAGTTCGTCTTGGGTGAGACAAACAGAACTGGAGCGAATTTTTAACTCGCATCGGTATCGGGCAGTTATCGGGTAAAAAATATGTTATCGATCGTTGCATCTATTTACATTTTTTGAAGTGCGTGCTGGTGAACGCAACATGCGAGCGAGAAATCTTTAAACTTTTTTAGGTGTCAAAATGCAAAGGATTTTATTCCTTAAGTTAGACAAAAATACCATGAGGGAAATCTTAAAACTGAATATTTTTCTTCTTGTGGAAAAAATAGTGCGTTTTCTTGTAGACTGTGGACCGCAAATTAGGATCGCACTTTTCACAAACATGCGAATTCTGAAGTTCAGAAGCCAACGGGCGATTGCGTTTTACGCTGCTGTTAATCATCTTAACGGACCTCTTAGGAAACAAAACTTTACTTCACGGGTTCGAAAGGTCATGGTTTGTGATTTGTGGATTTCGATCCGTTTTGTTTGTTTCTCTGTTTCAAGGTTCGTTGCTTGTGATCGTAGTTATGATTGACGGCAGCGATAAACACAATTGTGAAGGTGGCTTTTGAACTTTAGAGTTCGCATGTTTGTGAAAAGTGCAGTAAAGTCTCCGTGCAGTCAGTGAGGCCCCTGGATCAGGCGGGATCAATGGGCAGTTAACTGTCTGTTTTAGTGTACTTCTGGTTTTCATACAATACAATATTTCTGTCTAGTGTAAATCAGCTCATTATACTCGTAGAACGACAACAATTTTTGGAATTTCCAGTTACGTCAAATTAGTTCACGTTATACTGTCACGCTATATTTTGGGGCACAGAGGGATTAGGGGAGGGGTACGTGGAAAAAATGCAAATTGTTTCCTGCTTAGAATTAATGGCTAACTTGTCTATTTTTATTCATAATGGCGGAATTTAAAAGTTATTATACAGCCCCCACTTAAAAATGGTACTCTTTTTTTTTTGGTTACGAAAGTCTTTCAAAAGGGTACAATGTTCTGAATTAGTTTATGTTTCAGTCTCACATTGGGTTCTGTCACATGCAATGGTTGCCGACAAGGTTTTATGGTAGCCTGGGTGTGTATAGCCGCCCCCTCCCCTCAGAAAAAATAGCCCCTTGTCAGCCCAGTTAAAAATCGCCTTTCGACGATTCTTGTTATTATTATTTTCCTGCTTCCTATTAGTAGGTAGTTTTTTTTAAACAGATTACTGCCTCAGTAACATATTTTTAGCTGTTTACTGTCCACAACTATAGCCCCGGATATCCTCCCAATGCCAAAATTTTCGGAGGTCAAGATATAAATAAAACGCTTTGGTCCAGGTGAAAATTTTTCAGAAAAAGAGGTCAACGTCCGGAGGTTCTGTCTGATCGAACTTTATCGTTTCACTTCCAAAAATTATCGTTTCCACTCCCACTTCGAAACATAGATGCAACTCTTCGATACGGTTGGAAACTTTCGCCCGACTTAATTTGATTTTACAGAACATCCCAGTTCACCGCTGTGGCTGTTGTATTTATTTTCCTTGTAAGGTCAAACATGGGTGTAGTTAAGGTGACTCGATCCAGTTTTTTTGGGGGGTACCATCCTACTTTGAAGCTCTCTGGTATCCCCATCTTTACTTTTATCGTAAGTCTAACACATAGAATGGATAGCATATAGATCAATCTACAATATAACATAAAATTTTTGGCGATCGGAGTAAATGTCACGTGGTTATAATGCCACGCCTCTTTGAGGTCTGAGTCGAAAATCTGCTGTTGCCGGCATTTTTTCGTGAAAATCTCTCGGCTACACGTAGTGCGCATTAGTGCCTTGCGCTGAACACAGTTTCACCAAAGTCGCAAAGACCCAATTCGAGAAATTCAGCGGTTTCCAAATTTAGGTCATAATTTATGCGAAAATGAAAAGCCAGCTTAACAAGATTATATCTAATAAACTATGAGATGTATCCCTTGATTTTGGGGATCTTTAAAACAGATGGGTCCTTGCAAGTCAGCAAAAAACTTTAGGGCCTTGTATATGCGCGCGAGTTCGAGCAATGCAAACATATACAAATTATAGTTTTAGCTAGTTGTTGACGTTTGTCAGCGTTTAAGAGTCCTTCTCACGAAAAAAGCATTTTCTTAAAAATTCGTAGTTTTTTTTCCTTCAATGCAAACATATACAAATTATAGTTTTAGCTAGTTGTTGACGTTTGTCAGCGTTTAAGAGTCCTTCTCACGAAAAAAGCATTTTCTTAAAAAATACGTAGTTTTTTTTCCTTCAAATTTTTTCAGGACCACTGTTGATTAACTAACTACCCGGATTCTGAATTTCATGATCATTGAAAAACTGTGACATTATCTTCTATAAGCCAAAACTTGAGTAAACATTGAAGATTTTTAGCGTTTTGGCTGAGTTTGTGCTTTGAGAGTTTTCTATTGTTTCTAGTCTGTCATGATACAACATTCTTGTTCAGCACTAGCCTGAGATCATGCCTTCTCCCTATTATCCCTTTATGTCTCGAGCCAAAGAAGGTGAAAAAAATAATAATAACGCCTGATGTCAGGTTAGTTCAGCACGCATGCAATGACCGCGCTTGGCTGACTTCCGAATGCTCACTGAGAATGATAATTTTGGTACGGTGAGACAGGCGATGGCGCGATACGTAGATGTTTAACTCAGGATTTTTAATCAATTCTCGTGCTTCTTGTGCCTTTACAAAAAAATCAAGAAATGCTACACACTAAATCTACTTACCATTAAAAAATATCATTTTTACATAGGTTTAATGCAAGCCAATAATTAAACCAACTCATTACTTATCCTTTTATCTGGTAGTGAAAAAATTAATTACACTTGTAAGCACTGTCAGTTTTTTTGTGACTCTTGGTTTCGCTCTAGAATCTTTCTTGCTCGTCTTGCTTAGAGGTAATGCTAAAATTGTTAGCAAAGCCCTTGTACCTCCTTCAGTATACAAAGCGCTGAGGTTGTTGATGTCTTAGACGTTACGTGACGGGAATCCCTTCTATTTTCTCATACAAAATTATCATACCTCGGTGAACATTCGGAAGTCAGCCAAGCACGGTCATTGCACGCGTGCTGAACAAGAATGTTGTATCATGACAGACTAGAAACAATAGAAAACTCCCAAAGCACAAACTCAGCCAAAACGCTAAAAATCTTCAATGTTTACTCAAGTTTGGGCTTATAGAAGATAATGTCACAGTTTTTCAATGATCATGAAATTCAGAATTCGGGTAGTCAGTTGATCAATTGTGGCCCTGAAAAAATTTGAAGGAAAAAAAACTACGAATTTTTTAGAAAATGCTTTTTTCGTGAGAAGGACTCTTGAACGCTGACAAACGCCAACAACTAGCTAAAACTATAATTTGTGTATGTTTGCATTGCTCGAAATCGCGCGCATTTACAAGGCCCTAAAGTTTTTTGCTGACTTGCAAGGACCCATCTGATCCCCAAAATCAAGGGATACATCTCACAGTTTATTAGATATAATCGTGTAAAGTTGGCTTTTCATTTTCGCATAAATTATGACCTAAATTTGGAAACCGCTGAATTTCTCGAATTGGGTCTTTGCGATTTTGGTGAAACTCTGTTCAGCGCAAGGCACTAATGCGCACTATGAGAAGCCGAGAGATTTTCACGAAAAAATGCCGGCAACAGCAGATTTTCGACTCAGACCTCAAAGGGGCGTGGCATTATAACCACGTGACATTTACTCCGATCGCCAAAAATTTTATGTTTTATTGTAGATTGATCTATATGTTATCCATTCTATGTGTTAGACTTACGATAAAAGTAAATATGGGGATACCAGAGAGCTTCAAAGTAGGATGGTGCCCCCCCCCCCCAAACAAAAAAAAAATGGGTCGAGTCACCTTAAAAGTTATACACCAATCACAGGTGCCTTAATTGAAAGATATTGTAAATGCAAGTTATTGGTTAATTTGCAGCAGCAGCCATTTATAGACTAAAATATAGATACAGCACGTGATTTAGGCTCTCAAGTTTATTAAACTTCCTAGCAACCCTTTACATTATTTACACTACTACTAAACAATATATTAAATAGCTCTCCACGCTTAAGGATACGCTATGATACACATAATCTTAAACTTGCTTGCATTTATTCTTACTGTGCCAATTAATTTTACTTAGAGGAACAAGAATGATCATAAAAGAAAGTTTCTATCGGCTGATGATTGAGTGAATCAGTTTTCTACTAACACAAGTATAAAACTTAAACAACAAGAGTCTAGTCCCAATCTGCACTGAGAAGAAACCCTTTTGAAGTGGAAATCCGTATCTAGTCGTTGCCGTTGGTATGGGTTTGAAATGTTACGGAATTTACAGTGTAGCTATGCAATAAGCTATAAAGATTATCCCAGCTGGTTTATTATCATTCACACCAATTTGTGCATTCAGTCAGTAAGGTGATTAAGCCATGAATCAAAGCCAATATGGCTTGCTACGTGTATCAGTCAGAGAAACCTACCTGGCCTCACTTTTCCTAATTTTATTAAGCTATAACACGATACTTATGATATGTAAGCTAAGAATGTGATGTTGTAATAAACTTTTCTTTCTTTTTTAAAGCAGTGTTAACTCCAAAACTGTATTTCAAACTAACTGTTACCTTTGGATAATAAAAAATTTATGTGACTATCAACCACAAAATTAATAAATACACTTTGCACGGATTGTCCTAAGGTCCCTTTGGGACACAATTTTAGGGTTCATAGTTGTTATTGGCTACTTTCTCTTGAAAACTAATGGAATGGAATGCTTTACAGCCTCTGTTAACAAAGACCAAAGCCAAATGGGTATATAGCCAAGTGATCATAACATAATTTGAAAAAAAAAAAACAACAACAAATTAAAACAAATAAATAGCTGCACACTGACTTGAAACATGTCATGATTGAACAAAAAAAAAACAACAATCAAGAAAAAAACACGTTTACTAATGTGAATGTCAAACTCAGCATAATTACATTTGTCAATAACTTAAAAACTTCACTGCACTTGGTAACAAATAAATGTTGCTACCAACAAAGAAATTCTTTGATGAACCCAAGAGCATGTGAACACCATTTACTTGAATAATTTGCAGCCCCTCGACAAGTGACAACATCAGAAAGCACTCATGGCTCTGGATCCTCAGCATGTAAAATCAACCTGCCGTTGATAAACCAGAGATAGGTTACTGTGGCTTCATTTTATGGCAAGTATCCTTTGGTTTTATGTGCAAGATGCTACTTTCGGATTTTTTTTCATGTCTTTATCTAGGCTTTAATACTTGACATCCAAAGCTGTATCCTAGTTAGTTTGCAGGAGAGACAATTGACTGCAGTTGAGGAGGATTTGAAGATTGCGACGAAGTCACTTCAGATTTTTTTAGCTTTTGCCATGTGTCACCAAGAGCTTTAGCAAAGTGGTCATCAACTGAACCAGCAGATGGGCTAACACACTTGTAATCCTCACCGAGACTACGACGAAAATGTTCTTCAACGAAAGGGTCAATCATTCCAGATTCAACCACCTCACGTCTGTGAGGACCTGGATAGCAAAACATGTCTGTTGGACCACATAGGTGTGGTGGTGCCATAAAACCAACTGGTCTTTGAATAATGTTTGTAGAGGTTATCACAGACGGCCTTGAGTGTGATGGAACCTGAGAATGTAGATATCCAGCCTCTTCTGATCTTGGAACAATTGAAATGAGGGGAGGAGGACCTGACTCAATTCTTGACTTTGTTGTGGGTGCTGGGTTTAATGGTGACCTACAAAATAATGATTTTTAAACAACATTAATATTGGGAGGCTGCAATGTTACACACCATGAATGAAAGTTCAGTTCAGTTGTCCTAGAGAAAAATCTGGGTAATTGTGAAGCTACCTAAAATTACAGAACAAAGTGAGTGAAACTGGGCACTATTTGTCATACTTCAACTACTCCTTGCATAATTATACATCTAACCAAAAAATAAACTTATGACTATAAAATATACAAACAATATAGAATAGTCCAAACATTAATAAAAAGCCTGCAACGCAGTGCAACCTATAGGAGAAATATATGGAAAGTCTTAATCCATTAAATAAATCAGCTCTAACAAAGTGTTCCCAGCATCCTTTTTGAGTAGGATTGCTGTTAGTTTACCTTAATCATTGAAAGGGTTCTCTGAAATCTGGTGTTGTTCAGATACATGTATTAACTACATTAACCAGTAGCTCTTAATAATCTTGAGGATTGAGGAATGACAAAAAGGATAAGAAAAATAATGATATCATGACTCTCTGCTTTTACTGTCTCCGCTTCTAGTTTCAATTGATATTCACCAATCACAGAAATCCAAAAAGAAAATCATCCGTCACAGGTTATGAAAATAATAAATCATGTACCACCCTGCTACACAGCTGTACGTCCAATCACACCTTACGTGGCTAATAGTTAATAGTGGTTAATAGTTTCTTCCGCGAATAATCAAGTTCAGTTAAAAGCTCTTATTTCAATTGATTAATAATAAGAGTTGCTGAGATTGAGAGAAGGTGAGTTTTTTTCCATTGAATCAGTGATCAGGCCCACGTGTTTACATGTGAAACACTTGACTAAATAATCTTACTGCAAATGTTGCTGTTTTGATTTAGCTTGTACAAGTTTCCTTCAAGACCGGCACCTTTTCTGTGACAAACTATTTATTCTTGTGTGGGGAAATGTAAGCATTTGTTTGTTTGTTTTCCATTCAGAACACAAGGTTGTGATTGAGTAGAAAAAGGAGAACATGAATGGTCAGTATTAGCTGGGCTTGTAAGTCATGTAAACTTACTTGCTTTTCTGAGAAATGTTCTTTAATTTATCAAGTTTAATATTGCTACAAGGTTGAAAAGAAATTACCTTCCTGGTTTGTTCTGTGTGAAAAACAAAATTATTACAGGAACCGCAGAGCATAGGGGCTGGCTGGGCTATAGCCCCACTAATAATTTTGCTGGATTTTTTTGCATTTAAAAAGTACTTCTAATCTTTGTATTAAAAACAATGTACCCATTACGGTACATTGCCCAGTATCCGGGTGCCACTTCAGTTTAACATTACAATAACTTTCCTTTCTTAGTCACAAGAATTCTCAAATTTGGCCCAGAGACAATCTATTTGGTCCTTACATACATATATACATACATACGTACATACGTCTGTACATACAAACATGCATACATGCTTTATTGAACACTTCCCTTTGGGGGCTTTTCAGCATCAATTAAAAAAATGAATTCAAAAATATAATAAAGTAAAAAGATTGACAATACATGTTACCCGTATTTAAAGATTACAAATTATTTCAACCATCATCCCCTCCCCCCATATATAACAATCCTCCCTCTTAAACCCAGCCCCCTTGACAGTTACTGTGAAATTATTAATTATTGTTAATAATTATTCTGCGCCAGCAGAGCACCATAGGTAAGAAAATGAAGTAATCTACCCATCCGAGAAAATTTGGTAATCACGTGACTGTACACCGACCGACCGCCTGCACGAGCGACCATCCATCTGCACCAAAGGCATCCCAATGTAAAATAACTCAATCAACAGGTATGGCAACCCAAATGCAACTTGAGGTTATTTTGGAGGGAAATCGCATTGGCACCGACGTCTTGTAAAGCAGAGACAACTAAAGAGTCAATAAAGATGAAAACGGAAAGCGGAAATTGTTCCTGTATCCATGTTGTCTAAAGTAGTTAGTTTAGATTAATTGCCACGTCCACAAATTTGGAATATAGAGCATGAGGAAGACTGAGAAAAAGAGAAAGCAGGCGGCAGGCCAGCGAAGCTCAACGAGGAAAAGGGCGACAGAGGTCTAGAGCGAGAGATGAAAAACAAAGAAGACATTTTTTGTTGGAAGAACAACATGAAAATTTCGTAGCGGCAGTGACAAAATGGGAAATGTAGGTTGAGTTTCATCGTCTAGGTGAACATAGTCCTGAATAGCACTGTTGTTGTTGACAGTGACTGACGTTTCGACAACCTGTGCGGTAGTCATCTTCAGAGTCAAAGTGAGTTGTATCACGTCAGTTGATAGTGTTATACTCTGGTTATTGATCTGATTGGTCAATTACGTCGCGACGTTATTGGTCATCTGTCATTTAAGCCGTGATGTTATTTGCGCGGAAGACTCGTAATCAGTAATTGGTGCATTTCGATCAGTCTATTGTCACAGTTAAACAGTCGTCTATTGTTAGTCAAATTGTCAGTTCTCCAGTCGTTCTCTCGTAGTTAGTTTTGCTTGATCTTGTCTATAAGTTTGTACAGCGCTGGTAACTGTTGGCTATGATTCAGTGGTGTTTGTTCTAAGTTAGTAAACCAGCTTTCTAAAGTAAGACGTTGATAGTAGTCTGTAGAGTACGTTATACATGTCGCAGAGTCCCAATCAATTTGATGTTTCATCTGTAAGTGGTGCTCAGCAATGTGATTGTTGACGTCACCATTCCTCATCGCTTGTTTGTGTTTGTTTAGTTGCATGCTAAGGTTTCTGCCGCTTTTAACGAATTTAAGAAGCCTGGCAGTCCCAGCATTTGATCTTGTATACTGCTCCCTGTCTGTCCTCCGGTTTGTCTTTGACATTAGTAAGACATTAGTTTGCCTCCTTGACATTAGTAAGCAGTCGTCATAAAGTGGTTATCAGTTTGTGTTCAACACGTATATTGTAAGGTTGTAATATACGTGCAATAGTCTCCGAGGTGCTTCTGATGTACGGTATAGTCGCTGTCGTAACAGGGCCAGGGTTGACATTGGTCTGAGTGTTGGATTCAGTGTTACTGTGAGTGTTCCATCTAACAAAGTCCGTGTTGTAATTGTTCTTACTAAAAACGTTGTTAAGATAATCAGTCTTGTCTTGTAGAGATCAAACTCAACCTACTTTTGAAATGACTCCTGGGTTCAAACCTTTCACAAAGTGGGAAATGCTGGCGGCCACCAATGCAAGATGAAAATGAGCGGCAGTGAAAAAAAAGTGAACGAGAACACGTACAACATTTCCTCCATAAAACATGTAACTAAGAAGTTTCTGGAAGTTTCACGTTCTAGTCATGCAAATCAGTGGCAAAGAAATGTACAGGGAAAGCATGCTGCAAGTGCAAATTTGCTTTTTTTGCTAATTAGACTTATTGTTGTTTTTCACCACTCTCCAGCATTGCCTTCGCTGCTTAGCATTACACAATTTTATATTGTGTTTAAACAAACTATAAATATTATCGAGAGCTTCGCTTTTAGCCCTGGCTAATAATCTATAATATTATTCTTAATGCATGTTTCTCAGTTAAAATATGATTTTTGAATTGGGTCACATGAGTCAACAGGTCACTTAGGGACAATAGTCCAAATAAGTTACATATATGCAGGGTTATGTTAAGTTTTCAACTTGAAGATTATTATGGGCCCTCAACTCTGGATCAACCCATGAAAAGCATATTTTAGCTACACAATGTCACTTTTCCATGTACATTGTAATGAAGACATTCTAGCCTGCAGTGCAGGCGTTTTCTTTGAGCGCGCAATTTACTCGCGCCATGTTGAAACTTCCGCCGAAGAGAGGAGGAGATGGGGCTAGTCAAAGGGAGCGGGGAGGGGGCGGGGAGAGAGAAGAGAAATTGCCTGCCCGAAAACACTGTGAAGCTGAGAAACACCCCCTGATTAGACGTGCGTGACCGCTCTTCCAGAAATAAGTAGCCGACAATAACAAAACAAACAAACAGTCACTCCAGTCCAAAGACTTCGCATTGTCTTAAGAAAAACAAGCTGGAGTTTATCATTGTTTTTCTCTTGACTAAGTCACAATGCAATTCTCCACAGCTGACGAGGCTTCAGTTTAAGCTGCAATTCATTCTTCTAAATTCATCTCTGTAAATCACTATCCGTGAGAGTTTAACATCCTGCAAACAACTTAAAAAACTAACGAGCTGGGCACAGCATGATACAACATTGCAGGAAAACATCACATTCTCGGACTAGAAAGAAAATCGCTTAGTTATTCAGATCCTGAGGCACTTTGGATAAAAATAAAGAACCCAACAGTTTAGTGACAAAAAGAGTTTTACGCTGCAAAAGAGGTCAAAGAAAACGCTCTTGCAGCAGAGGGCAATCATGAAGACCAGAAATTCAAAAACCACAGAAAATCAATAAGCATGTCATGACCTCTTAGTGTGAAACAAGTGGCTAAATAAAATCACATTTGCTCAGTCAAAACATAGAACCCTCTAGCGCATAATCTACTCGCCAGAAAAAAAAAAACGTATTGGAACAAGCAGCATTTTGGCATGAGGTAAAAGTGGTGTAGGTTTTAGTACTGCGAGCAAATCTTGTCCTGATGACCAGTGTAGAAATCTCTTTGACTTTCTCATTGCGTAATACATGTGACATTCCCAGCCACTCCAATCCCAAAAGACTGACGGAAACCAGGCAAATGGAATAAACAATATAGCCTTACAGTTAATTGACAGGCATCAATCTACTTCCCTATGCCGCACCAATCAGGAGCTCCTTTTGCCAGCGTACGGAGTTTCCCAAAAGAACAATGACATCGGGCAGGCGTATTTTTGTTCTCCCCTCCCCCTCCCCTTCTTTCGTCCTCGCACCTACCGTAAGGGTTACTATTTCTACTCTCCCTAATCTTCCACTGTCATAAAATCAAAGATGGTGGCTACAACAATATTACGAACACGAACAAGGTTTCGCCCGCCCAAAATACGCCTGCACTGCAGGCTAAAGACATTCCATCTGTAGGAGTGATGCAAAAACCTAGAGGCAGCTAGAACCTACCAAATCAAATTAAAATAGAAGTGCATAATATTACCGTGAGGAGCTTTGAGATTGCACATGGTAAGTAATTTTTTTCATATTTTTCTACTTTCTACCTCAAAGCATTTTTTGATCTACAATTTACTCAAACAAGGTACTATATCACCGAGTTAACAATAATATGAAATATGTAACTTCTAGAGGCAAATTTTGCTGGGAAAGCAATCCCTTCGGAATTTGCGAAGTAATGTTAATTCGGCACCAGGAATTACAAATATACACAGAAACGAGGATCTGCCACAACTTTGCAAGCCATGCCATCTATCAAGTTATAAGCTTAACGTTTCCACATGGCACCCAAAACTTCTTGCAACGTAAGCTTGTTTTACTTCGTGTTTGCCGTGGTCTGACGCAAATAACTACTCTTATCATACATGTATACTTACGTTTGTGTCCCTGCTGTCTTCACCGATGATAGTTTTCCCAATCGACCGTCGTCAAAGTTCAAGGCCTGAGCAATGTCTCGTCTTTCCAAATTTCGCTTTCTTCGATTTTCAGCCGATGGCATAACTTTTGGAGAATCCTCGCTGGCTTCTGACTCTGAAGCTATATAAAACAATTGGTTAACTCGCTACCCACATTTCAGAACATTTGCAACACAAAGACCACGGTCAAAGGAAGAACAACGATCGTCGCAGTGTCACCTAACCTTTTTTGGTCTCGACAATGGAATTTCTCACCATTGAAAGCAAAGAAAACAAATGAAGTGCGATGGAAATTATGTCGTCTCCTTAAAAGTTGTGTTCTAAATATTGTATGATGATAGGTCAATATAATGGTCGTTTGGAAACCAAAGAATTGTAATGCTCGAAAAATTTCCATGGAATGTTAGTGATGCAAGCAACGTGCACGTTGTTTGATACTGGTTGGCTGTAAATAGGGCAACCTTAACTTAAATATTTTCGCTCAAAGCAAAACGTGCACAAAAATAAAGAAAAAACACCTACGTTTACTGAGAAAAACGCTTGTTACGATAAGAGGTCGACATATCTTTAACTACAGCAAGAGGCTAATTTTAAGCGAATAAATCTAAACCAATAGGACGTGTGCCGATGTCAACTGTGAATGCATTGTTTACAGAATAACGAGAAGATTCTCATTCCAAGCATAGCATAACTGTGATGGTTATTTACTACTTAGTAACTCATGATAAACCACATAATTCTTCAAGGTTGTGTGAGTTGCGTCAATAAATGGAAAATTTACTACTTTCATATCCTAGGTAAGGAGCACAAAGAAAAAATACTTCAATCAAAGAAAATGTGCGCGCGTTTAGTGCGAGTATCTCTGCGTGAAAATTATTACGAATGATCGAAAGTTTCCCTCTTACTGCAAATGCATAAACTTCGTAGAAGAAATAGCATCCAGACACATCGGGACTTACTTTCTCTGGTGTCTGGCTGTACTAAAGATGCTGCTCTTGATAGTACATCCAGAGGAGTCTCCATTATCTGGAAAAAAACAGAACTAAATCAGATCTGTAAACTGAACAAACACAAGTGCCCGCACAATGAACAACACTCTGAAAACCGAAAATATGACAAGAAAAGCCTACTGTACCAACCATAGTTCTCTTTCTCTGTCCGGTGGAGGGGGCAGTGATAAAATCCTTGCCCCTAAGAGCTTATTTCAGCCACTTCCATGAAATAAATAGAAACAAACATGGATTTGTGCTCAGGAATGAAAAGAATTAGACATGACGAAAACCCCGTGACCAAACGCCTCGTGTGATTGGTTAGTGGAGCGTGACAAGGGTCTCCCAAAATAGGAAAATAAGTTTTCATAATGGTAGGAAAATAAGTATTTTGTTATTCTCTCGATATTCAATATCATAGTACTATAATGCTTTTAAAAAGTAACCTATGCATGTCCTTCGGTAATTCACAATGTTTTATTCCGAGAAAATTCATATGGTGATTGAGGACTATGAAATATATGAAACCTTCAATTATTTCCGCTATTTAAGAATTCCTCTTTTTCGATCCAAGAAAAAACTAAACGTCCTCAATAAACAACGATTTCGAAATATTGAGTTTCGTATTTCCCAATTTGTGTGTACGAGGAGGATATGATCAGATGAGACATAATTTAGTGATTTTACATGACATAACACATAGATGTCTCACTGGTTCAACATGGCGGCTGTGTCTGGCGGCCAAAATGCCTTACAATTTGTACCTTTTTCAAGCGCTGTTGACGCAGCCTTTTGGCACAGACTTACTCAGAACAAGCTGGAAGTATACCAGTTAGATGATAAACCGAAACCTCTCCAAGGATATTACGTAAACAGTAAGGGGAGCTTTTGCAGCAGTTCAAATTATTTTTAAACACATAATTTTAAAAAAAATTTATCTAATATTGACTACATTTTATGTTATATCTCAAAAGTAATGATAGCTAAGACGAGCACACATTAAACGCACCCATCAATGGTTTGCCCGAGGATTTCAAATGTCAATTTCCCCATCCTTCTAAGGATCTTCAGTAGGAATGAAATTCCCTGGCACCTCTGGGGACCATAATAGTTTCATAATAATTTCAACGAACTAATGGACATTCACAACACTTAATTGCAGCCCTCAGCATCGCCAGAGAGTAGTTACTTGGTGGCAAAATAATGGTAGCTAGATATTTAGCATGGTTGGCAATTTAACACAAATTCTATACTTCTAAAATACTTGTGAACTGTTTCACACAGTATACAGCAATGCAAAAATGTGCAGTGCCAGAACATGTCATCAACAAGAGGGGTTAATGTCTAAGGGCTGATGTAATTGAGGTCCAGAATTTCATTTAATTTGGCATTTTGAGTATAGTAACAAATCTAACTCAGAATTACAGGACTATTTTATCAATCAATCAATCAATCTTTATTCTCCTAAGATAAAAAGACTTATCTTAAGTTACATCAGCAGTTGGAAATCTAAACCCTGGGGGGTACTCCCATACATTACCTATACGAGTATGTGCCGCCCAACGGGGTCGTGATTTTGAAGCTCCTGATTTAGAACGGGGTATCCATTTCAGAGCTGTTTTCTAGGACAGGGTATAATATTTCGAACGCACGAAAACTTCAGTTTTGTAAGCAGCCATTTGAAATTATTTATTTAATTGTTGCTGATTATGAAGAGGCATTTATTTATTTTGATGTATAAGTCGAACAAATAAAGACATATCTTTTAAAAAAAACAGGGCTATTTCAATTTACAAACTTTCTAGAATGGAGTATAAAAAATTGGCCCATTTCTAGAACGGAGTATCAATTTTAAGGCGAATTTCTTTTTAGAATGCGGTGCCAATTTGGAGTCCCGGGCGGCACATACCCACCCAAAAAATACCCAAGTGCCCCCCTCCCCCCGGGATCTAAACGTACATAAGTCATACTGTATGCAAATAATAGAAAGATCAAAGATTATATCTAAAAATAATCCTATTTACAAAAACATCCTTAAATCTATCGGTCTTTATATCCGGGCGATGAGCACTTTTGTTTCTGAGTAGATACTTTCTTTCTTCCTTCTTCGGAATGATGTTACTGAGTGGGCAATCGGGATCCACTGAACCTACCTTGGAAAGCTTCTTACCTGCCTGTTCTAAAAGTTCTCGAATGTCCATTCTCTTAGATGTGTATTTCCTTTTAAAGCATCTATCCAGGAAGTTTTTTATGACCATGAGATCTGAGTCTGCAACTCCATAAAGAGGCAGACCATAAGTGAAATTCGGTAAAACTAAGGCGCTAAATACCGGTAGGTGGTCCACTTCACCTTGACTGAAACCTTCCTTCCATAAAGATCTTAATACAAACACAGTTATTTTTATGTCTGTACATATGATTTTTTTATCTTTCGCTTTGACGAAAACTTGTCGCAGGGTGGCATCCAGTGAAAACATGTAAGTCAAAAGCAAATTTTGATATGAATAGGGTATATTTGTGTGAATATGGCTTCTCAAAGCTGTGGGACAAAATACCTTTTGTTGTAAAATGGGCATGAGGGAAACTTCACCCCATGTAAGGGAATCCAGAATCTGGGAAATTTTTGCTTTTGTAATCCATAATCCAGGAATCCTGGAGAATCTGGGAAAATTTTACTGACAAAGAATCTAGAATCCAGTACCTGGAATCTGGAATGTGTGGTTCCAGAAAATATCCAGACCCCCACCACGGAGGGAATTGGAAATTCCAGTAAATCCACGAAAAATCCAGGGGGTCAATTCATTTCGTTTTCGACCTGAGTTCGAACATTGCTTCTTACCGACCTGGTAGATCATTTTTAGGACATAAATAACTTGAAATATATCACTTAAGATTGTTCCTTTTGATCTTAACCAGGTTTCCTTTCTTCAAAAGCGTTATGGATGTAATTTCTGTTTTATTGCTCGTGTATTCGGGCCATTACTCGTTACCAGTCTCCCTCAAAACATCAACGCGTGCAACACATCACGTTGCGTCAATATCAGTAGAGTGGCAATTTTGCCTCACGAAGCACAAGCTATACATTGTAACCATTTTAAAATGTAGAAACCCATTTTCCAATTTTGTGGTTGAAGGTGTGGCATGTTCATGATCGAATTCTCGCTGAAATGGTGTCGATTTCACCAAACAGTTTCGCGCATCATGTCGCATCAGTCGATCGAAAAACAGAAATTGAACTAGAATTCCAAGATACATTGCTACCATTTCAGAATTCAGAATTTTTATTCTTCTCTTTGTTTTGAAATTTTGTGGTCGTAAGTTTGACTTGTTTTGCATAAAATGGCGTTAATTCTATCAACATTACGCCCATGAAGACGAATAACAAATCGTAAGCTTGCCCTGATTAAGGTAAATTCACAAATATAACGGACTTATTAACTTTCTCTGTTTCATTTAAAGTAAGAGATGAGCAAAAATTGCGGATCAGGTTTCTTTGTGGTGGTGTAGTGCGTTCTAATGTTGCGAGATCACTCAAATAAATGGAAACAGAAGCATACAAGCTTCTGATGGAAACCGTTTCGTAGTAACCATAAATGGCTTCATTCTTCTACTTTAATAGTCTTTCTTCGTGAAAATGAACTTTTCCAGAGGGGTTGGGGGGTCTTTGTCACACTTGTGGAAATTCCGAGGGGGTGGGGGGTCATCAGTTCCCTGCAAAAATGGAAAATCCAGGGAGGTGGGGGGGTCCTAAGTGAAATTCCCTCCGTGGTGGGGGTCTGGATATTTTCTGGAACTACACAATCCACAGTTAAAATCCAGAATCCAAGACTGTCTTGGAGCAAGAAACTCATCCAAGTAACTACTGCGTATTTTCCAATATGGTGGACCGCCTTTTGCTCTTTCCCAGATCTTCTCCACTTTCCAAGAGGCGGCTGAGTTAAATTTCCAACCCTGGGGACGGTTGTGGATGTCAAAATCCCTACTCGGATGCGCTTCATGAAGTCAAATTCCCATGGGTTGCCTGCCCTGCCCCCCCTCCTGGGGCAAACCATTGTTAGTTGCAAAAGTCGGATTGATTAATAGTGTGTTTGTTGGTCAGGCTCCTGTATAAACAAGCTGAGCTGTCATTTCAGTCAAGATACAGTACAGACAAATGTACTTAATAATTAAAAATTTGTTTATTGCAAAACCTTGCCAGGCTCAGGTAAATGGGCAGCAGTCAAATTAAAGGAAACACAAATGGACGAACTTCATAATGTTATTATGGATTTCCCTATATATAGTCCTAGCCCATAGGACTGGGACTCAGGTTGAATGTTCAACAGTGTTTGTATGGTTTCCATTTCTTTGCAAAGTGATTGCAGGGTACTGTACTTTGTGACTGTCACCTGTACTGTGTTACTAAAAATTTTCCGTTTTTATGACAGTACACTAATTCTGAAGGACCTGAGGGAGTACTTAGTCCATGTGAAATCGTTATTGCATTCTGTTTCAGTTCAAATGTTTCACACTATAAGCTATAAAATATATTTTTTGAAGGTAGCTAATTTTGTATCATTGATTCAAAGGAACTTTGACAATTGCATTAGACTTTTTACAGTGTAGCGAGAGGGCAGGCATCGGCGGTGTAGAACAGTTTGGGGAGGGAGGCAAGAAAAATAGAGAGACTGTCCTAACATCACTGCAGCTTGAATTCACATCTAGCATGTTGTACCAGCAATGCGGGTGTTTGATTGGTCTTTGGACAATAGATGTTAATTTGCATTCAACAACGGGTTTAATTTAAGCTGCTGGCACTGACAAGTCGCCTTTTCAATAAAATGCTTTCATAATACCTGTTTGCCCAACTTAAACTTTTGTGTTTTTTTTGGATCTTCATTATTTTGGGCTGACAAAACTGGGGAAGGAATGAATTTCTGATTGGCATTAAGTAGGGCAGACTCTTATTGACATTTTATGAAAGAGGGATGACATTCCTGGATTTAGGAAAGGTCATTCTACGACACCTGTTCCACATCTGTTTTATTAAGCATACATGATGACATATTGAAAGCAATGAACCTGAGCGAATGCACTCTGCTCGTCTTTGCCGACTTCTCGAAGGCATTCAACACTGTAAAATATACGTCTGTCTTTGAGAAAGTGAATGCTCCTGGTTTCTCAAAGTCATGGGTTAAATGGACAGTCAACTACCTCTGTGGAAGAGAGCACTTTGTTCAAATTGATGACCATATTTCAAAACCTATTAGCGTTAACTTTGGAGTCCCACAAGGCTCAATCATAGGTCCACTCATTTTTAACATATATGTGGCTGATCTGCAAGGAAAACTAGATTGTGCTTGCCATCAATATACGTACGCTATCATGCTTTTGAAGCAGCCCAGCCAAGAGAATGTTGTAACACAGTTTCTGCCAAAGAAATTGAAATTAAAGCTTAAAGATAGAGAAAGATGACCCATGTCAGAAATGTATGGCTTTTTATCTGGAGGTTTAACCACTTTAATTTGTGATGAAGCAAGCATGCTTGCTGCTTCAATTAGGAAAAATAATGTTTCAACTGTGCATGTTAGCCTATTTTATATGGAAGAATGTCTTATATGTAGTAACTGTATTATATAAAATCACTGTTCCGAAAGGAGATGTTTGTGTTTGCAAACAAGCAAAATCGATGCTAAAAGTGTCTGGCTTGTTTTTCATCCCAAGCGGAGTTTCTTAATTAATGAATGGTAAAAGGCATGAAATTCCTGTCACCCCCCCTGAATGCATGCTGCAGTGATGTTAGGATAGTCTCTCTATTTTTCTCACCTCCTCCCAAACTGTCCCCTGCCCCATAAGTAGTTTAGACACTCATCCGAGATAGCTGCCCATAATGCAAAGCACTCGATCTCGACAACTGTTTGGAAAAATATTGGACTGTGAACAGTCTATTCTTGTATCTGTTTGTATTAAATAGCTTTGAGCTATTAAACTTGCATTGAAATAAATTTTCTCTTTTTCCTACATGTAGGTGATCCGGCTGGTCTTCCATGTCGTTTCAATTTGGATTATCATGCTTTTTCCACGTGAGTTCTTTTAACCCTGTTTTTATTCTTTTAAGTTAACTTATAATGATTATCATAATCATTATCATACTAATTTTCATTGTCATTGTGTTATTCCAAGCATCCCTTAAATATTATTATTGTGACTTCTACTGTGGACTTGTGCTTGATATATTAAATTGTGCATGTTATCATAAAGCTCGCCATTCATCTCCTCTTTCTGTTTCACTGTCCACTCACAGAACTGTTTAGCAGCTGTGCAAGGTTGTTAACAACCTGTGATAATTGCCACAGTAGGATACTTGCCAAGTATTCCACCTTCGTATTTGGTACAATGAAAGTAAAAAAGTACAATTAAATTGACACCACTCCACCATGCTCAGTTGGAACCTTTTGCCAGAAGGAAAAGGATGGGTTGATCAATAATGACATGATACATAAGGCAACTAAAGCTTTAATAACAAGGTAACTCACAAGGCCTAAAACAAGGGAAAACAGGCAAGAGAGGCAAGAAGTACTGGCGTGACCTCTTTCTTGTACATGTAGTCTCTTTATCTCGATGACAGAGCACTGTGACGGTTCTAGCGGAACAAATAGCAGACAATTCACTCATTTCAACTTAGTTTTATTCACATGAAACTTGAATTGCAGTACCCTGGGTGCCAGAGACTTTTCTAGCGCGGTTTCCGGTTTCTGTCAAGTCTTTATAGTGACCCGCGCGAAAAGCCTCTGGAGCAGAGCGCTATTGCTTTGATGGCGCCGATCCAATCGTTTGCACGGTTAAATCAGTTGGTCCAGATTTTGGACAAGACGGCTGATTGGCTACTAAAGACCACCTGAGGGACCTTCAATCTAACAGACACTACAATTGGTTGACAAGAATAGACCAGCACGTGAAAGAATATTTCCAACTTTAGAAGTGTTGATGTTGTGTTGTGTGTTGGCTTTGGAAAGTTTTGGAAGAGCATGATAAGCAATGTATTAGAAGGACAAGTTAAAAGCTATGAGCAAACAAGTAGAGTGTTTAATTTTATTCAACGCAATTAAGCTTTTATCACCAATTCCGCTTTTGTAGTAATACGGTTTAAGCTTTACTAATTTCCTGTTTCAAACGATTACAACATGTTTTGAAATAGTTTGTATTGATGGATTAGGAATATAAAAACAAAACATGTATTTTTAGTATAAAAGGGGGGTCAGAAGGCAACACACGACTTTTACCTCATGCCAAAATGCTGCTTGTTCCAATGAATTTTTTCCGTGACGGGTAGATTATGCTCTGGAGAAAAACGTTTTGACTGAACAAATTTGATTTTTGCCGATTGTTTCATACTGAGAGGTCGTGACATGCACATTGATTTTCTGCGGTTATCGTGTCTGGTCGGCACATGATTTGCCCTCTGATGCAAGAGCATTTTCTTTGACCTCTTTTGAAATGTTAAGCTCTTCAATGTGGCTAAATAAGGGTTTTAGGTTGTTTAATTTCTCCAAAGTGCCTCCTGGATCTGAATAATTATAAGCGATTTTCTTTTTGTCCGTGAAAGTGACGGTTTCCTGCAATGTTTTGTCCCGCTGGGACCAGCTTGTTAGCGTTTTTAGCAGGATGTTAAATTCTCACGGATAGTGATTTTCAGATCCAAATCTCGGAGAATGGGTTGCAGCTTAAACTGAAGCTACATCAACTATGGAGAACTGCGATGTGACCCAGTCATGATTGCTCTTAAAGCAATGAATTTTAAACTCGAACTTGTTTTGCTAAGGACAATGTGGGTCTTTGGACACTTCTTCATGTGCCGGCCCATATGATCACAGTTGGAGACTTTCAATCTGATTGGCGTAAATGTAATCCGATAAAAAAGCGCAAAGGTCAACAGGGACGGTAAAAAGCACCGCTCCGTGCCAGAGGTTTTTCTCACGGCTTTGGCCTACGGCCGAAGATGTGTTGGCCTTTGGCCAACACCGAAAATTCCCGCCGCACGCGAGAAAAACCTCTGGTACCCAGGGTAGAATTGCAGTGTAGTGAAGCAGAAAAACGTGTCGTGACTAACAAATATCCTAAAATATTTAACTTGTTTACCTTTAAATTCAAAAAGTTAACAGCAATGCCTAACTCACAAAGTAATCAGTCTTTCATTGTTGCTTGTAGTGGTTGAAGATGAAATACCATCCTTAATAAACTTGACAAAATACATAACAGGCAAAAACAGGGCAGTCTACTTTCTTCACCAAAAAGCACACGGGCCTTAGCCTGCAAGGAACAATGGGTAACCACAAAGTCTGCAAAGTCTAAATTTATTGCGGTGAGAAAAGAAAGAAAAAAAATGTTGAACAAAGCTAACTTCCCCGCACAAACGTAGGCCAGAAGGAATTACAATATACATAAATGGCTAACATAAGCAGGGACAGCAGAGCATATTTGCAAGTGGGAAGAGCGGGGGGATGGGGGGGGGGGCTTTGATAACAAATGCCTGAGATGCGTGTTTGTAGGGGGGTCTTGGAGCATCCTCTAGAGGCTCAGAAATGGCGTGAGATATTTCTTTTAAAAAACTCTGGGTAAATTGTAAAATGACAGGAACTTCTAGTGCTTACCGCAATATCATGCACATTTTGTAAAGTTGATACATATATTTCTTAGCCTTCCATATACCTGCCTTTAGTACACTGGCCTGCATTTTTATTCAAGCCCTTCATGTGCTGGGAAGGAAGCGCACACTGGGAAAATGTTAAAACATGTAAACACGAAAAGTTTTCTACAAGCAAATTGCCCATTTCTTGTAAAATCTCGTCACAAAATAAAGCAAAGTTATCCATCGATCTGAGAATGTTATAGAATGATACCACTAAAGAACACGTGTGCACTCTGTGATTCCTTTGTGCCAGTCTCCGGTAAAGCAACTTTTTACCTGACCTTTTTCCTTTCCTTTTCTTCCTCTTTACTCCTCACATGTACCTCATACTAAAATAAAATAAAAATTCGTCCAGAAAAGTGGAGGTGGGGGGCTGATGAGATATGTCCAGGATTAATATGAAAGTTACAAAATTTGCAAAACTTTGCAACACTGCTTTCAAAATTGCAAAAACAACGAAATTTTTCTAGTCTATTGACAAAAGGGATGAGGGAATGTAGCTGAGGCTGAGGAAGTCCCTCAACGAAACAGCAATAGTTACGAAAACTACAAAAATTGCTAAAATAACAAAAATTATGAAATTTTGCAAGGCCACTAATGAAAAGTGCTGAGGAAATATAACAGTGAAAATTAATGGCCTGGCAAAATTTCATAATTTTTGTTATTTTTTGCAATTTTCATAGTTTTCGTAATTTTTGAAGCACTGTTGCAAAATTTGCGATTTTTGTAAATTTTTTAACGGAGTTCACTCCTGGACATATGTTTTAAGCTCTTTTACTGAGTGTAACATCATCTTCAAATCTCTAGTCTTTGAGGAAATAGCTAGGAAATTATACTCTCTGGACCTTGAACAACCCCTCTCTTTTCAGTGCAGGACTGAATGTCTGCCATCCAGCAGGCGCAAAAATGGGAGATTCACTCCGTAAAGCTTTGATAACCTCATCTATGAAATGGTGTTCGGAGGGAGAACCCTTCAAGTGTATGCCAAAACTGCGATAAAGCAAATTTATTTGCTCTAAGAATTTGTACATTGTTTTGCAGTTTCTGGATCTCTTGTCTTCTTTGTGGTCACTCTTGTATGATGTTTACGACTCTTATATTTATGCTTTCACATCTTTCCCATTTCAACAACGTATTGTCAATATCTGAAGGAGGTCAACACAATCTTATACCCAGAGTCTTCAGGCTTTCTGGTCAGAGGGGCAACGCATTGCCCCACTGACCAAAAAGCCAGAAGACTCTAGGTACGAGATTGAGGTCAACAAAGTTGTCTGAAGACGTCTCAGAATCTCAGAAGCTCAGGCACTTTATGTTCAGACAATCAAGTAAGGGAGATGTAAGGTCACATGAAGCTTGCATACAGAAATAGGTGACTGACAAGATTGTTCCCAGGTCTCCCCGCAGTTGTGTGGGCATGGGACTCTGTAAATTTGATAAATGAAGTGTAATGCGAGGCCTTAACTCTTTTTCTGAATCTCAAGAAAATTGACACAATTGACTACTATTTGGATTCAAATTGGTGACAAAATTGACTAAGCCACCCTTCTTTGATGCTAATTCTCAGCTTTGTTGTCACTGTTGTCATTTGACCAGGGGAGGTCGTATCTTGTAGCCAGGTGAAGTATCATCCAGATGTACGTGAAGAGATCGATCACGCTCTCGTGTAAGTTCTTGGTGCAGAAGTATCCCCACAAAATCTTATTGGTGATTCCGTGTAGCCCAAGGGCCTCCTTCTGTTCAATCCACAGATTGTACATGGATTCCCTAAGTTTTAGGCATTAATTTTGATGCCTTGTGGCCTCCTTAGACGGCCCCTAGCCGGGTGGCTGTCCGCCGTATTGGCTGCCTTTTCTACAAAGTGTGACAGAAAACCAACTACACAGTGCCCTTGGAAAAAATTTTCTTTCACGAATGTGAATCACAAAGATAGTTCAGAAACTCTAGAAAGAATTCCAGGGGAAACAGGACCTTAATAATGCCTATAAATTGTTGAAAGAAAGGAGCAAATATCAAGGTGAAATCACTTCGATTTTCGGGGGCCCTGAAAATGGCAAATGAAGAGCGTGAGTTCGCAATGCAAACTGGGTGGGTGAGATTCTTTAAGCTCTGTTGCTACTTTTTGGGCCGTGCCACTTAGAAGCTACCCTCACATCTCTGATATTCCTGAACTTGAGCCCAGTACCGAAACAGCCTAAATGGAGATCAACCCTCTATTCCTCAAGCTTGTCAAACCTTTTTCGCTGCTTTCCTTGATTGTTTAACATCTTTTTAGCAAAATGCAAGCTAGGAATGACACCCCCACTTTGTTAGAATCTGCGTATCTGTTTGGTCCCTACCATAAAGGAACTCCGGAAAGAATTAAAGGATAAATCTCATGAACTGTGCATGTGTGAGTCGAAGTGCAAAATTATGCAGAATTTTTCAAGATTGATCTGGCAAAAACAAAATGGCGGCAACAAGACAGTTAGTGGTGGAGCTGGCCATAGTGGTAAAAGATAAAATTCGGGTTGCAAGAGGACAATCTCTGATCTGAAGCAGTATAAAAAGATTGGATTTAGAAGATAAGATATTTCAGTCGTGGCTCCTTGTGAAATTAGAGGCAGGATATGAAGGTTCCAGCAATCGTAATTACCCGGCACATTGACATACAGTGAAACCCCGTCTTACGGCCTCCTTGATGCGGTCACCTTTTTTTGGCCGCGTGGCAAAATGGCCATACATTTTCTTGTAAAAAACCCTCGTTAATATGGCCACCCGTTAATAAGTCCAAATTTTTTTGGCTCGTTGGTGACCGTATTAACGGGGTACCACTGTATTCTCATTCTTGTACATTTTTTTAATATTTCAGCCGAAAATCGGCAGAAAAGTAAGGATATTCAGCATGGACAGGAAAAACAACATTCTTATTTAAAAAACAGAGTGTACCTGTGAAATTTAACATCCTCCAAAGAACACTAATGAGCTGGGTCCAGGATGACAAAACATATATTGCAGGAAACTATCACATTCATGGACATGGGAAAATCAATTGGTTATTCAGATCTAGAAGGCACTGTGGAGAAAATTAAACAAAGCAAAACCCTTATTTAGCCACAATAGAGAGCTTTACGTTTAAAAAGAAAATGCCCTTGCATCAGAGGGCAAATCCTGCTCACGATAAACAAAGACCAGAGAAGAAACTCAGTATGCGTGCCATGACCTCTCAGTGTGAAACAAGTGGCAAAAATCACATATTTATCTCAGTCAAAACTTTAAAACCCTCAAGAGCGTAATGTACCTGCTAGAGAAAGAAGACGTGTTGGAACAAGCAGCATTTGGGCAGGAAGTAAAGGTCATGTTGCTGTTCCCTCCTCTACATGTAGGTCTCTCCCTCTCCCCCTCTCTCTCCTAATATTTTTTCATGCTCTCTTACTTCACGCAGTACTCCACTATCCGAATGCCTGGAACTGGCAAGTCATGTGTTGACAGCAATTTCCCAAGAATGTGCAGCTCATCACAGGGTGCAAAGAAAATCATTTTTACAGCTTGCCATTCGGGCAAGCTGAAGCTAGCATTTACTAGCCCAGACGTCATTTCAACTAGCCGCAAAAGCTTTTCGTCGAGCAGAATTGATTTCACACTTCTTCTGTTATTCGTATTCCTCAAAGAACATCACTTGCCCGTCAGGCAAGTTAAAAACAGATTTCATTAGCCCGATAGCAAAATCCACTAGCCCCAGGCTATCAGACACTACTTTCTTTGCACGCTGCAATTCAGGGCTCAAAGTTAGCAACCAGCTGGTCGCAGTACATGCAACTAGATTTTTAATTGTGTGCCTAAAAATTCATGTGTGATTGCACTTGCGCGCCTAAAAATCCTGGAGATTAGTATATACGACTGAGCTTCTCACCACTCAACTCTGCTTTCTCACCTGATCATCCTAAAATGACTCCGACTGGTTATAGACATGAAACAGAAGCTTGAAATAATAAATTCAATTGTAGGTATGAGATAATCAGGCTCCAAACAATAAAGTTATCATTTTCCTTGCATCAGCGTGTGTTTTATTTGTCTTTTTCTGCTGTGGTTCTCCGAGTGCTCCATGTTTCCATTCCATCCCAGCCCTTTTCGGTTTGGCGAAGACTCCGCTGACACATGCGAGTGAAGGCCACATTTAAAAACACGTGTTTCTCGGCAATTGAGTTCACGGGTCAATGTGAAAGGTCAAGCCAGAGGCAAGAATGTCTAAACAACGTGGGTTAAGAGACTTTTTTCTTCAAGGTGAGAACAATTGAAATAAAACAATGAGTAAAAGAAGACCTAATCTGCATCAGTATGGAAGGACCAGAATTACAAGCTTTTAACCCAACTCCAACAGTTGTCAAGTGGTTTAGCAACGGTAAGAGACCAAGGCGTCCCAACCTTGCTTACAGAAGGTGGCCAGATAAACTAATTTCAGTTGCTTACTCATGGGACTCATCGGATTTCGTATGATCGAGTTAATGTTGTATTAATGACGCGGTTCTACGTCCAAGTCTATATCAGCTTTAAACTAAAAGTGTATTGCAAATCAAGTGAAAGTTGTGAGCAGTAAACTGACAGTGTATATTTTCTTAGTTATTCACGTTCATTTCAAAGGAAATGAATGCGGAATTTTTCTGTTGCCTTGAATGTACCATGAAGTGTAATACTTCTTGAGATTGAGAAGGTTAATTTAAAAAAAATTAATGTAACAATATTATTATCTCCAATGTAGAGTAATAGCCTGAAGGTAGGAACAAACACAGATTCATTAAAAATAAAAGATAACATGCAAATAAATGATTACTTATACAACGTCTGAGCTTTCTGATTTTTTTTGGTGCCACCAGTATTTTAAACTGTGCTCCTAAAATTTTTAGCTGTGCACCTAGAATTTTGGCAGTGCCCCTAGAAGTTTACACCTGGTAGCACAAGTGCTCGCAAAGCCAAAAATAATCTTTGAGCCCTGCTCATGAGACTACCTCTTTAACCAAATTGTGGTTACCATTAATTCACTGGGAGTGGGTCACATTATGAACAATGTGATCAACTACCCCTTCAATTTGCAGAGTTGCCAAGCATCCCCAAATCATCAGTTGTTAAAATGGCCAAAAAGGATCTAGAAACCCTTCCTAATTGGAGGGATGCATTTAACAGTCCGACAACTGTTAGAAACCAGAGGACAAAAGACAATGTGGGAATACTTCTGTATGCATACACGCCTGTTCTGGTAATTTTCCAAGATGTGACAAAGTCACTGTTCGGTTGACCAGCTAAGCAGTTTGATTGTGTGATTGAATTGTATGGGACTTTAGGGCCAATTAGCCTACTAGAGCTACTAACAGCAGTGCGCACCATTTCTTCAGCATTTTTTCAAATCATAATGGTCTGGATGAACTTTTGTATTATTTGATATGACATAGCTGTGATGCCTGGGTCTTTCAAGTGCTGATCTACATATTCTTCCACCCATTCCTGATGATGATGATCACCAGCAGCAGCATCAGCAGAACATTGTCATCATCATCAATGAATGTATTGGCATTTGGTCAGCAGGGATTGATCTTCTCAAGATCTCTAGGGGTCACTGGCTATGCAAGAAGGCCATTAATTCAGTCCATTTTTGATTCCCTTTCACCCTCCCAATAGTGCGAGCTGATAAAAGCAAACTTGATTTTTGGATTGCTCCAAATAATACATTTATTCAAAGTACTTTTTCTTATTTCTATTATTGACAATTTGTTATCATTTTTCAGGGACAGGCGTGTGCCTCTCAAGACATTTCCACTGCAAGGTACTTTGATCAATACCAACACCATTGAAGCATTTAGAACTCTTGATAAAAAGGAGTTGATCCATTCAACTGGAAGACAGGTACTCTCTATTTTATATGACCTATGATTTACTTAGTGCCATTGGCTAATATGATATGTTTCAGGGAGAAATTTGAAAACGCCTCCACTGAAATAAACAGAGATATTATTATTCACACTAAACTGACTGACTAATCCCGATTTCTTAAACCCTCCAATTTTTCAAAATTCTCAATGTTTGAAACCAAACCTAACTTCCCTTCACCAGTCAAATACTGCAAGTTTACCTCAATTTTTTAAACCTTTCAATGATGCAATGACTCCTTCAATTCATGCATGCAACCAAGACAGAGGACTGGAAAGTTATTGTGATTGTCACATTACCGGTAACCAGTATGAACCATGTTACTGTATATATATCCCAATTCTCGATAACAGCCATGTGGAACCACGTCCCTTATACAACTTGTGGCATCATTGGTTTCAGTACTCATAAAGAACCTTAACACATGTCTTTTGGAGCTGAATGAGAGCAAGTTGAGCCAATTCAGCTATGCAGACCAGAAAAAATAGCGAAATTGTGTAGTTTTGACCTGAAATTCAAATGAAAATCTTGTTCCACTACCTACTCGTGCTTTGGAACCTTAAAAATAATTTCTGGATCATTCCTTAGGCAGTTTTGAGAATTGTTTCCCACTGACACAAGAAACCTAGATAATGCCCTAATAAATAAGGGAAAATGTGGGAATAAAGAAAAGCAAAGGAATCAGAGAAGGGAGGTGCAAAGGGGACATGTCAAGGGCAGTATGACTTTTTGTCCAAAAACTATGTACAAATTTTGCCTTTTGCACGTGCTGGGACTTCTAGAGCTCTAATAGGGGTATGATCTATGTAAATTCAGATAAACTGGAAAACAAGTACTTGTAAATTTCCAAGTGGAAGATAAAAATTTTCTATCCACACTAATCTAGATAATATTACAGCTGTATTTATTCACTTCAGTATGGATGGCAAGCCTTGTAAGAACTACATGTAGACTCACTGAAAGGCGATTTCAACTGGGATGCAATAATACTGTACAGCTGCCCGCCTCCTCTCACAAAAAATCACTCCTAGACCATAAATCTATTAAAGCAAATCTGTAGACAACCATTTGCCAAGCAATGAGACTATGAGATGAACTTGTGTGCAAAGTTCTTAAAGTTCCTGTTTTCATTGGACGAGTCTTCTTTATTCTAATTCGAGATTTAGACCTCCAACGAAGCATGTCAGAGAAAGAAATCAATTTTTAAACGGACTCTGCAAAGATGGACAAACGTGCTTTATGGATCACAAAACACCCTCTGTGTTACTGGGTTAATCATTGATAGTGTTCATTGTCTGACGGAGAAATCAACTGATTTTATAAACTGGGCACAGCCAGCCCAGTTACCAAAGACCTGTGCCGTAAAGGACTAAATGTGGTGTAGTGCAGAAAAGGGCTTTTTAGCGTTATGAACAAAGGCCTGCATAGTGACCTGTAAACAACATTTTGGGTAGTTTAATTAATAATTGGTTTTAGGCCAAATTCAGAGTATATTAAGCAAAGCTCATTGAGGCTTTAACTTATTTGGATCAGACTTGACAATGTGTAGTTATCTAGAAAAGATCTATTTTGATACAGATATGGGATGCTATATGTTCAGGGAGAGCTGTGGAAGATCCATCATTGCTTTGCCAGTTTGCACTTCTAACCTTTGCAGTAAGTTACTCTATCCAACCCTTTCTTTTATCAACTCCACCATAACTACCAAATGGTAAAATAAATCAATAACAATTAATTAATTGTGTCTGACATTAGGGGAATGCAACACATAATCTTGGGGTTTTTTGGGTGGCTTGATTTAAGTACAATGGGACCTCAATTTAACGAATCTCTATATAACAAAGTCCTCGGTATAACAAACTGTTTTTTTTAACCCCAGTAATTAAAAATATATGGAAAAAAACCTCAGTATAACAAAACCTTCCTATAGCGAACATATTTTCCCAGTTCCGTAGCCCTCTGTCATATCAAGGTTCCACTTTATTTAAAGGATTTTTTGGCAATCTGAAGATTCGTGGTTACCCAGGTATCCTGGCCTCATAATTTGCGAATAAAGTTCAACCAAATAAGGTAGTAGTAGTCAGTTTATTTCTCTCTGTACAGTCAACCAAATAAGGTACAACTTGTTATACCCTTTAATGCTTTATGGAAATTTTTAAGGCTCGGAACTTCAGCATGGGAGTTTTGGGGGTCAATGTTTGGTCCAGGGATTGTTTATTTGGTTTTGCTAGAAGCCCTTGGGATTTTTTTTGGTTTTGATTTTTGCCCCCATTCGATCATCCTCGTCACTTGAATTTCGAAGTACCCCCCTGGAGTACATACATCACTTTGGTTCCATCAAGGTCAATAAGATGATGCAACTATGTCAAAGCACGGAATTCTTTGACGTTGGCAAATAGATGAACCCAGTTTGGAGTTGTTTTTGAAGTGGGTTTTATTGCTGAGTTGGCAATTCTGCCACCTTTCTTGGTAATCATACTAGTCAAATTGAGCTGCAACTTTGTAGAAAGACAAATAAACTCCAGTAACATTTGTGTGGTGAGGAATTTATCCGCCACGCATTTGAGTCTATCAGTGAGTCTCTCTAAGTATTTGTACCGGTAGTTTTACTCCTCACATGCACAATAAACATTAATTCTGAGATAAAGTATGTTTGAAGAATTTTACCTGCGTATCAGTAATTATGTGTATTATACATGTAATCTGATATATTTATGTGGGATTTTGTTGGCCAACTCACCCACCAAGCAAGATAAGTTTCAAACATGATGAACTGACCTACACAAACCGAAATTATGAATCATGATGAACAGTTCGCACAATGGTAAAAGATTTTGTCTGGTTCACAGACATCTGTAATCTAACAAAAACCTAATATCACGTAAGAAGCCAGGACTAAAACCTTCAAGGCCACCTTGCTTTTGAAGTTTGTAGTGATGTGTTTATCTTTTTTAACAGAAAGGAACTTTTTACGATCTACTCAACATTTTTATGGGGTAATGTAAAATGAGAACTGTGGACTGACTGCCGATTTCAGAGTTAGAAAACAATAGGACCGTTGTTGCCACTTTCTCATTTGCATTGTAAAAACAATAGGTGGGTTCACACTGGACTTTTCAAGTGCACTTAAAGTGCATTTTAAGTGCACTTGAGACTAACTTTTGTGTGAACAGGTCCTGTTTGACTTGACTGATCTTCACTAGTCGTACTTAGTTGCCACAGAAACTGCAAAACCTCAAAGTGCTAAAGTGCGCTCTCAAGTAAGGTCAAAACCTTCCTTGACACTGCACTTATCCAATCAAATAATCGGAGGTATATTATCAAAGTGTCAATCATCCTGAGCCTTAAATTTCACTCTAGCAAGCGTGCAAGTGAGAAATGATTAACGATTGAGGATACTGATCTCCACAAAATGGAGGTAGGTTGTAATTGGTATGCCCTAACAGTGCTGTTCAAGAGATTATATTTACTTGTAACCGTTCCTTGTGACCTTCACTGCAAATAGACGCAGGGACCTCAATCAAACCATGTCACAGAGCCCCGACTAAACTCCCCCCGTGTTTATTTGAGGATGTAAATTAACGTTTTTAGCTTGTACACTAGCTTGTCTTGCAACAGTTTAATATGTCCTTTTTTGTTTTGTTTTGTTGATATCTGTGATAAGGACCTCAAGAAGTACAAATTTTACTATTGGTTTGCTTTCCCTGCCCTGTGTCCTGATGTTAATGCTACCAGTGTGACATCTCCCATCTTGCTTGCTGATTACTTCACCAAATCACAGGTACCTCTGAAATTAAACTTCTTAGTTTTATTTCTAACTTTATATCGTGTATTATTATTATTATCTTCTAATCTCACACATTAGGGCCATTTACACGAGGAAAAATAAGACGCGTCTTAAATAAGACGCGAACTTTCCGTATAAACGGCACATTTCGTCTAAAATAAGACGCGGCTTAGCTAAGACGCGTCTTAATAGATAAGACATGCTCGTATAAATGGTACAGTTCGCGTCTTATGTAAGACGCATCTTATTTTTCCTCGTATAAATGGCCCTATTGTTTACAGTGGTTTTGATGCAGGTTCACATCAACCTTTTAGCTTTTCATTATATTCTCCTTTGTCATATAAATGAAATGTGACTATGTATGTTTGCATGCTTGTGTGCATACATATTCATAGCTACCTTGGTGAGCGTACATTGGTGAATAACATGGTGACTGAATAGACCTTGTCATGGTTTTCGACGCCATCTTAGTTGACGAGTAGGCAAGCGTGTGAGAAATTACAGTGTTTGTATGAGAATCTAATGTCGAATGATTTCCGTAAAATGGCTGTTCTGAAAAAAATATGACTTGTAAACTAAAGCTACAAAACAAAGGATTCTACTTAAAAATTTTTTGGGGCGTACTTGTGCTTAAATTTCTCTAGAGGCTTGCTTTAGATTTTCCATATATTTGTCTCTAATTTTTCCCTGGACTTTCTTACAGACAAATGTATACAAAATTTTAAAAAGTGGTTCTAGGTCTTCAAGCGCATCTAACGCCCGCAATTTTTTTCAGTAGATTCTTTAGGAGTGAAGCTTTAGTGTACAATTCATATTTTTTTCAGAACCGCCATTCAACGGAAATTATTCGACATTAGTTTCTCATACAAACAGTGTAGTTTCTCACGTGTTTGCCTACTCGTCAAGATGGCGTCGAAAACCGTGACAAGGTCTACACCTTGAAGGTTATTCTCTTAGTAATTTTGTCTAGGAGACTAGGTGTCTCATACATGTACAGCCAACTCTTGCCCTGCGGACACCTCGCTGTAGAGGACGCCCCGATAATACAGACTGCAGCTAAATCCCTGGCAGAAATAAATTACAGACATTTGACTGAAATAGACTCTCGAGGTACCTACAGTGTCCGCAATAAAGGGAGTTGACTGCATTTAGCTTCCTAGGATAGCATAGAAAAACTTCATGGAAAGTTAAGGTTTAGTTTTAATGGTCTATTTTCCTTTTTCCCGGTAGATTTCAAAGCTTCAATCATCCTATGATTCCCTATTTAATATTGACGGCTCTAGTAAGTACATTATAAAACATTGATTTCTTTATGTAATTTAGCTCAAATATGTGTAGTTGGCCTGCGTGGCACATGCATGAGAAATGATTTTAGGGAGAGGATGCATTGTGCATCATTTATCTAGTGTCCAATATAATATGTACCTAAACAGTGGAAGGTTTTTAATAGTTTTGTTAGAAGTGGGTCGATCGTTTGTTCGACATTCTGTTGAGCTGTGATTTACATGTACATTCTTTCAACAGGCCCTGCGTTTTTTCTTGTGAAAGTTTCTGAAGGTGACATTTCTATGGCTCATATAAAAGAATGGAAGGAATTTTTTCAAGAAGGTGACTCAGAGGTAAAGGTTTAAAAACCTCAATTTCTACAAGAGTTTTTCACTCTGAGTTATTCTGTCTAATAAATCTCTTGCCATCACAGAGACCCTTTTGTGTTATAGGGAGACTGAGGAAAGGAAAAAGGAAAGTGCAGTTCCTATTTTTTTATTGTTATTTGCCGTAACGGTTTGATTGAGCGCCCGGGGTGCTTATTTACTTTTGTTACCTCAAGGAAGGGCACCTGTTCGAGACTGGGCGCTTATTCAGGACAGGAAGCTATTTCTTTTTTGAGAAACAACTGAATGTTCAAAACACAAAAAGGGACAATAACAGAAACTGTATCAGTAACAAATATACGGTGAATGTTCAGGTAACGTGAGAAACTCAGACGAAATCACTGTTTTTGTACTGTTCGTTTGTGAGAAATTAAAGGAAGATGAACTTCAGTTGACACGTACCCGTACTCTAATATTATAGTGTAAGACTTGAGGCGCTTAGCAGAATGGGGGCGCTTATTAACAAAAACACCTTTGAAGAGGAGCGCTTATTCGAAAGGCGGGGGGGGCACTTATTGAAAGGAGTTCGCTAAATCGAATCATTACAGTATTGGAATACCCAGCAGGAGCCGCCGCGGAGGAGAAAGTCTAGTAAAAAAATAATTATTATACCATCAGTTACAGTTAGTTAATTTAAACCTCGCACATCTCAAACAGCCATGTTATTGACACATGCTTTATACCACTTTCGATGTCATCAGTCTTAATGTTTTAATACAACTCATATGCTCAACTTGTCCCAGAAACATTTCTTCTATTCCACGCCGAAAAGAGCGTGTTTGGCGTCATTCAAACAGGCCAGGCAAAAAACACAATAGTCAGCTATCTTGCCTTGGAATTCCTGCTTCTAACTACAAAATAGGAATTTGTAGGTGTTTCCTGTCCATTTAGGCAAAAAAACAAAATTTTCCATAGATGTGAATGTTATCTAAATACGTTTTGATTGTCATTAACCCCCAAAAAATCACAGCGTATACAGAAAGTCACTTAACCATAGGTTACTTATTTCAATCTAATTTGTGCTCTACAGATTATGGTAGGATTTGCTGATCCTTGTACAATGCCCCAACATCCAGGCTGGCCTCTCAGGAACTTTCTTGCCTTGCTTGTTCATCAGTGGTCAGTTCAAGTTCAAATTGTTGACTAAGAAATCAAACGTGTTCTGTTAAAGATGCATGAAAATCTTAAAACGATGGAGGATGAACTGTTTGAGTGTTTTAAATTCAGTTTTTGCCCAGTGTGACTTAGATGACACCTAACCATTTTCTCCATCTCACTCATTATATTATTAATCCTTTAAGGTGTTTTAACTATTTTCATGCCATGATAATACTGATCACGGTAAATTGTAGTAAAACACGCACACAATAAAATTCTAGATAACAACAATGTCACAACACTCCCACGTTTTCACAAGTGCGAAAAGAACGTTCAAATTTTGGCGAGAAAGCTAGCATTTAATAAGTTCACCCATTAGCACTTGTTTCTGCAACTTCTGTAGGCCTTAAACTAAGAAACAATTATCTTTAGTTTTAGCTTGATTTGATATTGTTCGTTTAAGCACTGTTGCTGTGAGTTTTACTTTACATTAGCGAGATATATACACTGATTACCAATGACAGGGTAACTTGAATTTTATTGATGCAAAATTCTAGTTAACGATGAAAAGCTGACGTTTGGAACCTCACTTGTGGCTAAAATAGCACTATATTTACGAGCCTTCCATTACTAGAGCTCTGACAAAGGGCTAGCATGCACTTGAGAGATCGGTTTTTCAATCTGTTCCATAGACTACTGACGAGCAGTCTGTCTTTTTTCTTACAAACCAGTTAAAAGATTTGAAGGAATCATTAATTTACGAACTTGAGCAATACTCAAGACGAGACTGCTTGGAAATTCGGGGTATTCCAAAGAATTCTAGTGGCATGCGGGAAGATACAAACAAAATTGTTATTGAGCTCGGTCGAAAAATTGGAATTGAGTTGAAAAAAGAGGATATATCAACGAGCCATCGTCTCCCGAGTAAAGTGAAAGCGAACGGAGAAAGAGCTCTGTTCCCACCTGCCATTATTGTAACGTTTACGAGCCGGGATGTTCGTGAGAAACTTTATCGAGCCAGGAAGGTCCTCAAGCAAGACTTAGGCTTTTCCAAGGAGAATAGAATCTGTATTAATGAAAGTCTTACTCAAAGCAACAGGGATCAACATGAAGGTAGCAAGGTAATCCAGATCACCAATGCTAAAGCCTTTTGGAAAAGAGGCGAAGAAATGTCCTACGCTCAAGTAATGATACCACCATAGTCATGAATTGCCTTTCCCTTAGGTGTAAAAACAATAATGTTGTTGACATTCAACAGGACAGACTTTGCCTATTTGCCGTTTCTTGAGGTTACCTCCCCCCCCTTACTAGTATTGACCATCTTGCTAGCTCTGATGTTGATCTCCACTTACCCTATGATCTGAGTTTTCAGTACTATATATAATTCTTATCAATTTCATGATAATCATTATATAAATGAATATTTTTCTGACAAATGCTTTTCTGCTTTGCACTGCAAAATTAGGAAATAACTTGACAAAGAATATTCCTAATGTAAATAAATCCCTACTTCAGTATCTCACAGCTCCATCCCAAGATAGTTTCTTTCTACTTTTCACAACAACAGGTGAAATTGAAATTAACATTATTGGGCTAAATGCTAATAAGTTCACCGGGCCTTACAGCATACCAGTTGCTATTTTAAAGCTACCAAACATGTTATATCTGCACCTCTAGAAATTATATTCAGTGCTTTCTTTTCTACTGAAATTGTCCCAGATTTATTTAAAATAGCTAAAGTTACCTCTGTTTTTTAAAAAGGTCAGGCAAACAAGTTTAAATAATTATCTTCCTATTTCTATTCTCTCAATATTCAACAAACTGTTAGAAGCGTTAATGTTTAAGAGAATACTAGAATTTTTGGAGAAGGAAATAGTTTTGGCTTCCGTGCGAAACACTCCACGGATCATGCTATCCTAAGCATCATTGACTTGATTCAACATGCAATTGAGTGCCAGGAATTTTGTTGTAGTATATTTTTGGATTTCAGTAAAGTTTTTGATACTGTAAATCATAAAGCTCGATTGAAAAACTAGATTATTATGACATTCATGGTGTAACTGAAGGTTGGTTCACCTCTCATCTTACCAACAGCTAGCAATATGTTTCCTTGGGGAAAACTGAGTCTGAACTTCAACCAGTTTCTTGTGGTGTTCCTCAAGGCTTAGTTCTTGGTCCTGATTTTAGTAACTGCTCTGAAATTCTAGATTTTCATTTATTTACAGATGATGTCAATCTATTTATAAACACAAAAAGTCCTTAAATCCAAAGTAAAAAATGAACTAGTAGATATTCATACTTGGTTGAGTGCTAACAAACTTTCTCTTAATACTAATAAGTCAAACTTTGCCTCATTTTCCACCGTCCACAAAGAAAGTTACCCTTTCATGTCACACTCTCTTTAAATGGCATAAACTTAAACCAAGAGTACTCAATATAATATCTAGGTATTATAATAGATTCTAATTTATCATGGAAAAGTCAAGTAAGCTATATTGCTAAAACGATTAAGCGCAATATTGGGATTCTTTCTAAACTTCGTTATTATGTGAATTCAGGTCTGCTGGTTAAACTATATTATGCCTTAATATATCCCATCTTAACCTATGGTTTAATTTCTTGGGGTAACACCTATTCTTCAACTACCCAGCCTTTGTTCATTTTACAAAAGAGAGCAATGCGTGTGATGACTTTCTCTAAATTTCATGAGCATTCTTGTCCAATTTTCAAACACTTAAATATTGTTAAACTGTGCATGCCTGACCTTGTCTTTCTTAATATTGCAGTCTTTATGTATAAATTTCACAATACACGTCTACCATATGTGTTTGATACTGTCTTCACACAACTCAATAAAAGACATGACTATAATACAAGAAGTGCCTCGAATATGTTCTATACTTTACCTGAAGTAAGAACAATTTATGGATATATTCAACATAAGATTCAAGGACCTCAAAGTATGGAACTCAATTAGTGAAAATTTGAAAACCTTCTCTATTTCAAACTTCAAGGAATCAGTAAAGAGCGATCTTGTCAAAGATTATTAGTTACTTGTATTCTTATTAGCAGTTGTCTTGTTTCCCAAATTACCTGTAAATTAGTCGTACGTGGACTCCCCTCACTAAATCTGAAGAAAAAGAGAGACTGCTCGCAGTCTATCTTTTTCAGTCGTTAATTAACTTTGATAACTCATTTGATAAAACTGCCGAAGTTTAGACTTATTGTGCGTGGAAAGTGAAGTTTTAAATCGTAAACAACATGGCTGTAGCAGCACTATTATGTACTGCAGTATCGCATCATTCTGTTGCAGGGGCTCCTTGGTTACAAGTGTCAAGATTCTTTGCTGGCGTGATCAAGTGAGATCTGGCAAAAGAGACACTTCTCATAGCTTGGTTTTAAATGTCAATCTACCATCATACACAAAAGCTGGTAAATAAAGTTAATAATGGTGTTGTGAACAATGCTTGCAATACGCACATGTCGTGTAATGTACTAATGTAGACTGGTTTTTACATGATGTCACCAAAATTCAATCGAAAGAATTACCAATTTCCCTGCGTTTTTACCTTAATGAACTTTTGAAGCAGCTAAAGTCTTATATTTTTACAAATGTTTGCTTTAAAAGGGGTTGTTCGTTTTGTGATAGAGTACACTTGAATTTCTACACTTTCGCATGTCGCGGCATTTATATTGCGGCTAAGGGAGCTGTCATGGAGGTTAACAAGGTGACTCATCTTGGAGGATTTTGCTATCTGAGCAGAACTTGTATCAGAAAAAGTATTTAATGTTTATGAGTTCCTCATGCGACGAAGTCACGCTTTTGTAGCCAAGCTCAATGACAAAAGTTTCTTTTGGTTTCCGGCCACCATGTCGGTCTGAGAGGGAGAACAACATGGCGTCTCCATAGAAATTGTACTGAATTGTACTGACCTGAATCTTTGGGAGGGTGTTTGCATATTTACCTCTTTTCATTTGCCAGATTGTAGACTTTATCTAGTAAACGTTTTATATATATATATCTGTCTGATTTCGTTAAAACTTGGCCATTAGGTTTTCGCCTGGCGCCGGGCGCAGCCCGGCTCCAGGCCAGTCCGGTGCCCAAAAATATAGGGGGCTTGCCGTCTTGGTCGGTACAGCTGGATAGCCCAGGGACTGCCCTAACAGTGGGTGGGTGGGTGGGTGGGTGGATCAGGCCCTGGGGTCAAAACTAGTGGGGTAGGGAGGGGACTGTTTTGACACAACCCCTTCAGTAAGCAACAGTGTTCAGTGCAGGCTTTGACTGGCGAGTACCATGGTCTTAATTTGCCCTAGCCAGCTGAATCAGGCCTCTGCTGAGAATGATTATCATGATAATTGCAGAGCTCAGTGGGAGGTGCAGACAGTCACCCATTGTCCTGGGTGGGGAGGGTCAAAGTCTTGGTACCAAGGACGCACTTAGCATAGGACCCTTTGACACTCACTGAAGCCATGTTTTCATAAATCCAGTCAAAATATATATATACGAGTCATAATCCAGTCAAATATATATATACATAAATCCAGTCAAATATATATACAGAAAAGATAAATCCAAGAAAGATAAAGCACAAGAAAAATCAAGAGGAGTGGTGACTGTCCCATGTGTCCACTCATTCATGGAGAAAATACAACGTATATTCACAAAACATAGGGTAGCCACTCAAATCACCCTCAGACAGGTTTTAGTTCACCCGAAGGACACAGTTGATAAGCAAAAAAAGGCTCGAGTGGTGTACAAAATTCCATGCAACCAATACGAAAAGGTATATATCGGTGAAACAGGGAGACAGCTGGGAACCAAGATCACAGAACACAGAAGGAAGCAGAAAATATCTCTGACAGAAATTTCACAAGATCCACACGCAGAGCTTCTACCAATGAGCACCATAAATCAGGCATAACAGATCAAGTCTGTCAGAACAATCATATTGTGAATTGGGAAGCAAGTCAAATAGTTGAGCAGGAAAGCGACAAGTTTAAGCGATGGATCAAGGAAAGCATATGCATTAGATCGAACACTCCTACTATGAACACGGACGAGGGAGCCTATCAGCTTTCTCCCATATGGACACAAGTGTTTTCCACCCCCAAACCAGGAGAGGGGGCGTCTACAAAATGACTTGGCGCGTTTATCACAATAATTAACACCTTCAGAAGCCTATTTAAGGCTTCTGACACCTTTGACGATTTCCAAGTTTTGACAAAGTTGGCTGCCAGTCATCGAAACTGTCCGCATCATTAAGACTTGAAGACTTTGGCTTTGTTTTTAGAACATTTAAAGAGATATTAACTGTACTAGCCTGATGAATTTCTTTAAGAGATTACCACCAACAACCATCATTAGGGAAGCAATGGTGGCGTAGTGGTGAGAACACTTGCCTTCTACCAGCGTGGCCTGGGTTCAGTTCTAGACGTCTAAGCGACATGTGGGTTGAGTTTGTTGTTGGTTCTCTCCTTTGCTCTGAGAAGGTTTTCTCCGGGTACTCTGGTTTCCCTTTCTCCTCAAAATCCAACATTTCTAAATTCCCAATTCAACCAGGAATGGTAGACTAAGAACTACTAGTATGTGGAGGTGCTACCTCTTAAGTGTTATTTATTTATTATTTATTTATTTTTTACCGTAACATTAATTTAGCCTCCTCCTTTTCCAACTTTTTGTCATAGAAATAAAATGTATTGGCTGGGAAAAAAATAAAAGTCAGAAGCTTGTACCGAGGATGGTGGATCTAAGTGCCACAATGGACCCTGAAAGGTAATCAACTTATCCGATATCACAAATTGTAATGAAGTAAATTGACCAAGTCTGAATCTTGATGTTAATTTGCAGATTGGCCTCTTCATCAGTGGACTTGAACCTTAAGTTAATGCAGTGGAGACTCTTGCCCTCGCTAGATCTCGACAAAATCTCACAAACGAAGTGTCTTCTCCTAGGGGCTGGAACGCTTGGCTGCAATGTCGCACGATGCCTTCTGGTATGAACGTAAACAATCTATAGTATGTAAGGTAGTTATTGTTTTGTTCAGTTTACCGGTCCCTGGCAGGTATTACCACGCTTGCTTGGTCGGGGAATAGAAACCAGACAATAAACATGCCCTGGTTTTCCACGTTAGGGGTTAAGCGGGGGGCTAACCATCCACGACTCTCTATAAAGTTGATAAGGGTTGCATGCTGAAATGTTGGACCGAAGGATGGATGGCAGAAAAAAGAGGACTGAATTTGGGTAGAGAAGCTACTTTTATTGAGCCAAAAGTAGGCCTAAATTGAGTTCTTTAGTAAGCGCACTATGCGCCACTGAGAACAAGTTGTTGTAAGTTGTTGATGATGATGATGATGATGATGATGACATGAAAGTATGGAGCAGAACATAATATTATTATCACAGGGATACCAAATGTTGGTAATTGCATTCAGTAATGCCAACACCAACTTACTGGCACATACACTCACAGATGTTTGTAAATATCTTCATCTCCTTATCTTTTAAGGGATGGGGTGTTCGCACAATAACCTTTGTTGACAATGGAAGAATCTCGTTTTCCAATCCTGTGCGCCAAACACTGTTTGAGTTTTTGGATTGTCAGGACGGAGGCAAGCTCAAGGCTGAAGCCGCTGCTTCCGCCTTAAAAAGGATATTTCCTGGTGTGGTAAGACATGATTATTGTTTAAAACAGCCCAATTCTAGAATATGAGTAGTGTCAAGTTTTCCTTTGGGATAGAAAAGCGAGTGAAATACGCTAACACTCGAGTTTTTATAACTAGAAGTGCCCGAGTCAGATCTGACTAGCCAATGAGATGCAGTTCTTATACTCTCAGCCCTATTTTGTAACTACTGACGTTTTTGGTGAAGACCTGAACACCACTTAAACAGCAGAACAGTAATCGAGACTATTCTCGTAAACTGCAGAGGTTTGGTCTTGGCGAAGTTAAAATTTGAATGGTCTGACTAATTAAATCGAGCCATTGCTTTAGATTTCCTGAGTAGGGGATCTATCTACATCTACATCTACATTTACTAATTGACAACGCTTTCGCATCAAGTCAGAATTAAATGAATTACAATATCACAAATACAATAATAGAAGAAACATGAAATAAAAGAAATAAGCGTAAGGGAGATAAGTATCATCTGCACATATTTAATGATCAGAATTTGACAAGTGCTACTAACATAGCATGTTGCTGGATTACTTTCAGAATGCGTCATCTGTTGAGCTGTCAATACCTATGCCTGGACATTCTGTTGGCCAGTTAGGTAAAAAGCATTCACTCAGGTGTTTCGATACAGTTTTTCAGAGGCCAATAGATATTACTATGACAACAATAAACAAAAAACTTTGAAATTGATAAAAAGCCGAATTTTGAGTGATCGAGACCAGCTACTGAAAATCCAGCACTAGGAACTTAAAGTTTGGTGTTTAGAAAACAATCTCCGTAAGAAGTAAAAAATTCTGTACGTTTGAATTCGACTAAAACGAAAATATATTTTAAACCTTAAATTTTCAATAGCTGTGATAGATTATTTAATATAAACGTTATAAATGACTCAAATTAATCTTAAGTAGCGTCAGAATGCTACTTAATATCATGCATATTTTGATGCTAGGAAATTTTGGTGTATTTTCGTTCTTGCGATCTTGAAAACTAACCCGTTTTCTCACCACCTGTATAAGTGCAACTTCATTCAAAATTTGGACTTTTAGCGCTTCTTTGTATATCTCTGAAACGACTAGAACGAAGTCTTAGACATTATTATATACATTATGGAGATTATGTGAAGAGATTGAAAAGAAATTCGTTCGACCATAATTGAGGCAGTTATGGCAGGCCGATTTCTTAAAAACACTCCTAGTACAGAGAAACACAAAGATAAATAAAAAACGTAATGGTGTCATTACGATGCCATGGCGACTCCTATTGCAATAAAACCCAGACCATATTAAATTTTCATCTTTACAAAATACAGTTGTGGTAACCTTTTTCCCATATCTTTACTCATGCCGAAGTAGTTAATGCTCCAACTTGGGAGGTATCCCCCCTAAAAAATGTAGTCGAGCCATCGTAAGAATAATCTGAGTCATTTATAACGTTTTTATTAAATAATCTATCACGGCTATTGAAAATTTAAGGTCTGAAATATATTTTCGTTTTAGTCGAATTCAAAGTGAACATACAGTATTTTTTACTTCTTACGGAGGTTATTTGCTAAACACCAAGCTTTAAGTTCTTAGTGTTGGATTTTCAGTAGCTGGTCTAGATCGCGCAAAATTAGGCGTTTATCAATTTGAAAGTTTTTCGTTTATTATTGTCATAGTAATATCGATTTTACTAAAACCTACATTTTGACAAATTTCAATCTATAGTCAATCATTTTTGAAAATTTTATAGCCGGCGATTAGACAAGCTTGCCATTAAATCACTTTTAAAGCGATTGAAAAATATCGGTATGGCCTCTGAAAAACTACATCGAAACACCTTAAATAAACTCATGCGTTAACTTTTTTGGAACACTAAATTGCAGTTTTTATTTTATCTCCTCTAGTGATCATCTGTTGTGAAGTTTTGCGATTTGTAATTAATGGATTTTGTTTTATGGTTTCAGAGGAAGCAGAGAAAGTAAAACGAGATGTGAGTAGACTTGAAGAACTTATTGAAAGTCACGATGCAGTTTTCCTGTTGATGGACACACGGGAGAGCCGATGGTTACCCACAGTATTAAGCGCTGTAAAAAACAAGGTATATAACAAAACTACAATGTCAATCCCATTTACAGCTTATAATTTCAAGGCCTAATGATGTCTGTAAGAATGGCTGTAGTCGACGACGGCTTTTTGAGCTGTGTAAGCTGTTATTAGGGACCGGTCATTTTTTTATCGGTTGCGGGGTACTGGTGGGATTTGAGCGTGGGCCACGAAAAAAACGGCTTAACGGCATCTGTAGTACTGCAAACAGCCTACCAGAATGCCGAAAACCAGCGTTTCTGACGTTCGGAAAGTTCAGATTTTCCCGGGAAAGCATGCTTCTGGACCCCCTACTTAATCGCTAATTATTTGGTTAGCTAGTTTGGTCGACTGCTAGCACGGACAACATAGATTCTCTTTCGCCAGTCACGGGGGCCGGGGGTCATCTCAATTAATTTGGGATACAGGGAGGGTCGGCACCCAAAATTTATAATGAAGAGGAGGGGTCATCGTATACTCCAGGAGCTACCCGTCAAATCCCACCAGTCCTCTCCTCCCCCGCCGTAAAAAGTGAACGGTCCCTTACCTAGTAAAGCTTCAACGCCTTAAACAACTGGAATGGTGAATAGACATGACTCAGTTAATATTTCGTTTGATTTCATATTCCAATAACAACAACAGCCACACGAACAGAGGATGATCCACCTGTGGCTTTTCTTTTTCCTCTTATTAATGAAAGTGGAAACAAACAATTCTTTTAATCTTCTGTGACTGCTTACATCTGCTGCGATATTGTTGTTTAATACTGTTACCGTTGTTCTCAGCTCGTGATCACGGCAGCACTTGGCTTTGATACATTTCTTGTCATGCGACATGGTTCAAGGGAAGTAGGAAACGTCGTATCACAGGGAACAGCTCCTTTCAGTGCAATTCCAGGCTCCTCGCTTGGTTGCTATTTCTGTAATGATGTTGTGGCTCCTGGAGATGTAAGTTTGTTACTACAAAAACTGGCTTTGTGTATTGCCTCTGACCTAGTCTTGGTATCTCGCATCAAGAAGAGAAGATCAAATTCGAATACAATTGGTATTGTTTTCTGTTGTAGAATTGGCAATATTTGGTCATTTTTCAAATGGCTCAGTAAAGAATGGTGTCTTTACACGTGCAAAATTCCGACTACTACCGAGGCGGCAAATTTGAAACATAAATTACTATTTTGCCGGCACGGAACGGAGAGCTGGGTTCTAGTGTAGCGCGCAAGGTTTCGCGGTTAGGGGGTTTGATTTAGTGACCGTTTAATTATGCGTGTGGTAAACCGCATCTAAAGAGAGCTGCTGTATGGTCAAATCTGTATTAAGGGCTCATCCTCCATTACGCGATCACTTACCAAAGTCCCGGAAATAATTTCTGAAGTGTAAAACTGATCCCTATTAAGCTGTCGCGATTACCTTTTCCAAGGTCCCAACAACTTATTTATTAATTATTCTCCTTTCAAAATATTTTCCGTTTTTGATTAACTCAAATCTATAACCAGCCAGCGTTGAACAAATGTGATATCCGATATTTAAAATGACGTCAATAGTGCAGACTGTGGCCAGAAAAGGGTAACGAAACCTAGAAACCTTTGGAGCGAGGTTGTGTTAACTCAGTCGTTTTGGTAGAGTTGGAGAAAATTGCGGAAACTTTCATACGTTTGGCGGAGAAGAAATAGCCGAACTTCTGCCTAAAAGCATAGCATAGCCGGGCTGCATTAAACGGTCAACCTGTCATCAAGGGTGACTGTTGCTTAACACAGGATTGACTGTATATGGTTATACACAAGTAAATTAAAAATGTTTCATGTTTGCTTACTCGCAGTCCACCCGTGATCGCACCTTGGATCAGCAATGTACGGTGTCCAGACCAGGCATGTCTTACATTGCAAGTGCTCTAGCAGTAGAGCTCTTGGTCTCTCTAACGCAGCATCCTTTAGGGTACGTTTGGTTGTCATGTTATCACTGAATGATCGACTATTACCCATAAAAATTGGATGGACTACGTAAATAATGGTGTGATATTCGTCAGCGACACCATTAATTAACCATTAAATAACTAAGCTTTGGACGTCGGTTTGCTCTCACTGAGGACTGAACAAAAGACCTTGCGGAGTGGAGTGAATTTAAAGGGCTATACTTCCATTCATTTGTGAAGAGAAACTGGTCGTAGAGGTGCTAATCTGTTCCTCTTCCAACGTAAGCCCCCAATCCCTTGTGTGCGGGAGCATTGTGTATAATTATGTAACAGTCCCTCAGAAAGCCTTGGATATACCCCATTGGTGTGTAATCTGTCTGTTGTGTAATGAACCTGCTTCATTTATCACGCTGAATTAGTTGTTACTTAAGGGAGGGCTTATTTGGCCAACATTTTAGCGTGGTGGTCCTTATAATCCGCTGTTTCTTTTACACATATCTTTTTACTGTAGCATGCGCAGTATATTCCTTTGTACGGTAGAAAGGTTTTTAGTCAATAATTGTCATAGTATTTTTTAATTGTTGTGTTCCGTTTGTAGGAATGGGGCTGCAGCTGATACGAGTGCAAAAGATGCACACCTAACAGCTGAACTCGAATGTCATCTGGGATTAGTACCACACCAGGTGAGACCGATCTCTTTGAAATAGTGTTGTAATTGCAATTATTGCTTAGCCCCAAAATAGCTCCCTTTCTGATGGGCTTAAATCTCCCGGTAATTCTTCATAACCAGCTACCGTTGGCCACACTGATTTGGAAGATTTTGCTGATATTCTTAAATACGGTTAATAGACCTTTCTATCTTAAAATAGTTTTTCCCAATTTAGACCACGGGATTTTCTTAAAGGAATTTGGCCTTGTTGTTTTTCATAAATTATGCATTCGAACGCTCGTGGTCAGGACAACGATTGAAGGAAACAGTTCCCTGGGCTACCATTTCGTGATTTGAAGTAATATATCAAACATGAGACTAAGTGTTTCATCCCCAGAAGAGAGTTGAAAATACGACGCGCAGGGGAGTATTTTTGACTAGGTGTTTCATCTGGTGATGAATCACTGTGTCGAATGCTTGATATTTCTTCTTAAACAAAACGATTTTAGAAGTAGAAATTAAGGATGCAAAAATGAGCAGTTTTTCATCTGATTTCTCAACACTCATTCAACATTAATTTCCTTTGTATTTTATGAGTTACTGATGAATTTGAGAAATGGGAAAACAAAGCATCCAACCTGAAAAGGTCTATTGTTTAAAAAAAAGGGATTGCAGAAGGCGCGGCAGCTCAGCTGTTTTCGGTAAAGCTGGAAAAATTGGTGGAAAATTTCACACGTTTTACAGAAATAGAAAAGAAATAGCCGAACTATGGCTTAAAATAATAACTCCTCGCAAAGCGTTTCGCGAAAGCGAGTTTATAATTTTGTCCTGCGCGGATCGCGTGAGGATCGCAAGCGGAGTGCGATTTTCCTGGCTACTCAAACCCCAGATATCCAGTGCTATTCACTGATTCACTTCCAGCTCTTTCAAGCTCGCGTACGTTACGATTAAAATGGCTTCCCGGTCTGCTACCGTAACAAAAAAAGAAATCTCACAAATAATGAAACAAGCTGTTCCCGAAATACCCGAAGAAGGTGACGAATTTTAACAGGTAAAGCTTTGTCTGTTTGCTTGATTGACTTGACTTGAATTTATGGATGAAACCGGTGAAAAAGGTTTTTGTTTACAAGCGCAAGTCTTGCGTTAGTCTTTACGTCTCTTGCGTTTTAAGTCTTGCGTTAAATGCCGAGAATTGCAAGCTGTACGACGTCGTCAGCAAGAGACTTCGCGGGGGTTTTTCTAGCCTGCGAGCAAGCTCTCTGTTTGGCGGGTATCGTGAAAAGTGGACGTACGAGAGGCACGCGAGAGGAGACGCGAAGGCAGGGTCGGGGGAGAGAAAGGCCTCTCGGCCCCTCGCGGCTTCGCCGCTCGCTCATGCGTTCTCGTGCGGCTCGCTTCGCTCGCCCAAACAGGAGAGCTTGCTCGCAGGCTACGGTTTTGCGAGACACCATTATAATATCGCTTTATCCGCCATATGTTCTTGGTCTTTAAATGCGACCAAATGAGTTTAAGTACGGCTCTTACCGTCAAAACTCTGCTTATTTTCCTCGAATACATCTTTGAATTATTGATAAATACAGCTCTACCCGCTTCAAACAGCATTTACGGGCAGAATTTCATGGGCAAAAACGTTAAACATAATTAATTTAACATGCACATTTAACATTCGGTGTCGTGGTGCTATAGACAAGGCGATGACCTTACACGTTAATGGTCCAGGGTTCGACTTCCGCCGGGCGAAATTTTTTTCTCTTCTGCTCTTGGTAGCCTGCGAAAGCATCTGATGTTTTCGGCTCTAGTTTCACCCGCCGAGAAAATATTTTTCGGAGGGAGAGAAGCGACGACCGGAATACGTCTGCGGTTCGCAGGCTATCTTTTTAGTCAGAATGCATGCGTGACCAAGAGCCGATTACTAGTAATCGGCTCCTGCATGCATGTAGTTTTTTCGACGATGAATGGGATGTTGTCCAGCTCTTTACATTCTCACGGGATAGAGATCAGCCATTTTCATCTGGTCAATTGTATCGATTGTGGACAGTATGTTGTCAACGCTTCAAGCATTAGCCAATCGTAGTTTTGATTTGTTAGGGCAACACATAACTCATTTGCTCTGGGTGTGGAAGCAGTCTCTCTCTTTTCTTCTTGGGCTACCTTGCTCGCCCTCGCGTGCACTCTCCTCACTAAATCTGAAGAAAAAGAGAGACTGCTCGCAGTCTACGTTTTTGTTGTCCGGTGATTCTGTTTACCGTGAAAGCAAGTCATTTGCCCAACGTGATAAGGATGTAGATTGTCCGTGGAAGGCGCCCAACACTTCCGCTTTAATTATTGACCAGAAATCACGACGAAACTAAAAAGATGTTTGACGCGAAATAATCCCAGACAGAGCTAACGTCAATGGTCTCATTTTTGCTGCACCAATTGTGACATCACATAGGTATTAAAAAGCTCATTTGTTAATTTGTTTTGTAGATTCGCGGTTTTTTGTCAAGATATCACTTAGTTCTTCCTGCCAGTCTGGCCTTTGACAAGTGCATTGCCTGTTCTTCTAAGGTGAGGCAGTTCATTGAATATTCTTGACGTCGGCGTTAGTATGTAGTTTCCCTTGCTATTACCGTTGTGACTGATGCTGAGATGAAAATGTGTGACAATAAATAGAGGATATTACACGGTGGCGCGAAGATATGAATTTTATTTTCGAGTGGCAAAACAATATTTTAGGAACGAGCGCAGCGAGTGAGTAAAATATTGTTTTTGCAACGAGAAAATAAAATTCATATCTTCAAGCGGCCGTGTAATGTCCTTTTTATTATATAGACAAAAAGACATCGATCAAATAACAGATTTTTATTTGCCAAAAAGTAATTGTGACAGCTCAGATTTACAGTACAGCAATATAAGACATTGGTTACAATAATCTTGAGAAATAACACTGACCTGAATAGGGCTCTACAATGACAAAATATAAGCAAAACTTTGAAAAATGTGTAAGTAAAATTCAAAAGACGCAAGACGCCTACAAATTTCGAAGGAAAATTACCGAAATTATGTTATCGATAAACTCACGTGTGAGATCATAAGTTATGAAAATAAACCACTCGGGTCCCGGATATATTTTTTATGAATTTTACGAGTGGCATATTTTCCAGTAAAACACTCGTGTCTACATAATAACAACGAGTAATTGTAATACATATAAATACGTACATACTTTATTTGAGTAGGTTTAGGAAGGCAGCCAAAAGCTGATGTGGACCTACTAGTACAAATAATTACAAAATAGAGATAGCAACATAGGCAAGAAATAAAACTAATATTTTAATAACAGCAGCTAAGTCGAATGTAAGACTCCTCGCAGTCTAACCTAAACTGGAACCGCTCATGAAAAGTATCTGGAAACCACCGTAGGGAAAATACTGTCAAGTTCTAAGAAACTGAAATTCTTTCCTATATGGAGTACATTTTCAACCCTTTCCCCGCACGAATCCGTAACTATTGTCATTTTCAAGGACTTTTTGCGTGCATTTGACTTTTGGATACTCAAATTTGCTTTATATCCAGGTGCTATCAAGCTACAGAGAAGATGAATTTTCCTTTCTCATGAAGGTTTTTAATGTTCCAAGCTACTTAGAGGACCTAACGGGTCTAACACAACTACTACAGGATACAAGAGTGAGTGAGGTAAGTCAATAATGATATTATCACATCGGATTACAATCGAACCTCCACTAACGGCTACCTCTCCACAACAGCCACCTCTTTTAATACAACGGCCACTTTTTTCCGGGCAGACAGTCCATTCATAGACTCTTGTTTACACCTCTCTACAACGGCAACGGCCAAGACAATGGCCAGTTTTTCAGCGTCTGACGAAAAAGTCAAGAATGTTCACGAAATTTGATCTGTATTGCGCGTCGAAGATCAATCGTGGCAATCGCATTTTGATTGCTTTTTGATTGTGCTCCATTTATAGATCTTTATACAGCTGCAGTAAGCAAAAATTGTCTACAAAACTTATAGCGTTGCGAACCTTGCACGTTTTTTCATGTTATCATTTTGATTCAAAACATTATGTAAGTTTTTTAGTTTGTATTATCTCGATATAGTGTTTATTTTATGATTGGATTACCGTTATAGGCTACAGTAAGCATGAACCTGCCACAATAAACATGTTCCTCCACGTTCTACTCCCCAAAAAATCACCCCTACCTTCCCATAACGGCCACTTTTTCTCTGTCCCCAAGGTGGCCGTACTGTATATGTGCGGAGTAAATGTACGGACATTTCCAAACAAACGACGAACTTACCTGAATCAATAGTTTGGAAACGGACTTCATACCTCATTGTGTACTCCCAGAAAATATTCGCCCTCCCACACACACACACACACACACACGCATGTACGGAGGAAAACGGAAATTCAGAGGGGTAGGGTGTCTAAAAGGAGGTAATTTCCGAGGGGATGGGGGGAGGGGTGACCGCTCGAGGTCTTTTCTCCGGGGGCTCCAAGTAAGATTGGGGAGTTATTAACAACTAACAGCTGTTCTTTTGAGCAAGCTATCAGTTATTTTACTGTTCATCGGTGTTTCAAAGCAAAAATTATCTTGTATTTGTGGTCGGCTGGGTGCTTTTCTCACGGCTTGCACGATAGTTTATGGACCTTTTTGTAGCACTCGATTGTCGTCGGCTCATTAATAAAATTGGTTATCTATCTGCAGTTGCTTTGTGACACAATATATTGTGGTATTCACTGTAGTGTGGTCATGTTCTAATAAGCCTTCTTCTAACATGATTTTAACTGAAAAGAAGTGATTCAAGTTCACTGCTTTGAGAGATGGCATAACTTGTGTCGTGTACGTCTGTACAGCCTCTATTAACCTAAGCGACTTACCGTTTATAATTAACTAAGAAAGACCTCTAAAAGGCAAAACTGAGATTATTTGACACTGTGTTAACATAAATAAAATTTTTTTTGTCGTTTTATTGTAGAAATAATTATCTTTCACATAAAAGTATAGTGCAACGGCATTTTTGAGGGAAATATTCTTTCCAGGGGGTACCCAATCTAAGTTGGAAAATTACGGAAATTCCAGGGCTTGGGGTCTAAAACAAAAGTGCCCTCCGTGGGGGGTATGGATATTTTTTGGAACTACCATTTAGGGATGGGCGTGAGTCCTTGTGAAGACTCAGTGTATTCAAAATAGGATTGTGGAAAATCATGCCTCAATGTCCGTTGGCCCACCTTTGTTGTTTGTAAAAATGGAAAAAAGTATGAAAAAAGTCATACATTGAGAATAGATAAGCACAAGAATTCCTTTGAAAGTGATCTACTGTATTTCCAAAAGAATAGGTTCCGTACAATAATTAGTGATACTTTGTGAGCATTCAAATCCAAACTATATCTTTTTCTCCCTTTCCGGCAGCATTCCGTTCTCACTGATAACATCCACTCCTAAAAGCGATCTATCCCTAATCCGATGATAGGCAGCAGCTAATAATGGTAATGATGGCGCTTAGTGGTCTGTTTATGTTTGTAGGTGTGGGAGATGAGTGATGACGAAATACTTGAGTAGTTCGTCGCCATGTCTTTAACTTCAAGCGTTGCGGGATGCGTCATTAGCGACTCTAGAATCAAAGCTCAAGATGAAATACTGTCCAGTTATGTTGAGTTTGTTTTCATCCAGTTAGAAAGCCAGCGTTTAATATACAACAACCCATGAAGGGGAATATCGATTTTAGTATTTGCCAAATCTGATGGATAAAAATTGTTTTTCATTCAGTAAATAAATGCTATGGACATTTTTCACGTTGCTTTACTTTAATACACCTGAAAAAAAACGGGCATGACAGTGTGAGGTAATCACATGTTTGCTTCAATTTTATGTAGATCTAGTTCAACTTTCCACCGAAAACAACTTTAAAAAAATATTCAGGGGCACCCAACGGGAAATTTTGAGGAAAAGACCTAAAAACAACAACAAAGCATGATTAAAGATTTCTGAAGCCATTTTAAGCATTTTGGGAAAAATTTGTCTGTTAAATATTCTAAGATATATTCTCTCCCTAGCATACTGAAATCTCTATTGCCACAAAAAAGAAAAATGATTAGAATATGAAACCTTTAAAAAACCGTTAAGTTTTGCACCGGGGGGGGGTACTCGCAGAAAAATTGGGTAGGGGTGTGCGGCCCGCTTCCCAAAACCCTTACCCTATTTATGACCAAAATCTGCGATTTTCCCTACCCTATTTATGACCTAACCAAAAATTTGATACCCTATTTATGACCTGACCCTTAAGTCAATACCCTGTTTCAGACCTGCCTTATAATTATTTCCCTAGTTCAGACCAATGTTAAAGGCAATGTTTATCTGCTTTTATTAGGTTAGGGGGACACGATAAGGAAGTAGCTTCTTCTAAAAAGGTGCATTCAAGACTACAGTGCAAAAATCGTTACCCTATTTATGACCAAAAAGGCGGCAAAATAGCCAAAATCGATACCCAATTTAAGACCAAAACGGCTAAAAAACCCTACCCTTTGGGGCCGCACATACCTATATAGCCCATATTAGGGAGTACCCCCCCCCCCCCGGGGTTTTGCACCTCAAAAAGAAAAGTCGACATCGATCAGTACTTACAGACCCAGTACTTACTTACTAGTAATAACCATAGGTCACGGAGTGCGGGCAACAACGAAGCGCTTTTGCTCGATCGCTGTGCTTTGCGTAAGTTTCACGCGACAGATAGTCAAAACACGCGTGATCATATTTCCAGTGATAGCAAATCCAAACGCGCGTGTTCAAATTGAGTTCTGTGCATTCCATTCATTCTTAGTGGAAGTCCAAGCGCGCCATTTGTCATATCTGAAATTGCGCCAAATTAGAATTAACTCCCTTTGTCATTCAGAATCTGTGATAAGCCACAGCACGGAAGTGCGCGGAGTTGAAGAGCATTAACCGCCAAAAACACGTTGCTTTATCTGTTTATATTCCAAGCGGCACGTAACAAGACAATTATAGCTTCCTCAACGTTCACCCCCAGCATGCTGGGTTTGTACAACTGAAGGTAAGCGCGGCCCTTTTTCACTCACTTTAATCGAAAGCAGAACTCATACCGACACGCACCTTTACAATCGTTAATTGTGCCAACGACAAAATTCTCGCATCTGATTGGTTCTCATCAGTCCTCATTTATTGTAAAAATAATCGGACGGGTCAAATCGGCAAGTTAAACAGCCGATAAAATGGTGCTAGCCAATAAAGTTTAACAATGAAGTGGATGCTAGCAAATCAAACCCGTGAGCCGTGAGCAAGTTTCCCAGCTTCAGTTTCATTGACACATTTAAGTTTTTAAAAAGGGTATTTAAAATAGTTCAGGCAGTTGAAGCTCCAAAGTCGATAATCTATCCGAAAGTTGAAAGCCATTTTTTTTTGTTTCGGAGGCTATAAGATGATCAGTAATAAGGGTTTTAAATTGAAGTATATATTCCAATCCTATGATTCTCCCACTTTGTTATTGACACAATTATTTGGTGGTAGGACTTCGTGTCAAACAATTCATCCGACGTAACCACTCAGCCAAATCGAACGCTTTATTAGTCGAACTTATCGAACGATTGGGTTCGGTTAAGTTCGTTAATCGAACACAATCACAGTCTCACCAAAAAATTTTAGCTATTGAACCCAGTAGAACTTTGATTGAATTCGATACGGTTCGATGATCGAAGTTTTCAATTCGATTGAAAGTGGGACGTTATACAGCAAAATTAACAGACCTGCTACTAGTAAGGCTGTAAAGCGATGTGAAGGAAAGATAATTTGCAGCGCTAGGATGAGGGTAAACACTTGGTTAACAGCAACCTACTATCTACAGGCTCTTTTAAGTACATGATATTGTTAGCTTTCACGGATTTCGAGCGACCGTGGAGCATAAGTAATCTGTCCGAGCGTCAGATGAAGGGAGGTTCTGCGCAAAGAAAACCACTCCACCAGCTCTAAGACGATACGTACTAAAGTCTCTAGAATCTACGCCTATGGCCGAAAGACGCTCGTTAATTAATTCTCTAGCCCTCGTATAACTGAGTCTTCTGGAACATAGTGCATACGAATTACTGTTCTTCAGAAATCGCACTGCCCCAAAATTATAGAGTGAAGAATTTCTATTGACTCTGACGCAGTCAAAAAAGCAACCGATGAGAACGTAAGGACAATTAATGCCTCCGATCTTGGAGATAAATACTTTGTTACCTTCCCTATATTGATCGGTTTTGCTACACTTAAGAAGGATTTCTAAATAGTCATTATGTACTGTTACATCGGAAAATTGCAAATCCGGTAACTCATTAATCCTAAAGAGACCATAGAATCCTAAAGCAAATAATAAGGCTGTGCGCAAATCCTTGAGATTGCTATTGCTGTGAGCTAAAGTATCGGGAGAGACAGGCTCTTTTTTCCTGAAAGATCTACTAAACAAACGCTTACCCAACTCGACAATATCTACTGGGTTACCTAGAGGAGAATGGGGAATAATATCATAACCCACTTCAAGGAAGAGAAAACCGAAGTGAGGACGGAATAAGAATTTTTTATGAGAGGTATTCGGATACCAGAAAACTAACGCAGGGGAGAGTGAAAACCGCTCCCTTGGACTTGAAATAAGCACGAAAACTTCTCGAGTGAAGCATATATTTTCTGACAGTGGAGATAGTTTTTGATGAAAGCAATTGCCCTCAGCATACGCTCTTTCTGAATACCGCGAATTTCAACCCACGTGGAAGCATTCCGCAAATCCTGAAAAAGTAACTGAAAAACTACAAATCAAAGTAAAGCATGCTAGGAAAAGAATTCGTTGTATATAATGCATAAGATGTACACCCTACCGCAGTAAAAGTGCAGGCGTAAAAAAAATTCCTCAACTGGCAAACACAAAAGTGCCGCGAAGAAAATTGTAATAGCTATCCGGCAACAAAAAAAGAAAAACCTTATTAGCCATCCGGCGAAGGCCTGAAAAAAAAACTCTCCTAAAACTGAATAATTAACTCTGCCATCCGGCAAAAATAACGGGAACAAATATCCCGAAAAAATCCAGTGTTCAAAAAACCAGGGGCATATCAAATGACAAAAGTGCTTCCAGGGGAACCCTACGAAAACACAAGCCTTACCTCGAGGATATGACCGGACCAAGAAGGAGAGCCTAAGAGTGATTTGGTGTTGCGCCCTAGACGCAAAGCCAAGGCGCCCTCAAAAAACCGATAATCAACTACAAACCTCCAAAAGGTCCGAACCAAAACCAATCTCGTCCCCAGAGCCTCCGTTACGTTTGTCCAGCGGATGGGGCAAAAGGATCGCGGCCTCTGGGAACGAGATTGAACCAATAGAGGCCAAAAAGGGGCTGAAGGCCAGCAGGAGAGAACTAGCGTGCCCTGGGCCTTAGAGTGAAACATAAAATTAAACACTTTGGACAAGAGAACGACAGGGGTTACCACCCAACAATTTTCGCCCTGCCAAACTTGAAAAAATGCTTCAACGCCAGAGGAAACCCGGGTTCCAAAACCTAGAGAAAAATCTAGGAACTTTATAGTTGTAAAACGTGGCAAAACAGTCGACGGTATGGGGACCCCAACGGCCATCCAATAGATGGAATATTTGCGGAACAACCTCCCAATCATCGTAGTCAATAATTTTACTAAGAGCAAAAAAAAAAAGTCGGAAGCCAAATTATGCACGTTGAAGTGCATGCTACCAACCTGAATGACTCTAGCAGCCCCTTGGCTGTCAGTAAACCATTTTACCCTGGAGACAAACATAAGCTGAGCCAATGAAACCGAAACAAACAGGATGGTTACCAATTCACGATATGTGGAACTTTGCGAACGCTCAAAAACCGTGAGCATTGTGTGGGTGTAAATATCCGTACCCGAAACATGATCCCCTGAGCACCATCCCAAACAATGCCCAGCCAAACAATGACCTGGTCTACGTTGGCGACAAAACCCGCCGACGCAACGTTTGAACTAATGAGGGAAGAGCAAGTACTAGATGAGGCCTCGCTCCTGAATACCCAGAGACCTCCAATGTTTAACCAATGGTCTAAAGAGCTTTTAGAAAATATATGGAGCGGACGATGACCCAAAAGGAAGCACGGTAAACATGAAAAATTTCGTGTCTCCTTCCGGCATAACCCAACTGCAACCGAGGTAGGCGTGGTGATCGGGAAAAATATCTAATGTGGCGAGCAACCGTTTGCTTTTCCATCGAGCATGCGCGTCCACGTGATGACTACGAATATACAACGACAAGAAGGCAACGAGAACTTCAACAAAACAGTAGGTTTAATAAGCAAAACAGCAACTTTGCACATGCATCACGCTTTTATTTTTGCATTTCTTTGCCATTTTTGCACGACTTCGACGTGAAGATGCCTAATTTTGCCTTTTATGGAGTGCGTAAACAAGCGATGACGAAATTTATTCTTCTTTTCGCTCTTGAACTTGGATATGGTCCCTTGGAATTCAACTTCATTTGGGTTCGCCTACATTTGACAAAGTAAGTAGATAGGAATAAATACTCCAAAGAAATACTGAATATCCACAGCAGACTTGCGTTAAAGCAGCAATTGTAAGCGTAAGCAAATGCGCTGGAGCCTAAACTTGCTTTCAAACAGGATTTACATGTTTAAAGTTAATTTATTCGTCCATAGCGCTGGACGGCGGCTCGATCAAAGAAGCAGACGGCTGCTCGCAGTGGTTTCTCTCCCTTCGTAGCGTAGTGTCCGGCCTGGAGAAACTACTGCTTGCAGGGTAACACCGGTGTGAAACCTTTGAAAACCTTTTACATATTGATATTGCTCCAGTGAGGAGAACTCTTTCAGGGAATTTGCACTCAAAACATTGGACGATGATTTTTATCAGTGTAAATATATATATTTAGTATATACTAAAACAGTGGATAGTGTTTTTCGGGCGCTCTGATTGGCTACTCAATCGGTGAATATCCTGCACTATTCACTGATTCACCTCCAGTTCCTCCGCGCGAGCAACGCCAAACTCGCGTAGGTTGCGAGCAAAATACTTTCCCGGTTTGCTGCCGTAACAAACTAAGAAATTTCACAACCAATCAAGCAAGCTATTTCCGAAATACATGAAGAAGGTGACGAAGTTCGGTTTGAAGGTTTTAACAGGTAAAGCTTTGTCTTTTTGACTTGAATAGTTATCGATAAAACCGGTGAAAAAGTTTTTGTTTACAAATAAATAAGCTTAAGACTAAATTTAATAATCTTTTTTACAGAATTATTTTAAACACAAACAGAATTCACAACTCCTTTTGAAGAAACTTCCCCGCAAGAGCTAAACAAACGCCTTCAAAAGTTTTATTTGTCGCTAAGAAAAAGCGACGACCGCGGCCGTTCGGTCATCGCGCGCCAAAATTGTAATCGTTGGCATTAGTTAATGAGTTAGAAATCATCATTTTGTGCTCAAATATCTCACTGTTTTAGTATATACTAAAACAATTATTCACCTCAGTGTCGGTGGCTAGTAGTAGGTATTTACCTCGCCGCTTCGCGGCCTCGGTAAATATCTAATACTAGCCACCGACACTGAGGTGAATAATTGTTATTCCTCGAGACCGAATAGACCGATTGCAAATATGGCCAGGTAACTGCAGTTTTCAAAAAGGGCAACAGGCTAGATGTAAATAACTATAATCCTATATGACTTCTAAGTGTTCTTAGCAAAATTCTGGAAAGGGTGGTTTGTAGATCTTTTGATAATCATCTGACCACTCACAATCTCTTGTCTGACAGACAATGGGGATTTAGGAAGGGTCATTCTACAGAAAGCCTTTTGTTGCACCTTACTGAAGTGTGGAAAGAAGCCTTGGACGATGGGCTTAAAGTAAGCGTATTGTTCATTGACTTTAGGAAAGCCTTTGATTGTGTAGATCATGTCATTCTGGGTGAGAAACGTAAGGCATTAGGAGTGTCAGAAGATATGTGGATATGGTTGATGGATTATTTAGCAAATAGAAGCCAATTGACACAAAAAGATGGCGCATCTTCGGAATCTAAACCTGTACAAATTGGGGTCCCTCAGAGTTCCCTGTTGGGACCTAGGCTTTTTATTACTTATGTAAATGATCTTCCAGACAGCATTAGAAGCGGCGAAGTTTACATGTATGCTGACGACACTACCATTTATACCATTGGTAATACTACTGATGAGGTTGCTATAGCCCTCCAGGTGATATTAGATCAGCTACAAAACTGGTGCCATAAGAATAGCTTAATTATTCATGAAGGGAAATGCGATGCAGTACTCCTGGATACAAAACCCTTTATTGGCCCCCTGAAGCCTTTAGTTTGGGGAGACAAAACCATAGAATACAGATGTCTCCTGGGCCAACAATGTAAAATCGGTCTCTACCTCGTACAGCTCTAAAGTTAAAATGTTAAGACGCATAAGCTTTTTACCAAAAGCCAGACTAGAAATAATTTATAACAAAACAGTAATCCCATGCGTACTATACGGTATGGCCGTGTGGGGCTCTTGCTCAGATTATTTCATGAAAGATCTAGAACTAATCCACCTCAGAGCAGCAAGACTTATTACACAAACTACCAAGAGACATGGAAGACGAAACAGTTCTCATAAATGCAAGTTGGATGCCATTGAAATATTTTTATTGCTCTCGTATTCTAAATATAACGCATAGAGCTTTTTATGATTTAGAGTTAGGTGACAAAATATAAATAGTTTAGTTGTTAAGAACGCTTCTTCTTATAGTCTTACGAAATTGTTAAGTGTTGTCGTATCTAGGCCAAGAACCGAACAGGGTCGTCGTTTTTTTAAACACAAAGCTGCAATTGCCTGGAACTCTATACCTGACACTATCAAACAGCTCGAAAACCCTCACTCTTTTAAAAGAAAGGTAAAATCGATCAAGACCTATGTTAGGGACATCAGTTTTCAAACGGAATTCTCAGTAAATTATAATAAGAACCCTGAATTTACATATTTTTAAATTATTTGATTATCTTACATAATTGTACTGTAAATCTTTGTTCTCTTATCTAGACTTAGTAGTAGTAGGTCCACATCAGCTGTACAGTTGCTTATTACAAACCTACTTATCAAATAAATGTATGTATGTATGTATGTATTGTCGTATGTACTCACCCCAAATTTTTTATTTATTTCACTGCCGCTCATTTTCACCTTGCTGGCCGCTAGCATTTCTCATTTTCTCTTCGCCGCTGTGAAATTTTCACGTTTTTCCTCCAACGAAATTCTCCTCCTAAATAACACCAAAAAAGACTCGACTTTGTTGTTGTTGTTTTTTTCTCTCTAAAAGTCCGGGTGGCCATGCGATTTCCTTCCAAAATCAGTTCGAGTTAGTGTGGTTTCATACCTGTACATTGGTATACCTGTGGTGCGGAAGGTCGGACGGTCACGTGATTACCTAAATTTCTTGGATGGATGGATTACCAAATTTTCTTAGGTATAGGCCACTGCGAAAAATACTATGATATTCTCAAATTGCCGCTTGCGTAGAGCTTTATGTAAACCGCAAGTTCACCTATCTGGTTCTTTGCACACACTGCACGTGCGATTGCCAGTTTCTACAATAGAATTTAGGGTACGTATAGGAGGCTTGCCCTGAAACCTGTAGTTTTATCTTTGATTAAAGACACCTTCCAACTCACTTCTCTCGTTGCCGAACTCCTGAACGTAATGAAAGACGAAAGTAATATTAAAAGTATACTTTGGCCAGCGTTGCCGGAAGGTTCGCGCAAATACCCTGAGTATGCAAATTTTTGACAACCCGTGCAAATCGTGCACAAAAGATAATGCAAAAGTAAGGTTTACATGAGGTACTACCCAAACGACAATTTTGAGAATATTAGGGTATTTTTCGAAGTGGCCTTTAGGGACTGGTAAAAAAGTATAGGGGGGGGGAGCATTTGGAAATGTGGTTGATAAAAAACACATGACCCACCCCCTCCCTTCGGCACAAAAATGACTGACCCACCCCTAAAGCAAGGTTGGAAATTGCATGACCCACCCCCTAGTTAAAACATGGATGTTCGGTTTCCTCTTAATAATCCAATAAAACCTTGTTCTGTGCTTGACAAAATTTGTTGATACACTGCTACAAGCAATATCAAAATCACAGAAATCATACCTTTCACTAAAAAGACGAATGTGAAAAACTCGCGAACATTTCTTGTTTCAATGGATGTTATGAGTCTTGAAAATTTCAACAAAGACAACCCATTCCTACACATTACTTGCCGGAAATGCTTAGATTAATCCTCAACGAAAATTTCTTCCACTTCGGTGGAAAGCAATACCTACAAAACCAAGGAACTGCAATGGGCACAAAGACAGCAGTTTTGATTCCTTTGCCAATATTTTCATGACATATATTGAAACAACAACTCTAAGCAAAACTGTCTTTAGAACAACGGTTTGGAAATGCAACGTACACGATATCTTTTCCCTATGGGACATGAGTAAACCAGACATCGAAGCCTTCATTGAACAAGCGACCTTACATCACCTAACTATTGAATTCACGGCCGAAACATTTGACACTGAGACTGCGTTTTTAGACACGGTTGTATACAAAGGCACAAGATTCAAGGAAAAATCTATCCTTGATGCAAAGACACATTTTAAACAAACGGAAAGCTTCTTGCACACACATTTCACCTCGTGTCACCCTCCAAATGTTAAAAAAGAATTTGTCAAAGGAGAAGCCTTAAGAATCCTACGAAAAAACTCCTCAGAAACAACCTTTGAGGAAAATAATTCAAATTAAAAAAAACAACGCTTGACGGACGGAGGCTACCCACAATCTTTCAGGGGCACCCAGCGTCAATTTTCGGAAAACATCTGTTCGAAAGACGATTTGAGATCTAGAATTTTCGGAACATTTATTGTAAAATTTCTTGCTTGTCTGCCCCTCCTAGGATTTTCGAACATCTAAAAAAATGGTATAATTGCCCATTTTTAACGGATTTTTACCCTAAGGTCACCTAGAATTTTCGGGAGCCTTTTTTCTGGCTGAAATTTTCGAAATCGTAAGTTTTGATCCCTATAATTTTCGTATCACTAGACTTTCAGCTAGGAGATCCGAACAGATGCAAAATTTTTAGGGGATAAAAATATGCCTATATCTACTGTTTAAATACTAAAATACGTTTAACAATGCTATGTTGAAGTGGTTTTGAACTATATTCTCGTTGAGTGCCCCCTATCTTTGATAGAAAACCTACTATCAGAAATAAAAGGGAGTCTAAACTCTTAAAACAAAACAACGAGGAAAAAAGAAATATTGTCATTCGTGACACAATACCAGCCCTCAGTGTCTACTATAAAGCAAGCTTGAATGAAAAAATGGAATCTTATACAAAACCAACTATAACTTCAATAAATTTTAAAAGAACCACCAATCATTTCCTTACAAAAAAGGAAAATCGTTAAAGGACATGCTCGTTAGAGCCGAAAAAAAAAGGTTGACAGAGGGTTCCACGCCCGTATAGATGTGCGGCCTGTCAACCTTTGTATTTTCTCGCACAACAGGTTTGTGAGTATTTTAGCAATAATTACAGCTCGTTGTGTTTTATATAACAAGTGTAGTCAACTGTTTCGTTAGTAGTTAGTAAAAAATAGGGTGACCCACCCCCTGAGGGTAGCCGAAAATTGCACGACCCACCCCTTGCACAAGGCTCAAAACCTCATGACCCACCCCCTCTCTGCTCCGGCCCACCCCCCTATACTTTTTGACCAGTCCCTTAGGGCTCCGCTCGCGCGCGCGAGGAGCTCCCCTAAAAACGTGGTAAGCCTTCCTAAAAAAATATCACTCCATCAAACTAATATAAAAAGAAACCACCAAGGACTTAAGATTGTATTTTGTCTTCATTTTATTACGAAAAATTTAGTACCATCCTATTGTTACAAACTCCTGGCCTCAGTTGTTCAAAACGTGGATAAAGGTATCCACAGGACAAATCTTTATCCAGTGGATAGCGCAAATTGGATAGTGATTTATCCAGTGGATAGCGCTATCCAATCTTTGAACAACCTGATCAGTAGTTCGGCAAAGGGTATATCGGTGTTCATTATTTTCCCATTTCATATCACGAGCATCTGTTATTCGAATCAGTGATTTTCCAGTCATGTAACCTAGTTGGGCAAAGTTATACCCTTGCAGCCGACTCCAATTCATATTTGGGCAACCAGATCTACAAATTTGAACAAAAGTTATTGCTGAGATCACTGTTACTAAAACAGTTTTTGTATATATTAATCTTCCTGAAGCATTTACTAGAGCACGCTCTAGTGAATGATTTCTGCTTCAATTTTTTATTCTTATTTTCAATATGTTTGGCTGATTGGATACTAGGATCGTGTTTTCTCTCTCAATAAAATTAAGCCTATTCCTAGTATAAGAATACTGAAATAAGGATTGTTAAAATGTTCTTGTTCTGGAAATGATAAAAATCAACCTTTTGATTAATGTCTTATCACATTCCAACTTGCGGAAGTTTACTTCGATCACTTCTCTTAACTCAAAAATTCCCCAAAAAGGTATCAACGAAGAACATCTTGGAACGCACCACGGAAACTAGTACTGAAAATGAAGGACACACACGTCAATCTTGCTTGGGAGTTAGATTATTTACGTCAGGCTGCAGAAATTCTTGGACCATATTGTTCACAACGTTTTGAAGAATTTCCATAGCAGTTGACATGTCAAGACTGAAACATGAAAAAGAATGAAAAGCAGCAATTAATCTGACATAATATATTGAATTCATACATATTTTTTCCATCTGTTGTGTCAAGAGTAATCTTAGCCCAATCGTGACAATGACAAACCCTAGTTTTCAAATCTGTTTCATAAGGCTGCCGGAAAAAATTTCTTCAATATTACGCTGTTCTGGTTTTTCAAAACCTCCATGCGATGGAAGCTTTTTCCATTACATTTTCGTCAGAGAACAGAGGAAAAGTCAAAAGATCTTCATTAGAGTCAAAGATCCACCAAAAAATTACTTTCACCTTATTGTTATGGAGTTGAAAATTGTTTACCAATTGATTTGAGCGCTTTGTAGTGTGCAGTGGGGTTACTTGATATTTTACAACTCTCTAGACCAACTCGTGATCAAGGATATTTCGCAGTTTTGAAAAGGCCACTACACTTGTACTCAGTGACTTGAACAGCCGTGTAATCCTAGGAATTTCCACGAAGCCTTATTTGAGCTGTGTCATTCATCACAATAAATTATAAGTTTAGCAAGTCACCATTACCCATGGGTGGTTTTCAGACGAGACCTGTTACGTTTTGTTTTGTTTTGCTTTGTTTTGCAAGCTTTTCTGGACACAGGCCTGCCCAGAGAGAATAGGCACGAACGGGACTCATAGGTCCCATGCACGGCGTCATCCCTACTCAATCCCACAACCCGTAGAGGTTGGCCACACCACCGCGGTCTACGTCCCCTACTCTTTTCGAACAGTAGTGTGGGCTCTTTTACGTCCCACAAGAAAAGATCAGTGAAAGTGCTGTGAGACGGGACCTACGGTTTTTCGTCCTTATCCCAGGAGACTAGAAAGTCTAACGATTTGCAGATGTCATTACAAAGGCAGCACTTTCTTCTCAGTTATTTAAAGACCCTAAGTGTTGGTCCGGCCGGGGTTTGAAGCCGCGACCTCCCGCTCAGCAGACCGGCGCTCTCCCAACTGATCTAACCCGACGGCGGCTACTAAATTAAATTGGGGCTTTTCACATGACGTCACCAAAATTCAAACTAAGAAACTACCGATTCTTCTGAGTTTCTGCTTTCATGAGGTATTGAGGCCCCTAAAAACCTTTCGTCACCTTTTGCGATAGAAGACGCTTGAATGTCTAGGCTTTTACGTGACGCGGCATTTAGCTTGCGACCGGGAAAGCTCTTATTTGTGCCTCTCAAAGGGACACCAACATGGCTTTTCCATATAAAGCCTTATACATGAATGTTTAACGGAAAAACCGTCTGGGATGCGTGACACTTCTATTTCAATAACTGATAAGGTGATACTCGGTAAAGTACGGTGGCCCAAAAGTGTCACGGCAATAAAAAATTTTTCTCACGGCAATTTCAAATTTCAATTTACTTACGGTAATTTCAATTTTACTCACGGCGATTTCAATTTCTTCACAGTAACATCAATTTTACTCACAGCAGTTTCAATGAGTATCAGAAAATTCTCTGCATGACAATAACAATAAGCCTTACAGTCAGTACACTTAAGAGAAAGCTGAAACAGTACAATTTAAGAAACACCATTGTGGAAATAATAGATGGTCCTGGAAGTTCTGTTGGCTACCGCAGCGCTAAAGTTTGGCACTTTCTCGAGCAGAAGGGAATAGGAGTACCCTGAAGCAAAGTGGAAGAAATTGTTTGTGAACTAGACCTCGATGGCGTTGAAGCGAGAAAAACACACAGGCGGGAGTATACCTGCCCAGGCCCAAATAAGGCTTGGCCGCAGACGATTATAATAATAAAGATAAGGCCGTCCGGATATCCCATAAATAGTTGGTTGGGTATAAACAGGAAAGTACTTTGGCTGTATGTCACGCGTTCTGACAACCTACCTTGCAACATAGCTGCGTATCATCTGGATGCTCTTCGAGAGAACGGAGGATGGCCCCTTGAATTATATACCAACTTGGGCACAGAAAATGGAATATTATGGCTGGTATACAGTCTTTTTCGAAATTGCCGTGCGTGAAATTGAAATTGCCGTGAGTAAATTGAAATTGCCGTGACTCTTAAGGGCCACCGTATTAAAAAAATACCAAAAGTGTCAAATGTTTTCAAAAAACACAAACGTTTCGGGTTTATGACCCTTCTTCAGTGTGAGAAAAAACCGTTGTACAGTACTTCGCAACATCATCATTTAACCACCGCCTAGTTGGCTCAGTTGGGAGAGCGCCGGTCTGCTGAGCGGGAGGTTACGGGTTCGAAACCATGCCGGACCAACTCAGGGTCTTTAAATAACTAAGAGGAAAGTGTTGCCTTTGTAATGACATCTGAAAATGGTTAGACTTTCTAGTCTTCTCGGGTAAGGACGAAAAACCGTAGGTCCCGTCTCACAGCACTTACACTTAGCTGGTTCTTGTGGTAGAGTTGGGGACGTAGACCCCGTTGATGTGGTCAATCTTCACACATCACATCATTCACATCATGGGTTGGGTGGGTACAGTAAGCTCATAAATGGACTGAGAGCGGCTGCCAGTGGCGCCTTTGTATGCTGACGTCCCAGCTTACTGTTCACATGTTAAAATGTATTGTAAGAGGGCATGTCTGTTGTCCTCTTATCCACGACTCTTCAGTCATTCATTCATCATAAAAATGATAGAAGGCGCGCGCGCAGGATGTATATAACGTCCCAATTCAAATGAGACTTTACAAGCAGGTTGAGTTTGATCGTCCCGGTGAACGTAGTCCTGAATAGGACTGTTGTTGTTGACAGTGACTGACGTTTCGACAAACTGTGCAGCAGTCATCTTCAGAGTCAAAGTGAGTTGTATCACGCCAGTTGATGGTATTATACACTGGTTATTGATCTGATTGGTCAATTACGTCGCGATGTTATTGGTCGTCTGTCAATTTTATTGGCTATGAAGACTCGTAATCAGTAATTGGTGCGTTTCGATCCGTCTGTTGTCGCTGTTAAACAGTCGTCTATTGTTAGTCAAATTGTCAGTTCTCCAGTTATCTCTCGTAGTTAGTTTTGCTTAATCTCGTCAATAAGTCGTTTGCACGGTGCTAGTAACTGTTGGTTACGATTCAGTCACGGTGGCGTTTGTTCTAAGTTAGTAAACCAGCTTTCTAAAGTAAGTCCTTGATAGTAGTCTGTAGAATACGTTATACATGTCGCAGAGTCCCAGTCAATTTGATGTTTCGTCTGTAAATGGTGTTCAGCAATGTGATTGTTGACGTCACCATTCCTCGTCGCTCGTTCGTGTTCGTTTAGTCGCGTGGTAAGGTTTCTGCCGGTTTCACCATGTAAGAAGCCTGGCAGTCGCAGCATTTGATCTTGTATACTGCTCCCTGTCTGTCCTCCGGTTTGTCTTTGTCCTTGACATTAGTAAGTATTCGTCGTAAAGTGGTTATCGGTTTGTGTGCAACTTGTAATATACGTGATATAGTTTCAGAGGTGCCTCTGAAGTGCGGTATAGTCGCTGTTGTAACCGACGCCAGAGTTGACGTTGGACTGAGTGTTGGAATCAGTGTTGCTGTGAGTGTTCCGTCTAACAAAGTCCGTGTTGTAATTGTTCTTACTAAAAACATTCTTAAGATCATCAGTCTCGTCTTGTAGGCTGTCAGGTGAGTCACAAACTAGTTGCGCTCGTCTCGTCAAAGTCCGGATAGTAGTAGCTTTGTGAGAGGTGAGGTTGTACGAAGACTGGTCTAGTAATCGGTCGGTACGTGTCGGTTGTTGTAAATAGTCGTTTGTAGTTTGTAGTTTGTTGTTGTCGCGAGTGACCAAGCAGTCTACAAAAGGTATCTTACCATTTTCTTCGATCTCCTTGGTGAACTGTATGTCCGCGTTCCGTCTTTGTGTACGACGGTGAATGTGTCGTCAACGTAACATAACCAAAGAGGTATAGTTCGCGTATATGTAGCTAGGGCTTGGTCCTCGATGTTTTGCATGAAAATTTCTGCTACAACAACAGAAACGAAAGCGCCCATAGCCGTACCGTGTAACTGTTTGTAGTGTTTGCCGCTGTACTGACAGTACGTCGAAGTCAAACATAGGTTGAGTAAGTCCATAATGTCGTCTGAAGGTAGTGGTAGTTCAACAGTAGAGTTCTTAATAGCGTTCTCAGTACAGTCTAGAGCCAGTTGAAGTGGAATACTGGTGAACAATGATTTCACGTCAAAGGACACTAGTTTGTGGTCGTCCGGTATCTGTATTGTCTTAATGGCGACAATAAAGTTCTCAGTAGACTGTAGTTTATGTCTAGATTCGTCAGTGAGAGGTTTCAGTACGTTAGTTAAGTATTTAGACAGTTGGTGGGTCGGGGACCCACAGAAAGAAACCATGGGCCCCATAGGTATGTTGGGTTTGTGTAGTTTTGGTAGTCCATACAGCTTGGGTGGCTGCGGAGTCTGATATTCAGTCCTTTCGGCTGTACGGTGCCTAGTTGAAAAATCAACCGCATCTCACATTGTTTTCGTTGAATGTCAGTACCACTGCGTAATGCAACACCACGCACCTGGACATCAGAAATACTGTGGCCAGTGGAGTTGAAATGTTGGGCCACAGGAAACCCAGGAGTGTTGTTGCTTATACTTCGCAGATGTTCGCTGAAGCGACTCCTAAGGTTTGTTCCAGTTTCACCAATGTAAAGAAGTGGGCATCTGCGGCAGGATATGCCATAGACAAGATTCTCGGACTGACAAGTGAAATGGTCACAGATTCAAAAGTTACTGCTAAAGGTTTTGAAGACTGAGGAGGTATATGGTCTGTTGATGCAACCGCCATTACAAGTTCTTACCTGAACTCCTTATTTAGATAAAGTTTCCTCTTCCTTAGATCACAGTTTTCTTTAATAGTATACCCTTTACTACTATTACTTTATTTACATATATTTCTCTGATTAAATTATTAAGTCGACTGTACAATGAACTTACTTGTCTCCTGGTTTGCATGCCAACTCCGTGTAATATTTAATCTTAGGTTCAGTTCCACTTGTCCGAAGGGTGGCAACGCACCCATTCTCGAAATAGAATGTGATCATCTGGCTTGACTTGCTGACGGGAAGAACCTAATATGGATAAACACAAACAGTAACACAATTGTAATATTTAGGTTTTCGCCAGGTGTATTGTCCTTTGTGGTTATGAGGTGCTTGTCAATGCGGCTGATTTCTTTACGACACCGTGACCTACTTCCCTTACATAAACAGTCGCTGCCATTTTAAAGGTCGTTTGGCCATTGGTTACCCAAGCCTTTAGTCATGGTAGACTAAATGCGCCACTTTGGCGGTTTTTAGGTTCTAGAAACGGCCATATTACTTAAATATGCCACCTTATAAGATAAACTATCATTTAATTAACTGGTCTTTATTATTGGAGAGATGGACTGCTCATACCTTAATATAGCAATTGTTTATTACTCTGAAATCAGATGAATAAGCACTTTATTGCTCGGACATATTGTCACCAACTTGATATTGGTTTCCTCTTATAGTTAATATCTATCTTTTGAGTTAACTCCATGTTAATAAGGAAAACCACTATAATCAGTTAAGTTAAAAGGACAGACTATAAAAGTAAAAGAAGTCTGTAATTTAACGAAGAGGGAAAGGAAAGAAAAAGAAAATGAGGAGCATCATGATGGAGAACGACGCAGTGAAAAACTGAGAAAGTCAAACAGCGAACTGAGGTATAAGTCAGAATAAAGAACTGAAGAAGCAAAGAGCAAGCATTACAGTTACACTATAAGCCTCAGCTGATGAAAATGTAGGTACGGACACCTCTCCATTAGGGACAGTTTCCAATGTCCGGACAAAATTCTCATATATTTTCTTTGAAAAGCCCTCTATAATAGCGGAGCTCTGGCGCGCGAAGCGCGCCTGCGGAGCACCATGGCAAAGTAAATCTATCCATCCAAGAAAATTTGGTAATCACGTGACCGTACACCGCCCGCCCGCCCGTCCGTCCGCACCACAGGGTAACCAATGTTCAATCTCACACTTTCTAGCCAGTTTGGGAGCACAGGAAGACTGATATTCACACATATTGCACATCAATGTTTAGCCTGAGATCATGTCCTCTCCCTATTATCCCTTTATGTCTCTCTGGGAAGAGGGCATGATATATTTCTTTGTCGGATCACATGTAAAAAAGCCAGAATCTGGACTTTTTTCTGATTGGATAGGAAACAATACGGATGATTTGCGCTGTTCCCATTGGCCAAAATGCCGCCATCCGTTAGTTGTTGTTGATTTCAGTCTGCATTTTTGCTTGCGTAATGAGCAGTGAATACACACGCGAGTTCGTTATGAAATTTCTGCCCGCTCAGTTTTCTTCAATTTGAAGAATGCGTAAATAGAAGTTTCATCCATTGAAATATTTTCCATCTCATCGTATACTAAAACAGTTGCAGTCAAAACTTCACCGATCATTTGAATGCAATTTGATACCGGCTACAAGTTACAGAAGCGACAAACAGGTTCACTTTTCAAATAATCAATTCATGAATGGAATCTTGACCTGGTTTGACTGTAATTCCTCCTTCAGAAATCATGCTGCGAATTATTCTGAGCGATCTTCCGCAACACCTTTCAGTTCGTGAAATATGGTGCTTCAGCCTAATTTTTTTCTCTACTTTCGGCACAAAACGAAGTCAACGAGCTTTAACCAGTAAATTCTTTATTATTTGTAGCTGTTAAATAAAGGTACGACAGCTCCAGCTAGCAGTATTTCATCACAAAAACAACACATTAAAATTTTTTTTAGGAAGCGCCATCTGAACATGGACGTATTTAAAAAATTTCTTTTCCCTAAAATTGATTTCAAAAGAGACATTATTCGCGCCAAAATTTGATTCCCGTATGGTAAACGCTTATTGGCTGATAACATGACAGGTCAAGCAGACGTTAAATTATGTAAATTAGGGGGCGGTTGACTGCTTGTTAAATAAATGTATCAGGCGTTATTTTTTTTTCCTCTCGAGCCAAAGAAGCAAAGAAGCACAAAAAAAACGCCTGATCTCAGGTTAATCAATGTTGTGATCAATTGACAGCTGCCAAAACAGGATATCCGCTGACCAGTATTACCTGACCGTATCGCGGGCTCAGGTGTCGACCCATCGAGGTCTATTATTTTTTTAAAGTTATCCGGTGACAAGTTACTAGTTTTCAAATGATCGCAGGCTCAAGTTTAAACTGATTTTTGATTTTAAACTGACCTCGGAAGCTAAAATTCAGCCAGTTTTTACAGGCAGGGAAGACATGCCAGTTGCTTTTGACTTTTCTCACCAAGGTCACGCGTTGGTCATGCTCTACGTCCAAATTTTTATGCTCCGATTGGTCAAAATCATCCTCGGAGACCCAGGGGCAGATAGTGGGGGCAAGAGAAAGTCTAAACGGGAGGGAAAATATGGCACGAAGAAAAGTAAAGAACGGCGAGAAGGTTCTTTACTTTTTCTTCGTGCCATATTTTCCCGCCCGTTTAGACTTTCTCCTGCCCCCACTACCTCCCCCTGGGTCTCCGAGGGTAGGTCAAAATTTGATAGGTGAGTTCATGCGGAAAATTTATGCAGCATCTTGAAACTAAAGCTGACAGAGTTTTGTATCAACTTGTGATGTTTTTAACTGTCTTTTTCCACTGAATGTACAAAATGAAATTCAGCTGCTATCAAGAGTCTTCTGTTATTCATAGTTTGTTTGCTGGGTTTTTTGGTTGAGAAATACGTTGGTTGTCATAAGCTTATAGAACTTTAAAAAGACTTTAGACATTTTCTCACCGCAAATAGAAAGAAAACGTTCCAAAGAATATTTAATTATAATTCTGGCTGTAAAAGAAAGCTTTGAGCGATTTTCTTGCCTCGAGTTCATCTTTGAAAAAAGCAAACACCGGGAAGCCGGCTTAAAACATAAACAAGGATTTTCAGAGACACTTTAATACTTGTCTTCGTGAATGAAAATTGTTGTCTCTGTATATGTTTCACCGAATTATTTTCCTTTTATTGATTGTTAGTAGTCTCTGATACAATTTTAATCGCTGTACCGTTTGTTTTCATCGCTTGCATGCAGTAGTCAAAATGCCGCGCGTATGAAACGCTTTGGAAGATTACACATCGTTATAAAACCATTAAATAAAAAATAAACATAACAAATTCTTTATTATGTTGAAGCGTACAACTCTTTCAATCTTAATTTAAACTGTCGACTTTGGCGCTTGTCAAAAGTGAGAACCGGCTAGCCGTATAGCTGATTTTGGAAATTTTTTTAACGGTTTCGCTAAAAGCCCACGCGTGCTTCGATCGTCCTGAATATTGAATGAGTGCAATATGGTACTGTTTCACCTCAGATGTGATGTATAAAAAGTATAAAAGGATGGTTTACACGTCCCAGACTTATTGGCAAGATTTTGTAAAGTAAACTTGTCGAACGCAAAAAATTCGGCCTGATTTGTTTTCCAGGCCTAATCTACTGTGATCAAGAGCCTCTATCGCTCTTAAATGAAACCAAAGATGATTGCTATTTTTTGGGTGTACATATAAGGCTATCAACTGGATGTAAGATTAAGTTCACTCTTCGCTTGGACCGTTTGCAAATTATTTTTCTCTAAAATCACTTAACCTTTCCCTCAAAAGTCACATGAATGTGCTCTAAACGTAACGAATTGTGGAATACAAGTTTATTGTTTGATTTAAATTATAAATTCGAGTTAATAGGAGCTTCGCTTTTAGCCCTGGCTAAATCTATTTAATATATACTAAAACAGTGGATAGTGTTTTTCGGGCGCTCGGATTGGCTACTCAATCAGTGAATATCCTGCATTATTTACTGATTCACCTCCAGTTCCTACGAGCGAGCGACGCCAAACTGGCGTGGGTTGCGAGCAAAATGCTTTCCCGGTTTGCTGCCGTAACAAACTAAGAAATTTCACAACTAATCAAAGAAAGCTATTTCCGAAATATATGAAGAAGGTGACGAAGTTCGGTTTGAAAGTTTTAACAGGTAAAGCTTTGTCTTTTTGACTTGAATAGTTATCGATAAAACCGGTGAAAAAGTTTTTTGTTTACAAATGCAAATTAAGCTTAAGTCTTGGTTTACTTTATTTAGTTGACTTGTTCATAAATAAGCTTAAAACTAAATTTAATAATCTTTTTTACAGAATTATTTTAAATACAAACAGAATTCACAACTCCTTTTGAAGAAACTTCCCCGCAAGAGCTAAACAAACGCCTTCAAAAGTTTTATTTGTCGCTAAGAAAAAGCGACGACCGCGGCCGTTCGGTCATCGCGCGCCAAAATTGTAATCGTTGGCAACAGTAAATGAGTTAGAAATCATCATTTTGTGCTCAATTATCTCACTGTTTTAGTATATACTTAAACAATTATTCACCTCAGTGTCGGTGGCTAGTAGTGGAAATTTACCTCGCCGCTTCGCGGCCTCGGTAAATATACCAATACTAGCCACCTCCACTTCGGTGAATAACTGTTATATATTACGGACTCTCTCTAATACGGACAAAGGACACTAAATCCCGGCCCCAGAGAATAAATTCAGATAAACTTAACCTCTTTATTACGGACACTGCAGTGATCAGGTAAATCCCCAACCCCAAACAGGTGAATCTACACAGGGTGAATCCCGTCTGGCTGATGAGCTATGCAACGTGATTTCGAAAGCCCAGTCGCTGTATATCAAACAACGACTTGCGAAAGGTATACATAGGAACATAAACGACTTTTTAAAGGCTTGAATAACTACAGACAGCATAATGATGTTTTCTATTACATTTTATATTCTAGTTATTGTTACTGCACTTGCAAAATAGCGAAAGGCGCTTTCACAATTGTGCTTTAAGTTACAATATAAAAACATGAAGCATTGCGCTGTAGCACGTTTTGTTTTAAAACAATGATTTGCCTACGACTGTGCTTGATTTGTAGCTGATATGTACAATGTTGTATGCTACTGAACGACAGTGTCTTTCAGTGTTTATAAATTTAAATGTAGTTTAAAGACGAGCATAAGCCTGGTTTTAGCTATTGAACAGTTAAAACTGTAAGCGGAGTCATAAAAGTGACGTCATCGTAGTGACCTCTTTTATAAGGACACGTCTCTAATACGGACACTTCGCTCTGTCCCTTCGGTGTCCGTATTAAAGAGGTTCGACTCCCGGGGGTTCGACTGTACTTTAAAATAAATCGTCTTGCCCTCCTAACAGCCTGTCAATCACTTAACACTAGAAAAGAGCGTTCCAACTTCTTTCTCGTGGAATTTAAAGCCGGCTGTGCTGTTGGCATTGATATGACCGATCTTAACGTTTCTCCGATGCGTTTTAACTAAAGTGTCAAAACTCGTCCAAGTGTTGTTGTGGTCTTCGTTCTCACTCAGAGTCTGCTCTGTGTCACTGCAAGACCTGTGGCTGGTATCAATTTCGCTAACGTCAGCAAAAGGTAGTTGTTTTATCTCGTCCAAGCAGGGAGGACATATCCAACTACCGTTTCCAGAAGCCTGTAATCGCTTCTACTCTTTAGGTGAGATTCCACCGCACTTGATATGAATTCGTTGAGAGCAGGAGCTGCAACTCACTGCCCTGTGATTTTTAGCCACCACTTTTCTACAAACGGTGTAACTTTCCTGTCCTGGATTAGGAATAATGTCTCCACTTAGACGAAGTAGTTCAAAGTTGAAGCTTGCGACGCTGTTGCTGTAGTAGTGAAATCTTGACTTGGTGTACTTCGTATGACACCTATTTACAAGATGGCGGCGATTTGCAGCAATGGATGACATCAGAAACATACACACTGGTCTCGTTTGCTCGATTTCAGAATCCGATAATACATTAAGATCATTATATTCTCTTCCAAGAAGGCCAGGACCAAGTAGAAAACAGTGAAAAAATTGTAAGAGTAGAAATAAGACCGTTGCAACGGAGCCGTGATATGCACGTGTTTGCGCCATACCGCACGTCTCCTAATACTTATTCCTGGTGCAGAAGTCGCAGAGCCATACTATTGTGTAAGCCGATCAGTTTCCCGCCGAACAGTTTACAAACGATCCTAATTCTGCCTTTAGCAGATGTAAAAGCCATGAACAAAAAAGTTTACCTGATACGAAACAGGCAAAAAAGACAGTTCAATACAGTTTTGGGGGTCGGATATTAGCACGCATGGACCGTTTACGAAAGGTTACTCCGCGACTTTTTTTTTTTGCCTGTTAAAAAATGAAACCTTTCATGGTCTCCAAACAAAAAAAATTCCTGAAACCTGGAAAACAGAACCTGTGGGGCGGATATGTGCATAACTTTTTGGTTAAAAGCATGAAACCTGTGCCTATTAAATGTGGATATGGAGCCATCGTGAAATATTTTGGGTTATCGAGATATTTCCGGCATTCAGAATAGCCATCATTTAAAACCGGAAGTGAAATTTTCAAACCGGAAGTAGTTTTCAAAAAGCATAGTTCCATTCTCTGAATGGCTAAATTTGAATCTCGGCAGATTATGAAGATGCGTGAGCAAAAAAATCGTAACTTATTCATCTTTCACAGGAAAAGTACCGTAACTCTATTTGTTTTCTTAGAAAATAAAAATAAAAAATGCAGCCACGTAGAGCTTGATTAGCAATCATGTATAATCACAATCATCCGCGCAGGTGCAGAGGGCAGTACAGCGTAAGCGAGATTTATTTCTTCGCTCCCGCTTAACGTCTCCACTACTACGGCTGTTGTACTGTAGCAACTGTTGGTAAGACCAGCTTGAGACTTAGTCAAAGTGCCTGCTTGCATTTCAATGTTAGGACCATAAAGAATGTTGACGAGAGATACCAGTGATGGTGGAACGGAATTCGCCTGGCAGTTCGCTTCAAAATACCCGTCAAATGTGTATTTCTGTGTTTACATTTCTTTGCGTATAATGCTTGCGGCTTTGGCAAGGTGCAACGCTTCTTCATCACTGTCTTCCTTGTGAGTTTTCTGCAGCGCGTTGGCAAAATCTTTTTAGAAGGCCAAAAAGACATCACGTCCTTGTTTGTGATCTTCGAAGGCTGGAATTTGGAAAAGAATGCGGTCTTTTTTTAGAAAACGTGTAGAAAACGTATACTTATTAACAAGTTCGGCAAATCTAAAAACTGGCAGCTCTAGAGTACTGACCATGCGTAACTCTTCAATAAAGGAATCCAACTCCGCGAGCGCGATGCCCTCCGGTCATCGAGGGCTTGACCTGTCTTCTTCGCCTTTCTCTTTGACTCTCTCAGCCTTGCTAAACAAGGGGCGGAATATTTAGCCTCCAGAGCTACCAGGTCACCCGCGCTTAACTTCGCCAAAACCTTTTTATCCTGCAATACAGTCGCACACTTCCTGACACGGGTATCAGCCAAACCAAACCCAAGCCAAACCGAACCAAATGTTCAAACATTGTGAAGAGGGTTATTATGTGTAGAATACTCTCCACAAAAACGCATGTACCGCTATTGTTGAGAGATGCAGGTGGAGCTGAACGTGTATACTTTCCACCAACCGGCTGTTCACGCGCGCAAGTCTTTTTTCTCCCTGTTTCAACTTCGTAGAATTGAAGAGATCACAGCAACTTTTGTGCCAGCGTGTTTTTTTTTGCATCTTACGAACGTATTCTCTAATCCATCACGTTCATCTAGCGGCTTAAAATCTATCTGTATAGGCATGCAATCGAGATCCCTCAACTTTGCTATATTCCCAGCCAAGGCCTTGTAGCTAGTCTGAAATGTCATACGTCTCCACCCCTAACCCGTAGACCAGGACGCCGTTAAGGCTCTACTTTGTTTTGATGACAATTCAAATGGCACATTCATTCCAGTCGGTCTTAGCGATAGCACGGGTGTTGCCTGTTTATCTCCGGGGCTACTGACACTTTTCAGCACTTCTTTAGGAATAATTCAAGTTTCTGATGTCAAGATAAAGTACAATAATGTATATCCGGTACTCAGTACATATTTTTACGTTGCAATTCTTGACTGGTACAAATCGAGCTGACTAAAATAAAAACACAACAAGTACCCAGTGCGAGCCCCTCAAACATGGTTAATTTGGTTAACTTGAGCAAATACTTATTTCACTGGATTTGATTGTATTGTATATTTTGACTCACAATCGGTTAACTCGAACTAAAACCAATATCCTTTACCAAACTATTAATTTTTCCTGGCCATTTTCCAATAGCTAACAGAAACTTCCCTATAGTGACCATTACATTTATAATGGCAGGTTGTTTTCAGAAGAAAAATGTGGAAATGGGTGAACTTACCAGGCTGACAAAAATTTGTTTAAGCTATAGTGTGTTAGATGTTGAAATTGCACCAAAATGACTCAATTTAAAAAAATGAAAAACATCTATACCATTTTGGAAACGTTTCTCAGCTTACTTAAAATGCAATACCAAAACCCACTTACTTATCTCCCGCTAGGTCGGACAATTTTTTTTGATTATTAGTGGGGATCTACCGCATAACATTACTTACAGGGCATATAGTGACAATCAAATGTGTTGTTTAAACTCTGAACTACATTTCCTAATCTTTCTGGCTCACTCCTATCTGCCTGTGGTCCTTCTGACTATTTCTTGCCTTTTAAAAAATGCAAGTCTAACCCCACAAAGGAAAAATGAATGGCGGAACAAGTGTGAATATCAGACCTTTTGTATCATGGGTAATTTAATTCAGGTCACCGTGGTTGATTTGACACTGGTCACCCCTAACATCGGGCATTTCAAGTTTTGGTTTATGTTAAGTAAACTTAACAGAATTTAATTCTAAAAGTAGCAAGAACCGCCACTCCGGACCGGCTCTCTACGTTGTGAGAGGGGCTCGACGTGCTGATTAATTCTTTCGATGCGGACATAAAAATTAGTAACCTTGAAACATAAATTACGGTTCTTAAACAATAGCTATGTCTATTTTCAATTTTTTTTTACTATTTCAACGTTCATAGCTTTGAAGTAGTCACCTGTTTAATTTTTTGGCATCATTCCTTTCACGGGTAATTTCCGGCAAAAGTGTGTAGCATTTCCGGTCTAAAACGGAGTTAACGTTAAACGCTAAAATTATCCAATTCTATAAATGCTATCTGCATTATTTCAATAACACAGCCTCTTTGTGAACAGATTTTTGAACTTAAAAGTTACTGTGAGGCAAAGCAAGTCAACTTCCGGTGATTCATCCTTTCACTTCCGGTAAAAATGGCTGCCGTTTAAATGAAATCCCCACACCTCGCGTCAGCACCAAAATTACCAGAGATTAATCAGTGTAACAAAGAGAACACAAAGGTTACACTGCCCTATTGTTAGCCACTTACCGGTTTGTTATCAGGCTTGGTACTGTCAAATCCAACCGTCAAATCTCTGATACCAGAAATCTTATACGAGCCACATGAACTAGGATACTGAAATAAAACATGCAGTCAACATAACGTCAAGGTGATCTCCTTGGGGCCTGATACCAAATTAGGGAGTTTACGCAACGAGGGCGTCTTTTAAAATTAATAGTGCCCACTTAGTTCCCCTCGAAACATCTTCCCTCTTTATTCCATACATTACATACACAGGGTAATGTATACGACCATTGTTGAAAACTGCATATTTTCTAGCTGTTAACCTAGTTTTGTTAGAGTTTTGGTAAATAAATGCCTATAATGAAGCCGGGACAAATACCATTTATAGCAATTTCTTGTAATCAACAACAGTATCCTTCATAAAAATTAAGAACCTAATTAAGAACCTATTTAGCTTAAACTTCCAATAAGTACTCCAAACTATAAGAATCTATTTTGCCAAACTTCAAAAAATCTAGGTCCTTCTTCGCGGCGTTTTACCGTATCTGTTAGGAGAAGCAATTTGCCTAGAATTTCCCTTTAGTTGGCTAAAAATTTCTAGATGACCATTCCATTCATGTCATTTTTCGAAGCTCATCTAATCATGCTAATAAGTTCCCTACGATTTTCTGAAGTTTAATTTTTCACATTTCACTCCCCGGGTTAGGCTATTTTTCGTAGATAAAAAGGAAACCTAAAATTTTCGGATACAAAAAAGTGATGAAAGAAGGAATCAGAAAAATTATCTCCTTCGTAATACGTTAAATTGCATCTAAAATTTTTCGAGAAAATAATTCTGAATTCCTCGTAATTTCGAAAAGACTCAAGTTCCCCTAGAATGGCCGAACGGATACCAATTTTATAGTTCCGCTTAGAATGCATTTCTATAGAGCTAAAAGTACTTAATGAATAGCTAAAAAAGTGTTTTCAATGTATATAAGGAAACCGTCGTTGGGTGCCCCTATCTGGCTGCCTTCTCCGCTTAGCACTACACGATTTTATATTTAGTATGAGCAAACTATAAATACTAGTTATAGCTATCGCTAAGTGCCAACGAGCAAAGATTTTACCTATATGCGCGCACTGTTGTAGCCACGGACAGCTGTTTCGCCCTTACTGGGGGTCACCAGCATGGCATAGCCGTCGATCAATGACCGGCGAAAACCTGTGTTTAACAGACCCTTTTCTGCCGAGGCGAGTCCTTTAAGTGTCAGCTCCACACAACACATGTGGGAGCTGTTGGCTGGGAACCGCACGGCAGTTCTCCCACGACATGCGCGGGGAAGGCGGGTCATGGGTGTTGTGTATGTGTGCCCGTTGCTTTAATTTGTCTTTTGAAAATAGTGAACTAAACTGTTCTACTGCATAAAAAAATTGAAATCCCGCAAATTCTGGAGATATTGAAGTTCGTGTTTTTGTCCGAAGTTGCGGAGAAGTCATTTTGCGTAAAATTTAGTAGTCACATAAGCAAACTTAAAATGCTCGAAAAATCATATTTAAGTCCGCGAACATTCAACGTACACACTTCTATTTGGTCTCTTTTTAAAGCTGAAAAAATATGGTGGGCCAATCAAGCCTTCCGAATTATTTTGCTTCAAAGAAAAAAATTTCGCTGCGTTATTATTTTCCCTAGCGGCATGCGATAAAAGATTCCAGCGGGCAAATGCGACAGATATCGCGTAGGATGGACATGATCCACCCGACGATTGGTTAAAGACGGGACGAGCACGAGACTCACAAACACGCACACGGCTCGTGGATTCTCTGATCTGTATCAGGTGTTTGCTCGAAAACAATGCATTCTCTGTTCTGCATTACGTCGTGGTTGCCTTACATTACTCTATGTTACATCGATTCTGCCCCTGGAATAATCGCGCACGGCTCTATCAGGCTGTCGCCTCGCAGCCTCGCGTCTTCGCAAGGCTGCTCTTTGGCAATTAGCGAGAGCTTCGCTGTTAGCCCTCCTGAGTAAATCTATGTATTAGCGCCGCTTAGAAGGCATTTTTACAGATCTACAGTAGTCTGGACTGCCTTAAAAGCGTTTTCAATGCATTTAAGGGGAAACCGTCATTGGGTGCCTCTCAGTTTTGCAAATAATAATAAAAAAAAGATATCGCGCACATAAATTTTACCTACCTACCTACATACATATCCTTTATTTAAACACGATATGGTTTAAAGCTCAAAGCTTGTGGGGTCGTGTAAAAATGATTACAAATGGATAAAACTGTATAAAAAATAAGAAAACCATCACTTACAAAATACAACTACAATTAAAACTTTAAAAATTTACAGTAAGATTCTAACCAAAAAATAAATAAAGAAATAAATTTAAATAAATTAAAAAAAATACAAGGTTAAAATGAATTTACATTAGTTGCCTCTAAGTAAATTGACTACAGCATTTAAAACATAAAAATAGTTATAAAGCATTTAAAATCTTGGTAGTGCCTGGGCAGCGACTGGACCGACTGTGCGCTAAAATCAAGTTCCTTAATTATTCTGCGATAAAAAAACAGTAAACTGGTCTGAAAATGACTCGAGACAGCGTTCCAAAGAATAGCTCCTCTATAGCTAATAGAGTTTTTACGAAACTGCGAGTTAAAACGCGGGACGATTATGTTATTACTCCTTCTGAAGTTGTATGCAGTGCAAGGTTTATTTGTCAAGTATGAAAGAGCCGTAGGTGCTTCACCTATAAACACGCTATGGGGTAGTTTAATTAATCGAAGTTTATAATAGAGGCTTAAAGTATTCCAGTTCGAATGTCGGTAAGATTCCTCAGTAGGCATATTTCGGGGCAAGTTGTATATAATTCTGGCTGTCCTACGGTGAAGTACTTCCAGAGAATGTAGAAGCTCTGCATTAGGGCAACCGCCCCAAACGACTAGTCCATATAGAACTGATGGTAATATTATCTTGAAGTACAAGTCCAATAGGGCGTTTCTGATCAAGAACGAACTCCTTTTCAGGAGGTTCAGTTTGTTTACGAAATTCTTTTTTACATCTGTAAGGTGACGTGACCAGGAAAGCCTCTCATCGATAGTAACGCCCAAAAGACGAGAGTGTTTCACCCACTCGATCCGATCCTCTCCAATAGTCACAGAATTTAGCGTCCCGATGTGCAGTTTTCTCATCAACAGCATAGCTTCACACTTTGCCGAGTGAGGGGTTAAAGAGTTCTCTAGGCAACAACTGTTCAATTCCGATAAAGCTTTATTCAAAGAAGCGACTGTGTTATCAACAGTGTCCCCGATGCAATAAACGGTGGTGTTATCTGCGTACATAAAGACAGAGCCAGAGGTAACAGCACTTGGTAGGTCATTGGTGTACAAGGCAAACAACGTTGGGCCAAGTACTGATCCTTGGGGAATCCCGCAAGTGACGTTTAGCACAATTGAGTGCTGGCCGTTTAGTACCGAGAATTGAGTTCGATCAGTTAGGTAGTCTGTCAGCCATGATAGAAGAGAACCTTGAACTCCAAATTGAAAATTCAACTTGTGCAGTAGGATAGCACGAGATACACAGTCAAAAGCTTTTCTGAAGTCAACAAACGCCACAGCAACCACTTTATCGGCATCAATAGCTGTTCTCCAGATTTCTGACAGGTATACAAGCAATAGTTCAGTAGAGTGCCCCTCATGGTAAGCCTACTGTTTATCTGTAACCAGGTTATTTTGGAAAACATGTCGAACGACAGATTCTGATACACAAGATTCCATTATCTTGCTTGGAACACTAAGAAGCGATATTGGTCTATAGTTATTTGTGTCAACTTCATCATCTTTTTTATACACCGGGATCAGACGAGCTTTCTTCCAGTCAGTAAACGTTTCTCCGAGGTGAGCACAGAATGAGAATAGACCAGTCCAGGGAGAGACAATGGCAGGCTCAGCTAGTTTTAATAATTTAGGTGCAATGTCATCAGGACCGGCAGATTTATTTGGGTTAATGGCTTTTAATTTACGTCGGACCGAATCTTCGCAGATGGTGATATCAGTCACAGAGGGCGCTGAACAACCGATGCGATCGCTCTGGTGTGGAAAATTTCTATTGGCTCGTCCAATAGAAGAACTGCGCCTTCGCGTTTCTTATCTCAGATGTAATCTCATTTCTAACTTTCTTGTATCTTGCATAGATTTCTTGATCTTTAGTGCTAACAGCTCTTTTAAACAGCTTATACCTTAAGTTCATCTTTCGTCTGATGTCATTATTTATCCAAGGAGAAGATTGACTCCGGATCTTGACGCGCTTTGTAGGTGCATGTAAGTTACAAATATCTTTGAATAACTTGTTCCATGCCCAGAGAACATCATCCTTATCCTTAAATACCCGAGCAACGTGAAAAGGCGCAGCTGTAATATCAGCCCGAAACTGATCAACCTGAAATTGTTTATAGTTTCTTACACTTATCACTTTTGGCGGCGGCCGTTTGTGCTCGAGATTAAGAGTTGCATATATTAGGCAATGATCAGAATTCCCAAAGGTAGAACACCTTTACGGTTGATTAGGTCTGGCTTTGTTGTTACGATATCTTCAGCTGTATCTTCCACTCAGCTGCAGAGCCGAGGCCAGATTTTGCCTTTTTCCTAGGCGGAAAATCCTCGTCCTCCCTCGCCAGTTTGGACAACATATTGTGGAGTAAGACGTAGTTCTGGAAAGAACTGTTTATTAAATTAATCCAAGCAAATAGGTCCAGTAGAGTCGAGAACGTAGGCAAGCGGCTTGTCGAACAATGTGACAGCAGCTCTAACAGCGAACGTTGGAAGAATTCGGACTTGAAAACCAGGGCCGCCCTGTTGAAAACTGTTTACGGACGTTCGCGCGATCGCCTTTTGTTTTTCTGGTCAAAACTAACGCAGCGGTGCCTCCCTCAGTGTTGATTGACCTAGAAGCAATAGTATCACCCCTCCCATAGCAAGTGCCGCATTGTCGCGTGGACGCGGTCGCTAAGCTTGAATATTCACGTCGCGTATTAATCCTGCCCGTTTGCAGTCATGGCAGAGCGGAAAGGTCAACAGTGTTTGTTGATGAACGAACGATTATCGTGCAGTTGCGATGCGTTTTATAGAGCCATCGAGCAAGAAGCTGGAGTACACGTTACCTGCAGATTAGCCCATGGCAATTTGGAGCGGATTCGTAGATTACTGTCAAATTTATAGCGGTTCGAGTGGAGGCGCGTGGAGATAGTCAGTTTTCTTTGTAGCCAGCCTTTAATTCTTCTTTAGTGGATAGTATCTACGATTGCAAAACTCGACAAAATGCCACTTTAACCGGCCAGGAAAGACAAGGAGACGTTCAGTTGAAGGTATCTGCGCTTTGTTTTGTTATATTTTGACTTTTGGACTATTTTAGTTCTTGGGGGTTTCGACGACTCATCCCATTTTTTCCACGTTATTGACAAACACTACGTCTGGGCCGCCTGTGGCCCCTGTAGCCTAATTTCGCGAACTATTAATCCAATGGCCAAAAATAACATTAAAAACAACTTCTACAAGGCAATTAAGTTGTTAGGTAACAGACTTATTATCTACGCAAACTTATGACAGTACTTGCTGTTCACCTCAGATTTTGTCAGTGTTTTGTTTTCATAAAGAGAAAGTCACTTTAAAAAACGTGAAATTATGACAGGGAAGGATAGGTTTACATTGTATTCACTGACCTGACCATTCTCCAGAGTCCTGATGCGTTCAAATATTTTCTTTATTGTCGATGGACAATAACAGAGATAATAAGAGTTGTTGGACACATGGATGCCGTACCTAAAAATCAAACGTATTCACTGGTTCACACCTGATTATAACTAACCATCGTTAGTTTCTAACGTATTTGTTTTTAATTTAAAGCAATGTAATGTTACTCTCACTGAATTATTTACTGAAGTGGAGGTAAATAACTATTCGCTTTAACCTATGCTTAAGCCCATATCAGACGTCAAACTTCACAACTGCTGAATTTAATGTTACACAACAGCCACAAGCTGATACATCATTTACTGATATTGAAACCTCGATACGATGGTCATCTATTACTTGCTTCTTATTGTACTAAACCACAATCAGTGTCTCTCTGAGCTACTTAACTTGGAAAATGGTTTTCGAACAGAGAGCTCACTTTAGCTTAATCAGTGAGCGTGAAGGTTTAGGGCACTTTGGTTTTTATCCCATGGAGAAGAGAGAAATAGTTGTTTTCCCTTGTAGGCATGACTCCTTAGAAGGCTCGCAAAATTTGAGAAAATTTTCAATAACAAAGTTTCTTTCAAGTCCAATATACGATACGAGAGTTAGACTGGAGATGCATACCTCTTGTATAAGTTATTTAGTTGTTCTGTTAAGGTAATTCCTTGACGACTGAGATATGCAGCCATCTCTGCCATGACTACTGCAGCACTAATCCCATCTTTGTCAAGTACATTAGTGCCATACATGAAGCCTTTAAAACGGATTTTTGTAAGTGAGGTTAAAAAATCAACAAAAGTATACATCCATTGGCGGGCATACATACATACATACGTACGTACGTAGGTGTACGTACGTACGTACATACATAAACACACACATACATACATACATACATACATACATACAGAAGAACAGACTACGAAAATCACAGCTGCTATAAATAACTAATCTAATTATTATAAACACTAGAGAAAAGTTTTTTAGTAATCTCGACGTAAAAGAGTCAACAATGAAACACTGTGTAATTATAACAAGTTAGTCATTCCAGAGTTTGGCGCAATTACAGATAAATTAAAGCACCTATTGCTTCTTCAAATGAAAAAAGGACTGTCTTTCCTTGAGCCATCAGTTCACTTGCGAGGTTACCCATCCACTTAAAACCGGTCAGAGTTTCCTACAAGAAAAAAGAAACAATGGTTAAAAGAAACATGAACCAGAAAACAAGGAAGTGTTAATTTAACAGGAAAATAGTAAAAAGAAGTACAGTTAAACCAGTATTTATATTCATGCATTATGAATTTCCTTTGTTTCCTAGCCTTAGTTTTTCATAGGAGACAAACGAAATCCTGGTTTAACTCCCGCACGTATTTGACCTGCTTAGTAACTTAAAGTTTAAGAAGCAAGAGAGGTTTCATTTACATAACACAAGCGTCTGGAGAAATTTAAGAACAGATACGGTCCCAAAACCTTGTTGGTATAATACTTTGCTGTGTAGCTTTAGTTTACAATTCACATTTTTTTTCAGATCAGCTGTTTTCCGGAAATTATTCGAAATTCGGTTCTGATACAAACCGGCACTGTAATTTCTCATGGAGGTTGCATACTCGTCAAGATGGCTTTCGAAACCACGACAACGTCTATTCCGTGGCGAAGAACTCCTCAAACCACATATACAAACCAGTTTCGAATAAAAGAAGAATCTTGATAGCAGCTATATTTCATTTTGTGGCGGCAGTGGAAGAACAAGGATAGTTAAAAATTTCAAATGTTCACTGAAAGATTTTTCCTGTAGTCCACCGTAAGAGCCTGCACGACTGTCAGAAACGGAGCCATCGACGAATCCCATTGCGATGTGACACTTTCCTCGACGAAAAACCAAATAAACAATTCAGTTTTGAAAATCCGAAAAAGAAGACACCAGTTGTATTTCAGTTTGTGGCCACAGTACAAGAGCACGATAATTTTAAAACTTAACTGAAATGTCGGCAAACAATTTTCTAACAAAACAAAAGCGTGAACAAAAGCGTGACCAAGCAAGAAGTAAAGCCTTAGAAATTTATTTCCGACAATTTTGTCGTAAGTCAAACACAAGAATCTTCAATTTAGATTTTTACTCGACAAACTCCGTTGGTTGCCCCTAAAATGGTTAATTTTGCGCCAAAACGAAAAGCAACGTCAATGTCTGGGACTCCCTTCCCTACCCTGCTGACTTTTCTCAACTGAAATGGAAACTTAGCTTTGCAGAAAACTCGTCGCGCTATCGAGCTCAATTCATTGTCAAAATTCGCGCCAAGAAAAACGCAGATTGCCCAATTTTATTTTGCGCCTAAGAAATTGCCAGTCACTCCAGCCCCACCCCCATCCCGCTACCTCGCCCACAGTCCGTACGAACGTACGGGCGTACGCTGACGTCATAACCAAATTTTCTAGCACCAATAGGTTTCCAGTTTCCTTTAGGTATAGGGCTCCTCTTGCGCACGCTTCGCACGCGCGTGGGGCTCCGCTATTAATGAATCCCTGACCCAGTGCCGAAGTGAACTGTTTGGAAGGATGAATGAATTCAAGATGGATAATCAATACAAATTTCTTTGGACAAACAACGGTAAGATCAGTAAGATCACAGACTTAACAAATTGTAAACGTGCAGCGTGCAACCATTTCTCTCTTAACATAATCAAAAGAGAAAACATTTCCATTCGCCTTTGGTTGAGTTGGTCATTGGAACTGCAAACGAGTTCATGTATGCTGTCATCATGCCATTCAAAAACTTGCCTTTGAGTTTTCCTTTCAATGAATTAACCGTCCTCTCTTTGAGGGAAAACTATGCTGAGCTGTAACTATAAACACTAACTCAAAAACTATGCGACGAAAAGTGATAAGGCGCAATTGAGTGACAATTTAATCAGTAAACCTAGAGCAGAAATAAGAAAACAGCGACTGTATTTCCTTTGGAATAACCGTTAGCTTCGCATCGTGATTTGCCCGGGAATATCAAGATGAAAGTCAAAAGTGCAAAACTTCGCCGACACGGTCGGCGCTAAAGCGACGCGTAAGCAATGTAGAAGCTGTGAAATAGTTGTCTTACCATCAATCGTTGAACTACTGTTATGAATGAACATAAACAAAATAATTAACAGAGAAGTTGTTTTTTGAAAAATTTAATTCAAAACCACAATTTTTCTGTACTCAAATGAAATTCGCACTAAAATTCCAGCGTCATGTAAGCTAATCCGTACTCTCAACTAAAATTTTTAATTGATCAAAGCTACAAAACAAAGCTGTCTCGCATTTGAGCGCGTTGCCTTTTGAAATTTTTACTTGAATTTAACACCAACATGACTGAAAAGTCATTAAGAAAATGCTTATTGATGCATTTCCATTTCAAAACAGATTTTCTCCACGACATAAACATACAAAATGTACCTTAAACATTTCGGGCTTAAATCCTTAAAAAAACTTGCTCACTCGATTGTTCTTCTGAGCTCTCCGCCGCGAAGAAAACAATGATGAACTTCTCCAAGGCAATTTGTCGCACAGGAGACCGAACAGAAAAGGAGATTTGCTGCCAATAAGCAAATGGTAGAAGGCTACCTGACCAATCAGAGCATGCGCTTTACTTTTGTTTAGCCTGTGAAGTGAGGTTCTCTGTTTGGGACAGAGAGCCTGTTCACCTGTTCACAGGCTAACTTTTTGTTATGTTACAAATCTACTTTTACCACTTTCAAAGAATTCGAAGATTTCATTAGTATTATTACTAGAAGCAGCAATTTGAAGTAAATAAGAAAAAACTAAAAAACACATGGAAGTTAATTGGCGCCATCATAATCAGGTAACCCAAAGGGCACACTATACCATTGAAACGTCTATGATCTAGCAACTCGAGCCCAAAGATGAATAGAATTATAACTTCTCATACCACGGCGCCTGAGAAAAAATCTCGAAGTCAAGCTTTCCCTCAAAAGAACTGCTCGCGGCACGACTTCTTCACCTTGCCATTTCTCATAAAATTTAGACTTTCAATATCAACGCTTAAACGATCGACACTTTTTCGAATCTAAGGGTCAAAACTGGGGCAAGAAGAGGCCAGTTTGAACGAGTTTAAGGCCTACTAAAGAGGCATTTTTACAGGAAGCAAAAGCAAATTCTTCTGGGGGATTCCAGTACTAAATCGTGTGACGATACTGGTTACCAGTCGACAACGGTAAGTGGCAGCCATCTTGAAGTGGGGTGAAAAAAAAAATTGCCCGGCCAGGGTAAACAACAATAGAAAGACTCGTACACTAACAAGCATGATATTAATTGAAATATATCACATGAATCATATTTTGACCTGCGGATAAAGACATGATTGATTAGCTCAATTGATAGAGCGTTACGGCCAGTCATCACAAAGGTCAGGGTTCGATTCCCGGTCAAGCCTGAATTTTTTCAGGTTCTTTTTCAACCGCTTAGGTTATTCATTCTACTGCGAACATCATGTTCGTTTTCATAAATTCACAATTCACTCAAGACAAGAGATCATAATAGGATTATGATCTCTTGCTCAAGAGTAAAACCTGACACTTTCCTCCCAGTAAAGTTCTGTTTTTTTTTTCTTCCGGTTGAATTCCGTGCAAGTTGAATAAGCACTTTCTGACCTTGATAGGCACAAAGCTAACACGGATATCCCAGACTATTTTAATAATTTCGATTGCCAGCAATCCACTTTCCATTCCCCTCATAAACTTGTTTAATGCATCAGTTGAATCAGGTATTGTCCCTGATGTTTTCAAATCTCGATCCAAGGTTACCCTATCTTATAAGACTGCTGCAGTGACAGACCCTGGTAATTACCCTCTTGTTGCTGTGTTTTATTTGCTAAAATCCTTCAAAGACTGGTTTACAATCAGCTACATAATTTCCTTGTAAAGGAAAACATTCTATTTAAGCAGCAATTTGGCTTCAGAAAAATAAATTATTCTACCCAGCAAGCAATTTTTTCAGTCACAGACAATCTTAAAATAAAAATTGACCGTAATGAAACTGTATGCAGTATCTTTCTCGACCTATCGGAAGCCTTTGATACTGTCAAACTTCAGATACTACTACAGATATTAAACAGACATGGAATTCGCTCTGTTCCTCTCCTATGGTTCAAAAAGCTATCTTGAAAACAGAACACATTATGTGGAAGTTGAAAATGTTAAATCAAACCCACTCAACGTCCAATGTGGTAGCCTGTGAGCAGGCTCTCTATTTGAGGAAAGGGTGAAAAAATCGCGAGAGGAGAGGAAAAGGGGAAGAGCCTGTAGACAAACCTTTGAGAACGCCGTTCCGCGGCACCCGCTGATGCAAGCTGATGCAAGCTCTTATTGGCGAGAACACTAACTGTTGACAGGTTTGATTGACATCGCCTTTTTGGTCGGCACGTAGCACGCGATTTAAATTAATCGCTCGTAAACAGGTCTTCTAATCTTTAACATGGTGTCTTCGGGCGGATTGACTTATGAAGTTTTCGAAAAAGCGTTGGGCGATTCAGTAAAGGATTTCCCTCATATTCCAATCGTCATGAAGTTCGCGTGGAGAACCGAAACAATGGTCTTGCCTGATCACAAAGTGGCAATAACAGAACAGTCGCAAGACTGTTAAGCTTACGAAAAAGTTATTAACACGGGAGGAACTACGCACGCCAGTCCAGACTTACATTAACTTTAAAAAGGCAAGTCGGAGTTTGAAAATCATTGTTTAAAGAGCAATCTTGAATAAGTCACAACGCAATTCTCCATATTTCATGTAACTTCTGTTAAAGCTGCAATCTATTCTTCAAAATTTGGATCTGCAAATCTTTATCCATGAGAATTCCACATCCTGCAAACAACACTAACGAGCTGGGCCCAGCAGGAAACTACCACATTCACGGACAAAAGAAAATCACTTTTAGTTATTCAGATCCAGGGGGCACTTTGAAGAAAATTAAACAACCTAAGACCCTTATTTAGTTACAATGAAAAACTTTAAGTTTCAAAAGAGGTCAAAGAAAATGCTCTCCCACAATGCCTACCAGGAACAATAAGTCCCGGGTCGCACTTCAGTGAAAACCAAAATTTGAACGGCCCAAAAATTGCAAACGTTTCAGACCGCAAACGGAAATGTAAAAACATTAAATGAATACGGTTGGGTCGCATTATAAAAGACCACCATCGATCTGATCAATCGATTTCAGATTTCCCGCGAACTGTGCAACTTTAAACATGGACCCACTCGAGACCCAATTGCCGTTTCGCGGTTCCTGATCATTAGCATCCAGCAGCAGCAAATGTTTGCCTTTTTTCTGCTCTATCAGAGATGTGTTAACGAATACATGATAGTTCTGAACGTTGCCTGTATAAGGAGAAGAAGACGTTTGCGTAGAACGCGTGTCGCTCCATACGCGTGACCTATTACGCGACCAGCAAATTCATGGTTCGATGTGCACTGCAATGATCCACGAATTCCACAAGAATACTTTCAGCAGCAATTAGGGGTGAACAAGGACGCCTTTGATACAGTACTTTTACGGCCCGAGACTGGAAAGGGGAAATTCGTATTTCAGAGATTGTTTCCCACCGCAGAAAGTTCTGGCTTTGGGACTGTATCGTTTGGCCCACAGGAATTCGTATTCAACAACCATTGCACCAGTGTTTATTGTGCAAAAAATCAACTGTGATCGAGGCAATGCAAGACATGGTAAATGCCCTATATGATCTACGCTTTTTTGTGGTTTACGCGTCACGAATAATTTATTCCTGCCGATAGCGAGCTTCAATATCATTTTGAATAACAAGTCGTCACGTCTCCGAAAGCGGCTTCTTTTGTTAAATCTAATTTGGAAAATTGGTAAGCCCCACCCAAGCACGACGGCTCGTTTGATATTTGGCCGGTTCTCCAGGTTTTGGGAATCTTTTTTAAGTGAAAGTCGCACTTCAAAAATCTTTGCGTTGACAGATCGTCACCGCAATGTAACCGCCAAAAATCGATATGCCTGTCACGACTTCTCAGCATGAAACAAGCGGCAACAATCACATTACCTCAGTCAAAACGTAGAACCCTCCAGAGCATAAGCTACCCGCCAGGGAAAAAATTCATTGGAACAAGCAGCATTTTATCACGAGGTAAAATTCGGGTGTTGCCTACCGACCCCTTTTTTACACTCTTGTTTCACTCACGCGCGAAAATAGGCAGTTTAAGTAATGACGACGACGACGATGGCGAAAGTGAATTCACGCTGTCTCAAAATTCATCGCTCTTATTCCATGGCGTGCAATTTGGCAAATTCTGGCGAATTTTTCTGGAATTAAATTCTAAAAGACTGTATCTAAGTTTAAAAAAGAATTAGGAAATCGTTGTCTTGTGTTCACGTCCTCCAGAAAACGTGAAATTAGGCAGTTTGACGTCGTGGTCGTGCAACAACGGCAAATAAATGTACAAAAAAGCGTGATGCACGTGGAAAAGTTTGTTTTGCTAATTTTAACCTATAGCTTTTGATCCGTTCTTGATGCCGCCGTCGTCGTCATTGCTTAAGCTCCGTATTGATTACATTCTAATGTAACCAAGTGACAGATAACGATCTTGCTGACACATGATCCACAAGAGGGTGGAATGGCGGCCTCAAAGGTTTGCCTACAAGCTCTCCCCCTTTCCCTTCCCTCTCCTTGTGATTTTTTCACCCTTTCCCCAAACAGAGAGCCTGTTCACAGGCGACCAATATAATGTACTTCAAGTTTCTACTCTTGGCCCACCATTAATGTTTATGTGTATAAATGACATGCTCAGTTATTTTATTTTATTTGCCACACACTAATTACAAAAAATAAAGGAAAAGAGAGAAAAAAAGAAGTGGCGAGGAGACCTAACAGAAACTATAGCAGCTTATGAGAGGTTAGGCCCCCTCGAACTACGGGTCAGAGCTCTTTAACATCAGTTAAAGAATAGATAGCGAAAAGTCGAAGATGGGAAGATTTATGAACTGTTTTCATATTTACTCAATAACTTAATCTTCAGCTTTTTCTTAAAAGAGGAAAGGGATTGAGAGTTGATGCCCTCGTTATCGAGTGAATTAAAAAACATGTGCCCTTGAAAAAGGGCGAGAAATTCTTAGTGTTTGTACGACAATACGGTAGACGGTAGGCTGGCGAAAGTCTTGTGTTCTGAGAGTGGAATTGATTGCTTTGGAAGAAATTGTCATTAAACCTTGGAGGTAAGAATGAATTTTTGCAAGAATGCATAAATTGTTCAGTTGAAGCAAATGAATATCATTAGCATACCGAGGTCCTTAAAGATGGGGTCTGTATGAGCATTGAAATGTGATTTATTAGTAATTCTGATAATGCGCTTTTGCAGGATAACAAGGCGATGGAGATAGGTTTTGTGACTTTTATAGGTCTAAGCCCAAACTATATTACAGTAGCAAAAATAAGGATAAATTAAGGAATAGTAGAGCATACGTAGAGACGATTTAGGAAGAAAGAAGCTGCATCTAGATATTATACTGATTGACTTCGCAACTTTATTTGCAACGTGTGATATTTCCGACTTCCAATTTAGGTTTTCATCCAAAATTACTCCGAGAACATTTGTCTCCTTTACGTTAACAATATTTTCATTGTCTATGTTAATTTGAATATGACAAATTGAACGCTTTTGTCTTGGTTTAAAGACCATAAATTTAGTCTTTTTAAGATTTAGAGAAAGCTTTTTCGCTTTAAACCAGATTTACAGTTTGTCCCTCTCCGAGTTTAACACATCTGAAAGATAGTTCTGATCTTTATGTGACATGAATACATTGGTATCGTCAGCGAACAATGTCAGATTTAATAGATTAGAAGCATTGTTGATGTCGTTAATGTACAGTAAGAAAAATAGAGGTCCGACGATAGAACCCTGAGGGACCCCACAAGAGATTTCATTTCTTAACGAACGGTGGCCATTATATTCAACATATTGCTTTCTGTTTGAAAAGTAACTTCTTATCCAGTCCAGCGCTAAGCCACGAATACCGCAATGTTCGAGTTTATCAAAAAGGATGACATGATTTACAGTGTCGAAGGCTTTTGAGAGGTCAAGAAGAATACCTACGGAAAATTCACCTCGGTCAAAAGGTGTTCCTGGAAGAAGCGTTTTCGCAATTTTAGCGATCTCATCTTCGGTGATAGGGTTAAAGAATATTGACTGTGTAAAGGAACCATTAAGAATACTACGGAGTGAAGCTGACGACTGTATACCCCTTGTTAAATTAAGACCGATACTTGAAAAATAACTGCAAAACTTGTTGGCAATTTCGACAGGATCACTAATTTCACGATCATCAGCTTTAAATGTTGAGCATCTGTTGGAATTTCTTTTGCTTCTGTTTAGAATTTCATTTAAAACTTTCCAAGCAGCACGAGTATTCGATTGAACGTTATTCCATTTCTTCTCGTTGTATAGACGTTTTGCTATCCGCAGAGAATGATTTAATTTGTTTTTATAACTTTTGTAAATTGATTGACGATCCATTGTTGGATTTCGCAGATATTTTTTATAAAGACTGTTTTTCTTCGTAATACACTTGATAAGCACATTGGATAACCACGGCTTATTTAAACGGGACTGCTTTCTACTTACTTTTTTTAAAGAAAACACACATTATAATTCTCAGAATACTTCTTTACAAAGCTACTGTACGCGTTTTGGGGGTCATGATAATTTCTTTTAGCGTTTCGAGAAAACTCGCTAAGTTTTCTTTATTATTGTCTCAAACGACCACTGGGTCACGAGCGTGAATGTAAGTGGTCAGAGATAACAGTAATCAGTAAACCACTTCTCGAGTGATCAAAAAAATTGTTTGCGAAAATGTTCTCTAGCAACGTTGCGGTGTAAGAAGTTATTCGGGTGGGGCGTGTTATCATGGGAAAAAACATATTCGAGTGCAAGCCATCAAGGAATTCGCCAGTGTCTTTGTGATGTTGAAAGTTAATTAAATTCATAATAGACATATTTTGTTCTCTCTAGGGATTTTCTCTAAAAGATCATTGTGTTTTGACAGAAAGTCACCAACTCTCTGATTAGGTGGCCTGTAAATAACACCACCGATAATATTTTTCCCATGGGGTCTAGATATTTCAATAAACAAAGATTCTGCAATATCAATATCGTCAAAACTCAAGTCAGCACGAATTTTTAAATCGAGATTGTCTGAGATATATAATCCAACACCACCAAAAGTTCTATTTGGGCGATGTTTGTGGATAAAATTGAAACCATCTATGTCTACTGAATGGGAATAATCGTTTAGCTAAGTCTCAGAAACGCCAATTAAAAAGAACTTAAAATTCAAGCATTTCAAAAGAATAGAAAGGCTGTTTAGATTAAGTTGAAGACTACAAATATTTAGGTGCAGGAGCGAAAAATCTTCATCACATAAATTATCATTTCTCAACATTTCGTTAAATTTGTCTTCAATGTAGTACTCACAGTGGACGTCCTCTGTGCCGAAATTAACATCAGGATATATATAGTCAGAACGAGTTAGGGAAAGACTGTGACTTGAAACTAAAGGATCATAATTTAAGCTGGAAAGTCTTTCAGGATCATAACGGACCGGCCATGTTAACGTGCGTAAATTGCAGCGTTAAAACTATAATCGTCTAAAGAATTAAAAGGTAAAGTGTGATCAGGAATCGAAGCCATGGCTTATAAACAATAAGTATACAAATACGTACTATAAATATTATAGAAAAGCTAAAGCACAAAACTACACAGCTACTTCACTGGGACGGTAAATTCTGTCTTTAACAACCAGCCTGTCTAAAATGAAATAGGCTATTTTCCCGTTTCTTCTCGCTTCTTCAAACTTAGAATGCTGCTCTTCCCTCTTGTCAAGGTTTTCTTGTGCCAGGTCTTCATTGACAAAAATTCCAAGGGGCCTGATTCTCCTGGCACTTCTGATGATCTTTTCTTTTTGCTTCCACGCTCGATATCCGGTTCTTCATCGAGGTTAAGCTTCTCTTTGAGTATCTCCTTTACTTTGGTTTGGTGTTGTCCCAGGTTTCCTCTTCTTCCTCTCGAATGCCGTCTATTCAAATATTACTCCTACTTTGGTTCTCCAGATATTCGATCTTCTCAGTGTGGTAATCGAGGGAACCGCACATCTTTTTAATCTCTTCTTCGACCTCATGCACTCGGGTTGAGCGTGGTTTCAAGTCCTTGATATCTTTCTGGGAGAACTCAAGGCTCGCCTTCTACTCGCTGGTGTCTTTCTCGGAAATATGTAGTCTAGCTTTGATTTCTGCGACTTGGCCGATGACGGAATCTAGCCGTGCGTTTACGTTGGCCAACAGTGAGTCGAATAAATTCCTAAACATTCTTTCTTGCACTTTCAACAACTCCCTCAGCGTCGCCATTGTGACAAGTTCAGATGCCGCGGAATCAGCTCCTTGAGTGCTAGCAGCCTTCGTGGTACGAGTTTCAGGCATAGTCAAATAGCGATAACAAAAATTGAGTGGAAAAACAAAACTCACTCTGAAATTAAAGCAATTAACGCGGAGTGAAGAAAGTACGACCGTACGCCACTCTTAATCAGTTGCTTAGAAAAGGCTGATATCAGAACATTTTCTGACGACACCACTTTATTTCATTCTTCCAGTACTTTACGGACCTTGAAAAAACTGATATGAAGAATTCAAACATCTCAACTACTGCCCAGTTGACAAACTTTCCGCAAAACTTCAAGAAAACCCAATGTATGACAATTTCCTTCGCAAAAAAGCAAATAAGCTTAAGCTTCATAAACACAGAATTGAAGAAAAGAACTACTTCAAATACCTGGGCATCTACATTGACAAGAATATAAAATGGGCTCCCCCACATTCAACACATAAACAGAGAAATATCTAACAATGTCGAAATCCTTCCTAGATAACGCCATTTCTAAGGATGAACACCGTGAGACATTATGAAGTACTTCGGATTGCAAAGACTTGGGAATCACGGTGCATGTACCACAAGCGATACAGAACTAATAGACGATTGACCGCCTTCTGATTGATCAACCACATAAGTTTCGAATTACTTTGAGGCCTTCTGGGCCCAGCCTTAAGTGTGTGGTTAATCAGAACTAGGCAAGCGCAATTCTGTGGTAACTGACGCAGCAGCATCTACACTAAGCATGTCCGCAATAGACCTGGAGCTTCAAGGAATATATCAAACAGAAAAATTGTACTGACACATTCTGCCTGTCTGAGATAGCACATAACATCACATTTCCACACAGAATACTTCAATTTAGTTCACACGGTACCTTATACGCAACAGAGTACCCTAGGCTATTGATCAATTGAGAAAAAACTGCACTGAGAACAACATCAGTAAGTGGGTGCATAAGGGTTAAGGGTTGAAATGTACCAAAACAGGAGAGACCAAGGCTGACAACTTAAGTTCTGTCGACCCCAAATGGCAATCATTTTCAATGGAAATTTAATTTGTTGTAGCTAGGAAGGAAGAAGCTTCGTTTACATTTAGGACATACAGAATGGCTTTTCTGTTTGACTGCAATGGGCAAACAAAAGCTGTAGATATGCTGTATTTGAGAAATCCATCTTCAGTACTTCAAACAAACTTTCTTGAAAGTGTTCGCTTTGAGATGACTGACGCATTTAGCATGCTGCTCCTAGTACTAACCATGAACGATAATATCATTAGTGATGTTGAAAGCACCTATATATCCAAGCGGTAAAGACGAAATTTACTGCACTTGGGGTGGATGACTGACCAAGTGGCATTTGATTACACTAAAAGTCCATCATAAGTAAAAAACAATGATGCCTATGTTATATTATTTTTTTTAATCTGACCCTTTTACCTCAAACACAAATCCTTCCTCCCTGGCCATAGCTTGAAGCATTTTTGAAGATACTGTACTTGCAATCATATAGACAGATGAGCCTGTTGAACAAAAAAATAACAGTACTGGAAATGAAGTATTGTAACAATGCGAAGCTCTTGATAAACGAGCAAGTCAACTGAAAGCTCTGTACACAGGCTAAATAATATATTGAATGGGGTCTATGGATCGTGATGGGTTTAGTGGGATTTCTTCCTGTTTTAAGCTGTTGGCTGTCTGTTCTAGTAAACGCCTCGCTTTCTTACAATACAATATTTCTGTCCAGTTTAGGTTTTATGGCAGCCTAGTAAAAGCATTTCGGCATCTAGTTGTGATAAAAGTCTAACCGAGCGTTAACAGGTAGAGACTTGAAAATTTAAGCTTTCGTGAGACTGGATCAACTGTGAAACTTGTTTGAACCTTTTGATATCACTTTCAATTTCAATAATAGTGGTGCCCACTTTAGTCCCTGTAAGGGACCAATGAATGTACCGCGTTCTAACGGCATAAACTCCGCCTTGCCTTGATATGGTGTTAAGAAATTGTTTCGACAGCAGTCAGTACGTTTTCTCAAAAAAGAAATTAAGAGAAGTAGCTACCATGTCAGGATTAGGGCCAGCTACGTATATGGTAGTAGGGACCTTAAGCATCGACGACGAAATGGGACGACGACGCCGACCGGAAGAGAAATTTTCCTGCGCGAACCTTCTTGGCATGCGTAAGGTTGTCAAAACGTCGTCCAGCCTTCGTCGACGACGAAATTCAGGGAGGTTTGCCGTCGTCGCTAAAACGTAAGTATAAAACTATACTTTTTGCGTGTAAATCACTCTTTTTCCCCCTTGTCATTCAGTACAAGTAGAAATATATTCTTTGTGGATTAGCAGAATCCAAATGTTAAGCACTTTGTCGATTTCTTCGCCCGCTGACTTGAATTTATTTTACAGGTTCGGTTTGTTTGAAAACATGAGTGAGGGCGGATCAACCAGTCGAAAAGACAAGCTTTCCTCTGCTATCTTCGGAACCTTTTTGTTTCGATGCTGTTCGTTCCCTTACGGTGTATGTTTACTCGTGCATTCTAGGTTGTACTAGAGGATAAATGTTCATTTTTTCGTACTAAAATTAATAAATTTAATAATTTCCTATGTTTTTTTTAGCCGGTAGTAAAGGCAACTATGTTCCAGTGGACTCTGGAACATGATGTGGCTATGAGGAGCCCTAAGAGAGGATAAATATGGAAGAACATTGCAGCACCACTGAATTCTCTTCAGCAGCCGAAATTTAGCGTAACTGCAAGTCAAGAGCTGTTCGAGATCGGATACACTACTAACTTCAAAACAAAAACAAAAGCTGTGCGACGAAGAGAAAGCCTCCATAATCGAATAATTCAGGTCGTAAAGAACGATAAATTCGCCATCGCCGATTAAACCATCATCATCAAGCTTATAAGATGCAAATTACGGTCTTTGAATGCCATAACAAGACTGTAGCAAGACAAAGTTCTTCGCAAAGAAAAAGTCGTCGTCTGTCTGGGAAACTGCACTGCTTAAACTTCGTTTTCCCCGCAGAAAACTAAACCCTTGGCCCAGTCTGCCTCGGTTGCGAAGCGTCGTCGTCGTCAATTTCGTCGTCGATGCTTAAGGTCCCTAGTGTCGTGAGTATACATACGAAATTCACCATCAGACACTAATAACGTCCAGCAATTCATTGCAACAGTGAAACAAAGGTGGGCACGAGCACAGATCCTTGTGCAACGCCAAAATAATGTAAACTAATGAGCTAATGAGCTGGAAAGACAGCCATGCATTGACAGCAGTAACTTGAATAGAGTTACCTAAATAATCCTAATGATACGTTTTGAAGTAGCACACAACTAATGCAACCCTAGGTCCGTAACGAGGACTTTTTTGAATGCCCATCAGTGCCGGTTACCCAGATTTTTATGGAAATATGCAATAAAAATGAGGAAGACACAGTTGTCTCCAATATTTTACAAAATGAAATAGTGCGGTCCTTGCATTTGTTTACACTGCAAAACAATTCGTATTTTTGCCTAGGTTAACAACGCGCGCGCGAGCGAGCGGTGAAAGGGATGGAAGGGTCTGGAGGGAGGGTGAGAACGGAGAGTGAGGCTGGAGACAGACGGGAAAAATACGCCACTCACGCCCATGGGTTGTGTGAGGCCCATATGCGCTTTGTGCTAAAATATCACGCCGGCGCTTTGCACCTTGCAAAACCGACTGTTTTGCAGTTTAGCATTTGTTTTTCTCGTTATTTTTTTTCAAAAGGCAGGAACATGAATTTATTGACAAGCTTCAACAGTCTTGGAAGCAACAAGCTTCAACAGTCTTGAACGCGAAAACACAAGCAGCACTGTAATTATAAGAGCATAAGTAGAGCATCTCTCATGGTCAAATGTTAACAATTCTATTTCGCCAATTGTGGAGAAGTGCTTGAATGTTTAGAATGTCAACTATTCCAAAATGGGAGAATCTTGTCCTCTTCGCAAATGCCATTAATCTGTCGGATAGTACTTGCTCCAGTGGCATTCTCAATCCAGTTTCCAATAGGACTTGGTGTCCTTGACCTCGTCAAAATGATTTCTGTAGTTATTACATTTAGCGATTCTTACTTCCTCTGTCACCTGATTTCCAGTGCGGGAAAACCGCTTCATCTCGCCCGCTGGTGGATTTACTCAGCTATATTAATAAATTTGTGTTCAGTCCCTTTAATACAAAAATATAAGACCGACAGTACCTGGATATAACTCCGGGTGTTGTTTCTTGTGGCATGTAAAGGCCCACCAGCCAAACAAAGAACCAGTCTCATTTCCAGTGAATACCTTCCAGTGTCCACTTAAGACATACAGCAACAACACGTTTATTTGAAAAAGAGAGGATTTTATTAGTACATGTTGCTATGAGGACTCACATGAAACTAGTACCTTAAAATACTTAATTCGTTTCCCTTACTTCAATATACTTTATTCCCAAATACAGTGGAAGCTCTCCTAATGGAAACTCTCGTACGCGGACAGCTCGTATTTCTCAACGCCCCTACAAACTCTGTCATTACTTTTACATTCCTGTAAGCGACCATCTCCAGTTACGGACACCTTTTTCGTGTCTCGAGGGTGTCCACTTACGAGAGCTTCCACTGTAATGGAATTATTGTACTTTTCTTTTATACTTATGCTAATTAGCCCTCTTACTAAATTTGTTACCATTTTGGAGCAAGGTGTACTATACTGTTCCTTTTGGCACAGAGACTAGTGTTTTATACCACACTAACGTTACTATTAGCTATTAATAGTTCAGGACTGACATTTTGTTCCGTTTTTTTCCTACTTAGTAACATAATAAACCGAACTTTTGACTTAGTTTTTCACTTTCCTTTTAAAGCGTTTTTTCCGAGAGGTATTGCTGACGATTTTCTCCTCCTACTGTTATGTGCTAAGAGAAAAAAACTATCGCACTTATGAAAAAGCTGAAAAGTTGATACGGTTTGTCCAGTTTGTGGTTGAGTTTTTTAAGACTCTGGCCACATTTGTTTAAAAGGTGGATAAAACTATCCACCGAGTAAAATAAATCACTCTTCACTGAATAACACAATTGGTTTTCTTAATATTAATATACTGGAATGTGACGCATTTTTCCCGTGGATAAGGCTATCCATCATTTTTTGTCCATGTTTGGTCTGATAACCATGAAAATGATTTCAACGACCCCTTGATCAGTAAGGGACAATCCAAAAATATTTTGCAGCCCACCCAAAGTATTTCAAATCTCAATATTTTTTCTCAAATCACTGTCGAAAAGTTTGACAAATCTAAATCCTAAGAAAATTAGTGGATCCACAAATAATGTTTCCACTTTCTTCGCCTTTTCGTTTTAACTCTCTTACTTTTGAAATTCGAAATGCAACAAGTACCGCTTCCTTTTGCTGTAAGTTGAAAGCATTCCTCTTATCATAAATATTCCTTTTTTGTTTTTGTTTTTTGTAATTTCGCTTTTTTAGCCTATGATTAGTACGACTATCTAATATATTTTAAGATTTACTGTAGCTCTGCCATTGATTTTTTCCATGTGTAGTTATGGTAATATTTTGTTCGTATTATTTAACTGAGGGAGCCCATTCCTTATAAGCCCGGTGGCTTCTCTTGGGCTTCCTCGCCATGAGAGTCTAAACAATTAGATTTCCTTGCTTTTGTACAACTTATGGCAAAACAATAAACTGAAACTGAACAATCCGAAAATATTTTGCAAATCCATAAAACCTACTTCAAATCGCATTTTTTGTACAAATCATTATTAAAGAGTATCAAATCTAAAAAAATTGCAAATCCTTAGAAACTTAATGGATCCGCAAATAACTTTTTAAGCAACTCTTATTTAAGAGTTTCTCTCATTTCTAAATCTCTTTACCATTGACGACTGCAGATTAGGCGGTTGAAAGCAGTTGGCAAAAAAAGTTATGGCTCGTACAGTTCACTGCATGGGGAGCTCTTAAGGGCATTGTCCCTGGTTGTCTAAAAGGTGGCGTATAAATCTCTTTTCACTGGATACCATAATTAGTTTCTCTCCTACTTACCTACAGGAAAGTGTTTGAGCCGGTGGATAGAACTATCCGGCCTTTGAACAACTGGGACCTACACTCTAGATACTAGATACCGTGTGTTCTTATACAAAAATGAGTCATTCTTCATATAAATGTGATACAGAAGCCTTGCTCGACGCATGTTAATAAGCTTAGAGTAGAGGTGTTAAATTTTCCTCTCACCTTGGTTGTTTCTCTGCAAGGGCCATTCTGTCAGAGTCAGGATCGTTGGCCAGAATAACAGTACAGTTACTCTCGTTAGCAGCATTCATGGCAAGGTCCTGAGTACAAGTTGTAAATAACAAAAAATTACACAAACCAAACAAACAAAGCAATCCGAGAAAGAACAGAATAACAATTACTGTTGTAGGCTAACATCTGAAACTACAATTCGCTAGTGGTCATGCTAACCGAGGATCTAACTGTAACATGCAAATGCTTTCTTGAACAAGTTCGTCTAAATTACTCCTTTGAAAAGATCATAACTTCTAACTGCTTTAATTTCCGAGGGAAATTTATTCCACGATCTAGGGGCTGCTACTTGGGAAGATTTATCTCTGAGAGTTTTCTTGGTCTTTACGCCTGGTACCTTTATCAACAGTTCCTTGCACGATCACAGGTAATCTTGATAAAGTTATAAATAATTTTAAGATGGTGCGACAGCATAAATTGCCTTTGTTAAAAGTTAGGATCAATATTTTGTATTAAATCCTGGAAACTGCAAGCCAGTGCAGACGTTTAAAAGACGAACCAGGCCGCACAATTCTGTATGTACTTATCTTAGCAATAGATGTAGCAGTTGTATTTTAAGAGCCCGCTGTTGCAAGTGGTCTCTGCAAGGGACTAAGTGGCCTCACTGGTAAGGTACTTTCTAATATTCCTTATGTTGTACACAGATGGAAAGACATGGCTTTAAAAGACTTCTTTATGTGTTACCATAGTCAAGTTTCCATCTAACCAGGATCCGAGATTTTTTACTGATGGCATCAGGGCTACACTGGTACCACCTACACAAAGACTCTCGATGTTCACTGAAATACGTTATGATCATACTAGATTAAGATGTTTGTAAAGATGCTGGTACCAAATGACAATGCCCATAAAAGCTAGAAACAATGGTAATGAAAGAGAATGACAAGTGACGTGTCTGGTAACCTTTTACAGGGGCGTAGCCAGGATTTTCCAGAGATACGCACGATTTTCCACATTCTCCTTCCCCCACCTCAAAAACACAAATCTTGTTCAGATTGGAAAGTACGCATGCTCATTGCAACATGTTCTTATAAAACGTACCAAACACCTTATTCTACGTTGCTATTAGCTGCTCATTGATTACTTAGAGTTGGTCTGAAATGCGCAAAGGTAATCGTTCTAAATTGTGTTGCTCTGAGAGGCTCATTAATTACTCAGCTTTGCTATTAGTTGCTAATTGATTAATCAGGAGTCGCTACTTAGAGTTTCTGTGAGAAGTGCAAAGGTGCTCTTTACTCTGTATTGCTCTCAGTGGCTCGTTGATTACTCAGCGTTGCTTTTAGCTTGAGTGTGCGAGCTCAGAGGCTTCTCACCTTTCTCCACACAAAGTGGTCGCTCCATCATCTTCACGTGATGACATCAGCGAAAGGGTAATTATGCTAATGAATCTCACCGAAACATATTCCTGCACGCATAAATTTCTCCATCCTTGGAGACCCAGGGGCGGTCAGTTGGATCAGGAATATTGACGGCGAATGTTTTCAAGAACGGGCGACAGAGCCCCTGGGATGCTACTCTAAACAAACCAGTTCCACGGCTCATTCGAATGTTTGTCTGTGATTGCGCACAAAAAAAAAATCAGAGGCCAGCATCTAAATTTCTCACACAAATAGGGTTGCTATATGCTTATGAATCTCTCCCGCACATCTCCCTGCATACACAAATTTACATAAAATGGCCTTACCAGGACTGATACGACAAATTTTATTAGGCTCGATTACCATGCATTAGCATAAAAAAATCTACGGTGTGGCTTTTCAGTAAACATCTCTCGGTATGTACACATGTGTAACAACAAGACAAACTGTCTGGCTAGTCAAAATAAAAATAATTCACACAGCTGTGTTTAATTTTTTCAAAGTATTTTCTACTAACTTACAACATTATTATAAAGTTCAACATCACAAATTTATCTCTACTCACCAGGGCACTTTTTCCTTCCTCCGGATTGGGGTATTTTACAGTTGGAAACTCAGGGTCTGGAACCATCTACAAACAGTAGAGTTAAAAAGACTCAGGCATGAAAAAATTCGTGACGAAAGAGTAACAAGTAAAATAAAACATGGTTTGCTGTTGTCCATCGCTAATGGTATGATAAGCACACTATCCATAAAATTGTTTCAATTACCACAAACTAATGTTTACTCTTACTACTAGTTATGTGAAATACCTCGAAATAAAAATTCATGATAGTTTAAAGATTTTTCTAAGTTCAGCGGTTTGTCAACACTTAGAAATTATAAATTTCCTATGAATTTTTCTCTTACTAGTGAAGAGCTTCTCTCAAGCTTTTCCTTGTTTCCAATTTCAAATACAACAACTGTCTACCATATTGCATAAGAAGTCATTCGTCAGAGCCCAGTTAATTGGCTAATTGGCACTAACCCACGGTTAAATTTTCAATAACGATTTCTTTTTCTTTGTTCAAAAGCTTTTTTCTTTTTTTTCTTTTTTCTCTCTATTAGAGAGCATCCAATTACCAAGTCATACACTTGGGGTTAAACTGGATTTGCTTTTTAAGCTTTCATATCTGAATTCAAATTTTGCCCTAGCCCTGGGTTATCTTAACACAGCTTTGAACAACCCAGCCCAGCTCTGTATCTGTATTCTATCATATCACACGCAGTAATGACCAATCAAAATGCCAGTTCAGATGAGCGGTATGAAGTAATGAGGATGCTACTGAAGTCACCTGCTCTCTGACAGACACAAATGGAGGTAAGTTGAAAGCTTCAAATGCCAATTCAGCAAATCTCTGTCCAACACCATGCATGGGAGTGAATGTATACTTCAATTTGGTTTTGCTATTCTCCTCTCTGAATGAGAAAAACAATCATTGCGTCAGTATAATTGTTATTTTGCTTTGAATGGTAAGATTTAGAATAACATGCTGTGGTAGATAAATAATTGTGTTAAGCTATACTAAAAATAACTGTATTCAAGAAAGAATAAAATGCATTCCAAGAGGGACGAGAACTTTCTGCTCGAATGGCACAAATGGCTAAGAGGCTCCGACCAATTTATTGAACTCGAGAAATAACTTGTGACTTATAAAAGCGCGGCTTACTGCTAAACAAAAAATCTAATAGACCAAGCAATATGTCAAAGGTAACATACAAAAAAATGAACTTAGAAAAACTGTTAGACTAACAAGTTTTCAAAAACCACAATTATCTATCCGTACTTCCTTTTGTATTTGCTGTGGCAATAGTATAATAATACCTTCTTGTAATCTGTTGAGCACTGTTTCATTCAGTTTGGTGGCAGTTCCAACTGTTTGAATTTTGATAAATTTCGTGACACAGCTCCTTTAAGTAAGCCACATGCTATTTTTCTTTGCATGATGGGATTTAATGTTTCCAAGGAAATTTGAAACCAAAGATAAATTTTAAGGAAGAGAAACAGAGAGCCAAAAAACATTTAAAAACTCTTACATATCATTCTCAAGCATGTCGCAGTCCACTATACTCTATTTAATTTTTAAAGGAGCTTGCTTTGCCTGGAGCATTATGGATATGAAAGCCAGTATATATTTACTGGTCGAGCAATTTTGGGTTATCAAGTGACCACATTCATGGCAACTGTAACTCCACCTCTCTCTCATAAACCAATGTGAATTGTTATATTCCTAGACTTTCACTCAACTAAACAGGGACTGCCATTGGTTGATTCTTGGTCAACGATTTTTCCAGTTATCTCAGAAGTTCCCAGAAGAAAAACAGCAGCTAGTGTCTCGAGTCCTGATGTTTCCCTCGACTTCTTCTCGGGAAACATTAGGACTCTCGGGAAAACAAAACTAACTGTTTCTCTCGGGATCTGACATTAAGTGTATAATGTCACACTAACCCACGCATGGAAATAAGAATCCTAATAATATCGTTCCTTCGTTAAGTAATAATAAGCGATCTATCACTGCCACCTGATAGCTGTCAAAGTAGAGCACCTAGAGTTGCATGATATGGTCATACTCTCTGAAGTTATCCACTGACCATTCAATAATTTTGGAAAGGATTGCATACTCAAGTTTGTAATCCTTTTGGACAAAGGTGTTAGAACACGTCCACATCACACCAACTTTGTGTTCCACACTTACACACCTCAACAAGTGTAAATCAAAATAGGGGTTTGTAGTGGAAAAAAGTGCAACATCCTTACATTGTCAGACTATCCCATACTTTCTCACTTTTTCCACTTCCACACTTTAAGAAGTGTAGAGCAAAACAGGGAACAACAAAGGGTTTCTAGTGGATAGTTTTAACAGACTGCTGCGCAAAGGGATTTGATAAAGCATGCTTTCAGGTGCTCTTTCTGCTGTTTTTGTAAATATTTCGGTTAACTTTTATAAACAAATAATTTAGAACCATTTGATAAATATGTTTTGTTTACATTTGATATTCTCGAAATTCATCGTTCTTTATGTGTTTTTCAAGGTCACTGAAAATCAGATAAACCTGCAAAAATGTAGACTTTTGGATGCTCATGCAGATGGGCGGATCAAACAAAATAATCCCTTTGGAAAAAGATCATTGATTATCGCCCACTCATCGTAAGACAAGACTATGCAAATTTTAAATCTGGTTACATTAATTTGAAAAATACCTTTATCTTATTACCTGTAAAGGGAATATTTTTTGACGTCTTCAAAGTATGAAATGCGTATCTCATCATAAGGGTCCTTTATTAGTGGACTGGAAATGCTTAGGTCCCAAGAATCTGGCCATGGTCCCTTGTTTTCCATTATACACTGGGAAATCCCCTTGTCATGAGGTGATTTGATCTAATTATAAAAATTTACAAAATGCATGATCAAAAATTATTTTACACCTACTGCAATGACTTGAAAGATGCTTAAAGGACATGCTGGGAAACCATAGGCAAGTGGTGCAAGAACTGAGTAGACTATTCTGTCAGCAAAAAAAATTAATTTATATAGAGGATATTACACGGATATTAAACAAATATTACATTAATTAATTTATATAGAGAATATTACACGGTAGCGCGATAGCGCTCGTGGCAAAAACAATATTTTACTCTCTCGCTGCGCTCGTTCGTAAAATATTGTTTTGCCACTCGAAAATAAAATTCATATCTTCAAGCTGCCGTGTAATGTTCTTTTTATTATATAGACAAAAAGACATCGATAAAATAATAGAGGGAAATGACCGAAATTACGTCATCGATAAACTCACGTGTGAGATTATGGAAAATAAACCACTCGGGTCACGGATGTAGTTTTTATAAATTTTACGAGTGGTATATTTTCCAGTAAAACACTCGTGTCTATATAATAATATCAAATCATTAATCATTTCGAATTTATTAAATTTTTCATACAAAATATTTGTCAATTCCTGAACAATTCCAGGTGTTACAACAATAATTATGCCACATGCCCCTGACCTCAATGTATTCATCAATTAACATAACAATATTTGTTGTGTTGTAAAAATGGCACGCTTTCTGAAACAAGCTATTGAGCACTGCTAACATTTTTTCATTTACAATTCGAAAAATATAAGGTTGCTGCCAGCTATAAAAAGACAGGAGATTCGAGTAGCTATGTTGTTGTCTGTTATGGAAAAGAAGCGTTCTCGAGTTTTGAAGCAGATTAAGATGGCAGACAGCAATCAACCAAAAATCGGTCCCGTTTTTACTGCCTTGCCAGATCATTTTGAGCTGACTAGAAATGCTACTTATGAACGCTTTATATTCAACACTTGTCAGCAGAGCAAAGGATAAATGGTTGCACAGTACACTACAAAGCTTCCACAACTAGCATCAACATGCAAGTTTGTCACTCTCGAGAACAACTTGATTTGAGATAGACTGGTGCTTAAAATTTGAGATAAGTGTTCAAGCTCGGATGCTTCAAAAAAACAAAAATTGACCTCTAGAAAGATGTGTCCAAGCAGTGAAATAAAAGAATTTAAATCAAGCACAACAAGAGGAGAAGAAGAAGAAGGAAAAGAAAGGAAGAGAAAAAAGAAACAACGTCACGTCCCTGTAAATACTGTGGTGGAAAACACCCCAAAAAACGGAAACAGCTAGTGTCCAGCATTTGGTGTTACACTGTACTTGTTCCAACTGTAGAAAGCTGTATCACTTTGCTAAGGTTTGCAGAAAAAACAAGTGTCTGGAAATGTTATCAAACTGGATCTGAAAGAATCTTCATTAGATGACTCTGATGAAGATTGAAATCTCAAAGAAAAAAGTGTTTCGCTACACTTGACTAAAGCATTGAAGGAGAAGACCCTAGCTGTGTATCCGGTTAAATGGACAGTGGCTCCACATGTAACCACATTAGCTAGATATGCTGAGTACTGTAAAATTTGGAGATCCTAAACTGCTCAACTCTGATTCCAAGCTACGACTGTACCATGATGTCAGTCATGCATCCCATGGGATCCTGAAAGCTGTATTGCTATCGCCAAGGAAGAGATGGTTTCTTGAGTTCCACGTGGGAAAAGTGGATCAAAAGCCCCTAAAAGCCTTAACTTGGGAAGCACTTGGTTTGCTAAGAGTTAAGCGCAGTGACAGAGTCACCGGAAAAAGGAAGAAGTAAAGGAAAAAGGACCACAAACAGTCCCTACAGCAGCGCAAGTGCCACCAGGTCCGGTCCTTTAAACCTTGAGTGCATTAGCACACACTACAACGATGTCTTCTCTGACATGAGATGTCTACCTGGTGAATACTGTATTAAAGTGGAAAAGAGGGTTAAACCTGTTAACACCACGCAGACGATTGCATAACTCGAGCAAAAGCAAGTGCTTGAAAAAGTCATTACACCCACTGATTGTATTAGTCATATGGTGGCTGAATGAAAACCATCACGAAAATTGAGGATGTGCATTGCCCTTTAAGGATCTTAACCTTGCACTTGAACAAGAAGAAGCTACCTCACAACATTCTAGACCCCTTTTGCGAGGTATCGCTGGATTTTAATATGCCTTTTGGCGTGATGCACAGCACCAGAGGCATTCCGACTATTGCAGGATGAAGTCCTTGAAGACCTACATGGAGTGGAAGTGATTACTGATGACATTCCTGTGTACGGCGGGAGCGACTCTGAAGCAGAAGCCATTCTAGTATTCTGGAAAGAAGCTTCTAGAAGTGCAATCTGAAGCTGAACAAGCAAAAATTGAAGCTACGCACGAAAGAAGATCCTTAGCATGGAACACCTGCTTACAGCTACTGGCCAGACTCCACCCAGATCCTCAGAGAGTAACAGCAGTGATTGAAATGCCAAAAACGAATGGAATACACGTTTTCAGCACTTTTCTTGGTTTCTGTAAACTACCTTGCAAAATTCCTATAACTCAGATGTAAGAGAGCCTCTTTGTCGATTCACTGTCAATAATGCAGTTTGATGTGGCAGCCACAGTATGATAAAGCCATTGAAAGTATTAAGAGGCTGGTGAAGGACCACCCTGTTCTACGCTACTACGATGTGGGTGAGGAGGTGACCATTAAGTGTGACGCCAGCGACTAGTCACTGTACCGCTCTCTATGCATGATGCCATCATCCAATAATTTTTGTGTTATTTTACGATTGACATAAATTGTAAATTCACAGATAGAAAATATATATATTCCAAATCTTCCATTTGACTAATACTTGCTTGTTATGAAGAAACATGCTTGGCATTTAAATCGGACAGAAATGGACAAATGTTTCGTAATAATTTTACAAATGGAGGTTAGGAAATACTATTAATGAATCATACAGTAAAAACCGGCAAGGAAAAACCGGCATTTTCCCAAGTTAGCCTAAAGAGGTTCTTACAAAAATTTAAGCTATTTAGGTTCTTAAATAGTTTCTTATTTTCTGATGAAAAAGTATATTGTATCTAAGATTATTTAGTGGTATTTGTCGTATTCCTTACATAAAATCTGCATACCACAACATTGCAGTTGGGGTGATAAGGCATCTATGTCTCTAAAGAGGATAAGAACCTGTTTCAAATTTCAGGGTAGACAGGTTCTTGCATAGAGGGGGCCAAACTGGCAAATTTTCGCCTACCAGATTCTTAAAACCAAGGTTCTTACTTGCGGGCTTTTACTGTAAACTATTCTAATTATTGGGCAGGCTTTTACAGCGTAAATGATATGAAAAATATGCATTGCAGCATTTCTCAGCGGGTTTTATCAACCTTAGCCAACAAAACCATACTTAAACTGGATAATTGTACATATCTAGCCTTGTTCAACAATAAATTCAGGGCTGTCATTAAGAGGCGGGGAATAGAAGAAAAATAGAACCAAAAGAAACCCCTAGCTGTTTTATTCCCCGCCTACTTGTTGTATTTACCGGGCAAATTGAAATTTTAGTGACATCCCTGAAATTGATATTTAGCCTGCACATAGGTGCGGAATTCCTGCTGCACTCCACTGAAAATAATGAAACACTGACAAAGAAGAAGGGTAGAGAAAGCAGTGAGTCCTACACGTGAAACATAACTGCACTTGTCAATGGTGATATTTAAAGAAATTTAGATTGCAGCAATCAAACAAGGTAATTTGTATTGACCTTTAGAAACACAAATGAATGAATACAGCACACCAATGATAAACTGCTTCTTCAATCTTGAAAATACAATGGTAAAGGGTGAATGGCTAATGTCCTTTGGTAGAATTAATTCTATCACCTTATAAAGCAATTTACTGAATTTTAATTCTTACCTGGGCTCCATTGTCCAAGTAAACCTAATAAGAAGTAAATAAAAAGGTGCTTACAATACTTAATGATTTAATCAAGCACATAATCTATTACACAGACACTAATCGATGCTGAAAAGCTGATGCAGCCTGTGCCAATTTTAAAAAAGGCAATGCTGACATAGGTTGACCGTTAACCACATCTATTTATTTAATAATATTTCCTTTCAGTGATAATTTATCAATTTAAAAACTTCCATGTTTAAGCTTACAAAAAATACCGTTTCCAAAAGTGACTTGCTTAACCGAGTAAAAAAAAATTCGAAGAAATTATTTCCATTTGTGACTACAATAATCTGTTAATCCAAACCTACCCGATGTGGGTCGCATCATCAAAAAATGATCATAGAATGAAAGGGCTTTCCTTCTAATTCTATTGTACCATCTTTTTGACGGTTAAGAAATCTTAAAGAATTATTAGCACCATCTTGCTATAATATGTAGATTTAGCCAGGGCTAAAGGCGAAGCCTCCATTTACAAACTTATAATAAAAGCAATTAACTTATATATAATAATATATACATTTACTCAGGGCCTAAAAGCGAAGCTCTGTTTAATATTTATAGTATCTCAAACAAAACATAAAATCGTGTTTTGCTAAATGGCGAAGGCAACGAGGTCGACAAAAACATCCATTGGTCTTATTAGCAAAAACAACTTTGCGCCTTGAACTTGCTGCAAATGTACATTTCTTTGCCTTTGTTTTGCACGACTACAAAGTGAAACTTCTGGAAACTTCTTCAACTGTCGTATGTATCCCTGTTGGCATTTTTTTTACGGTCGCTCATTTTCACCTTGGTGGTCGCTAGGACTTCTCATTTTCTCTGCTAGCGAAATTTGTCTCCTATGTTTTTGATCTCTGTCTCTAGCTCTTTCTCCGTTACCCACATTAATGTAGATGTTACAGGTTAAAATTTTTTAACCTAGGTTGATTCTCAATTTCCTTTGTCTCCTAGCCCTAAACCATGAATAATTAGGACTAGAAGACAGAGGAATTGAGAATCCACCGAGGTTAAACCTAGGTTTTAACCTGAATTTAATTTTGACCTGCAACGTAGACATTAAAATTTAGTCGAAAGAAAGACTCGACCTTTGTTGTTGTTTCTTTCTCTTAAAACGTCCAGGTGACCATTCGATGTGCTGCCGAAACGCGCGGGTGCTTTAAGCGCGAAATTTCACCACGCTTTACATGAATGGGTGGACGTACATACGGACAGAGGGACGATTTTCTCACAACCAAAATTTCTTGGATACAGGGATAACCAAATTTGCTTACCCACGGTGCTCCGCTGCACGCGCTATGCGCGCGTGAGAGCTCCGCTAAAAACCTAAGTCACTAAGAAGAATCCTCCTTTTGAGCGATCGGAGGGGCTGAGTGATATCCCACAAACACGCCTGAAATGAAAACTCCCCCATTAAGCTAAAACTCTTATACCCGGTGTTTACAGCAGAAAAAAAACCAATCATTTTAAGGTCTCGGTAAAGGAAAACGAGGTGCCCAAAGAAAAAAATCCTAGTCGCGCGAGTATTTTCGCTACAAAAGCAAGTTATATATCAAATTAAAGCTGAAAGACTAAATTACCTTATAAAAGATTTTATTTCATCGAATTTCAAAAGGCGCTTAAGTTTTTTGCTCTCGAACTCAGAGGTATCAAGTTTACTGCTGAAGCACCAGCCCTTCCGCGTTATTAAATATTCACTTCCTTTTTATTTCATCTGATTGACAGATAAAAGACCTAAAAAAGGGTGTGAGGAAATTTGCATATGTTTCGTATTAGCGGAATTATTGCATTTCAAACTAAAAAGTCGAATCTCGAGCGCGATTTACGCAAAGAAACTGACATAAAATGAGTTACAAAGTGAAATCGGAAAATTCCTCACACCCTTTTTGAGTCTATATCATTATCCATCATATCTGAAAGTTTCAAAGCGATAGCTTAAAACCTGTCTCGACTGGAGGTCGGAGAATTTTGATTTTTGCGCCTAAAATAGAGTGCGAGAAAATCAGCTCTAAAGATTTAGCGCGAGGTCCACGCTTGGCTGGTTAGCTCAGAAAAGGCTCATTTTAGAAGGGTTAAAAAGCACTTTCTGGTTTTCTTTTTCTGCCAAAATAAAATTTAGGACCCACTCATGCCAAAAATAAAAAAAAACAAAATCGAGCAATGTACTAAAATTTTCATTTACCGAGACCTTAATGCACGATACTCTTTGGTAGCAGCCAATTTCTTGTTGTGATTTTTAGAGTCAATATTTCTGTCTAAAGGAAAGACCTAAAATAAAAATCGGGCCGACTTTTGTGTTCGCCGTAAAAACTTTATTAAGTTTTCAGCTTTCTACCGTTCTATCGGGCCCCGGACGAACACTTATATGTAAATTAGCCTTTACATTAAATTTTACGAATCACAGTATCCATTTGTTTCTTTTGATGTGAAACCTAGGACAGCGAATTACTTATTTAACCATTTTGGCTACCAGTATTGAATTATAAATTAAGTTTTACGCATGGCTTCACCTGTCAAAACTTTGACCAATCTGGTCGACAAGATTTAAACTCCTGGGCCCCGTTGTTCAAAAGATGGATGGTGCTATCCATCGGATAAGTATTAGAGAAGACAATTGCGCTATCCAGTGGGTAGTGATTTATCCAGTGGATTACGCTATCCGCCTTTCAAATAGCCTGCGAATGGCAGACGTTTCTCCTCGCTCATCGCTGCTGGGGGACGTTTCGCGAGGAGGAACGTCTGCGACTCAGCGACAGGAATTCCATACTGATGACGCAAAATCTGTCCGGAATCCAGTCAGAAGCGCTAATTGGTCGACAGACTACTTTCATTGTTTTAGCTACTGTTTACGAATGACAGACAAAAGACAAAAGGCCGCAAAGGTCAAACGTAAACGCGATGAATCTCTAACAAAGCAGCCAATATTTGTGGAATATAGTCTTCTCTAGAAGCATTTGAGTTTTGCTGGAGCTCATTCACAGATGAACATAACACTTTACCAAAATCGACCAGGAGAAACCTAAAATTGAACACATTTGCATTTGGAACCCCATGACTACCGGATTTATTATGTAAACATTGATTTACGTCATCAGTAGGGAATTTCTGTCGCTGAGGCGAAGACGTTCCTCCTCGCGAAACGTCCCCCAGCGGCGATGAGCGAGGAGAAACGTCTGCCGTTCGCAGGCTACCTTTCAAACAACTGGCGACCGGAGCATGACAAAAAACGTGACCAAGTTAAAGGCACATCCTGAAAAATATATCTTTCGAAGTTTTTTGTCGTAAACGAAATTCAAGATCTACACTAGACAGACTCCATTGGCTGCCTGTACGGGTGGATGGGCATAGGGTCATGTGACTACCAAATTTTCTCAGATGGATAGATAACCAAATTTTCTTAGCTAGGGGGCTCAGCTCACGAGTGCCTCGCGCGCGGTGGAGCTCCGCTATTAAAAAAAAACACCAGCGAGGAAGAGACCGTTGTACTCAAGAAATGTTTCAAATGTAAAAAAAGAGAAGATGTGACCATTGTAGCAATTTCCTCGTTGCATCAGTTTTTTCATTCCAGTTTGGCAAAAATAACACCATTCAATCAAAATGGACTTGTGATTCAAAAAGTGTTGTTTATTTAGCCCATTAAAGTCACGCTCTGCTATGGTCAGACAGAGCGATGCGTTTCCAGAAATGTTTAACCATTGGTTTCTATTTTGTACCTTATAACCATTGTCATCTTTTGGGTTGTGGGAGGCAGTGATCATAATTCCACATGCACATCTATACCTTAACACACTGTATGGCTATAAAATAAAAACAACAAAGTAGGAATCAAAGAAGTAAAAATAACGGTGCATTGATGTTATACACCTGATCAACACAATGCACTTGAATGATTGATACATGCATATGTACAACAAAGAGATTAAAACACAAGACCTGGCAAAACCAAATTTTTGTCAAGGAGAAAAAAAATTTTTCACTTAATGCATGATTCACACTACAGTTTGACTATTATTATTTTTACATAAGCTCGGATTCCTGTGTTCTTTACGGGGGAAGTATGTTACATAACCCCCGAATCAACCGTCTGAAAAGCTGGGTGTGGTTTTGATTGCTTGAAGGAAAGAGAGGGGCTAATGAACAGCTAATTAAAATGCGAGGAGATTATGTATTAATATGCAAGGGAGATAAGTGACTTATCCCCATTGCATATTATACACTTAATGTCAGTTCGTCTCGGAAAACATCAGGACTCTCGGGAAAGCAAAACTAACTGGTTTCCCGAGGGACCTGACATTAAGTATTATATTTCTGAACTTTCACTTCAACGTACTCAACAGCAACAAAAGAATACGCTTAAGCGGAGCGAATCAAAACAGTCGACTCGGTACTTATAAGAACACAAATGCCGTCTATTAGCTTGGATATTTTCTGTGTGGAACATTCAACGAGGACAATATGGCGACGAAGTATTGCTACGAGCTTGAATGTCAAGCCTTTCTTTGAAACTGTAGAAGAAGTTAAACCGTCAAAGCACTGCAGCAAGTGAGTAGCTACATGTGATACGACATTTTTTAGTACATACGGATGTGATCAAACATTTATATTTTAAACGAAACGTAGTTGATTTTTGTGTTTTCCAGCAAAAATTACTATTTCACGGGTTTCTGGATTAAGTTATCTCCAAATCCAGCCTTTCTCCCCAGCGTTTACTGATGCTTAATGTATTCTGGAGTACCTCAACGATAGCTGGGCACAATAATTAAAACTCAGAAAAATCGCTGGGTGTGGTAATTTGTAGTTTCTTTCATCGTACATTGCTGGAGGGTATTTTATTCACAAAATGTTCAAATGTGGTTTTGTTTACAAAATCGAGCATTCCCCCTGAAAGCTTCACACTATGATATTATCACTCTTTCTTAATAGCAAGGGGAAAAAATGAGTGCAATCAACCTCAAATGTGAAATTTTTTAATGCTTTCTGCTGGTACACTATTCCTTTATAATTTATTACAGTAATTTACATAGTATTTGGCTGCAAAACTCAAAATCTAGCCTTTCTCCCCAAATTAAATATGGTGTTAAATTAACCAGCGATTAATGTATTTTTCAGAAATATATTTCTTATGGGGCCAAAAAATCGTTTTTCAACTGCAATTTGCCATTACTTGATGTCAATGGATAGTTATAAATTTACACTTCTTGTCTTGAGAACAGTCATATTTGTACCAGGAATTCTGGTCTGCCAGTCCCGAGCAACCATGTGCTCAATATACATAATAAATCTTCTGATATCATCATAACACCCTACAGCAATCAGACCACCATATCCTTGGTGTTTATGACTCTCAAATAAAGCCATTATTCTCTGTGTATGGTCAAAGCAAATAAGTATAGACTTGTCGGGTGGAACAATTAATATTGTACATGTGTCCTCTGATATCTGAACAATTTCCTGCATTTTGCTTTGTAGAAATTCAGTTGAAAATATGCCAATGTCTTCTGTGATCATTAAGGAGAACTGGTCACTCCTTGTGGCTATAGCTTCTCTGACGTCAAGGTTAACTTGGCTTGGTGATAAGTTGATTTGCCTGTACATAATGTTACCACACTTGATGATACCAGCAAATGCTGACACAGTTCGGAGAACGTTTTCATCCTTTGTAGGTATTATTAGCTCTCCAGAAAGGAATTTGCTTGCCCCAATTGTTGCTATGATGGTACATGCATTACTTCCTATTCGAACACCAAAAATCATAGACTGACAAATTTGAGGTGGTAATAACCATTCTTTAACACTGCCATGGAGTGTGACGTGAAGTGCTAGTTGATTAGTGGGTGTTTGTAACACTTGCTGGTTAGTGATTGAGTGAAGTTGTTGCGATGTGTCTGTACTGTGCCACTCACAGTTACAATTGCGTCTATCAGCATCAGTAGATGTACATATACCCCCAGGACACTGCTCACACTTAACTTGATTTCCTTTTGGTCTTTTATGCCCTTTGACTAGATGGCCGCACTTCTTACAGTGGGGTGGTTTAGTAACTGTAGTGGGTTGCTGTTGTTTAGAGTGTTTCCTTTGTGATGGAGGGGCAATAGGTGATAAGGTAGATATTTGATTGATCAAGTAAGTAATATTGGCATCCAAATCCTTTATTTCACTGTTAGGTACATTACATGTAGGTTCCTTTGATGTGTCAAGCAAGTTAGATTCATCTTGTGGTGTTACTGAATCACTGCCTTTGTTTTTCTCTGTGTTTCTGTTTTTGGGGTTGAGGATTGCATTCTTTGCTGTGGTTCCCAGGCTATCTGCTTTTTGCTGTACAAATTTTTGGCACAGTGGGCAGTGTTGGATTTCTGAGAGGCAAGTGAGGTGAAATGAGTGAGAACATCCTTCAAGGAGAACCCACTCAGCATCATTTGTTACAGTACAACCTGGCATGTCGCATATCTTGTCGGGATCAGGCTTAATCTCAGAGCAATAGCCTAGAGGAAGTATTTTGGTTTTAACAGGGTCTGGTCCAAAGATTCTTGGCAAAACCACCCTCAGGTTTTTCCCCTTGCCTCTGAATTCCCCTTTTCCCGGATTCTGGGCTATCTTTATGAATATTGAAGAAATTAATGCTGCACACTTCATTTTTAGATATTTCAGCTGGTTAGCACTGAAGGTAAAGCTAGAAGGAGGGGAAAAATAAGATTTAAATGAATGCTGCGCTGCTTTTGATTGAAATGAACCCTTTGCTTTCTGCTGCATCTGTTCAATTGTGTCACTGTCACTTGTCTTTGATCTAATGATGCTATGGGCATTTTCCACAGGGTACTCATCAAAAATAACTAAAACAAACGAAGCATGAGATATAGGTCAGGGTTATTTATCCCCCAGTAAGTACACATCGCTATCCACACAAGAGGAGCCTTGTCATAATGATGCCGCTCGAGACACATGAACATAGTCCATATTCGTATGAAGTATTCAAAGAAGTTGTTTAGCTTGAACGATGTGCTGTAAATTGTCAGAACAAGTGGTATGTAATTGTCTAACAAGTTTAGCAATGTCATGTACTCTATGTCTTTACAAACTTTGAATTTTTCTTTCACAGCTTCCCTGATAAACAGCCAGCCTCCATAAACGACTTTAAGAATAAGACTAATGCGCCATGGCCTGGGAGTTTTTGGCAACTTGCTTCTGGGAAAAAGAATAAATATTTTCAAAGAAGCCCACAAAATCTTTAAATACTGTTTCTCTGCCGTTCAGAGAGATGTGAAGAGGACCTATACATGGAATAAGAGATAAGATGGCAGGCTGACTATTGATGTGTGCAGGACTTTCTTCGGCGGTTGCCCACTGACGATATCCAGAATTAAATGGTGTTGTATATTCATGATCCGTAGGAATGGGTGTACCATGAAGTGTATCGGGGGAGGATCGATAGTATTTTTGCAGCGTTTCGTAAATAATCTGTCTACTGTAAAACTGCGCAGGCCAGTCTCCAGGCTGAATTACAAGAAATTTTTTTAAGTAGTCAGCCATTCTTGTACTCAGAACAATGTCATATGCGGCCGAAAAGTCCTTCTTGCTTTTAAGAGTAAGCTCAATGAATTGCAGTAAATGAACGTCTGTCATCTGCCTCATCGTCCTCACAGAGTCATTCTCATTATATTCATGCACGGCAAGTCTGTGCCTTTCGAGTTCTGGATTGAAGAACGTGTTACGTATCCAGGCAGGCATTGCAGATGAATAGGTAAAGGCCAGTTTGTACATTGAGGATGAACTTGACAAAGTCTTGACACAAGAGGTAATGTCTATGCCGTCTACATTACGATATGTTGTTGCTGAACATCTCGGAATTGCCTCGACATTTTTAAACACTTTAACTACTATTGTGCACATACTTTTGGGATGGCATAGTTGATCGGTTTTTGGACGTCGTTTGCTGTGTATTGAAGTGTAATCGTCAATGATTAACACCAGTTGCCATTGTTCTTTAATAGCTTCCGAAATCAGTTCTCCTATCATATTTGTGTTACTTTCTGCAAGTTCTGCATGTAGAATGTTGACTCTTCTCCGGCAACAGGATTTTCCCATTTCTCTTTGGGCTTCTAAGCCTCTTTGGTTTAGATTTGAGTCTTTTAGAAACAATGCATGGTCGGTTTGCAACCAGTTGCAAACCTGGCTAAGTCCGTAACATAGCTTGTAAATGATGGCAACAGTTCGTTTTTCGTTGGTGCCTAGTCTTAACTGTGAATGTCTTAGGTCCGTCATTGCGTTTAATATTGTATCGAAAATGGTGGGGGCTCCGGCTGAACGACAGAAGATTTGAAACTCTTTAGGATCGTGGATTGGAGGCCTCCTGCGCAAAGTAAACTCTTGATACATCCTCTCCTTCAGTAGCTGAATTTCTTTTTTTAAGTCGCACCCTGTAAGATGATAATAAAATATTGTTTCGTGTGCTTCTAGGGGCAGTTGTGATATTTCTCCCCTTCCCTCCCTAATAAAAGAGAAGATTATAAACTATTGTGAGTCTTACGTTTTGATAGCTGCTTCATGTGGTCCGTTACTTCTTCAAATAGCCCTGCTGGCATTAGGGTATCGCCGAGGGGACCACGAAGGAGATCCCCAAAACACGTTTCTTCTACCTCCCACTCACTTAAATCTAACATGCCACGGGAACTAATGTCGACAGCATCAGCAACTCGTTCCACTGTTTGCGTTGCTGTTGACGTTAATTTCTTTCCATCGCCTTGGGTAAGACCCAAAACGGCACATTTTGGGGGAAATTCTTTCTTGCGCGGCGGCCTTCCCCTTCCTCGAGCGAACTTTCCGACTAGCTGTAATTGGAAATGTTTCATTTTGAGACGATTACATTTTATGTACGATACGATCTGAAATTTATCGTACTTACATGAAAAAAAACTTTTGACCCGATTTTCGGTGGTCTGTTACGGCTTTCCTGCACTGTCCACATATTTTCCCGTCAGTGTTCGCATCGATGCCGAAGCAAGATAGAAAATCTTTCTTATAACCAGAAGCAGGCCTTCCGTCCTCTCCAACAATAGTCTTTCCACACACTGCGCACTTTTCTGCAGCACGATTTCCTTGTATAGTGAAACTTACAATAAGAAATGACACCAAAACGAACATGAAAAGTACAATTTGAATTTCCCGCGCCATTTTGATTACCGCAATCACACCCCCTTTGTACAGCGGTTGCACGCATGCGCACGCAAAATGCCCTCCTGTTGGGCCTAGCAGTGTTTTTCCCGCCTTCTGTCACGCCACTTTCCAACATGCTTTGATCACGTGCTGCAATGTATCCCGAGCGATCTTATCGTAATTTGGTTATGTATTCACTTGCGAAAAATTAAACATAACTGAACGTAGTTTTGTAAACACGTGTAGGGGGTCATGGCGGCGCAGAATCTGGGGATGAGAATCGACACGATGCGTCGACGCCCGCTTCGAAAACAACGTACAATTTTCAGAATGCTATGTTTTGAGAAGAAAAATTTGGAAGGATTAACGGATTATACGGTGATGCCGCTTACAAATCCACACACCATTCGTGGTAGACCCACACTAAAAGATGTCGAGCGTTTTCGGAATGGGTCGTTCCACGAATTATATCGTTTGAAAGCGTTGAAAACTTTGAAAGAAGTGAATACATCAGATGTTGAAAAAGCAAGAATCTTCATGAGCAGAACTTCGATGATGAAGTTAAAAAGAACAAGCAAATCATCGTAAGTTTAACTCTTTTCCTTTTTTATGATGTTGGATACTTGTAACGAACAATTTGATATTTTGTACATCAGTATTATTATTGTACAGGCGACGGTAAATGTCGGTTTGTTCTACGCATGGAGTTGTACGCGCTTATTAGTCGAGCTTGCTTTAGCAGAGCGAGACTCATTTTTTTTTTCCGTCGGTCTTCCCTAGATTGTAGGCCACGCGTTTCTAGCGGAGACCGTGGAAACTAGGGATAAGAATCGTGACGACCTTCGTTTTATGCAAATGATCTCGTGATGAGCATGCGGTTTATTTTCGGCGATGACTGCATGTAAGTTGAACACGGTTTTAGCAATGATGTAATTTTCCGCCAGTTGAGGCCCTTGATTTTCGTGTAATTATGCCAGTGTATTAAAAAGTAAATACTCCTAGTTGGATGATAAAATATTATTGTGGTGTATTGAGGCGTTACGTTTCTCAGAATATTGTCGCAATTACTGGAACCCTACGGTTAAAAAGATTCACTTTGTTGTATGTATGTAATTGATAGATTTTCGTAGTTGTTAAGATGTGACGTCGCGTTGCACTTAATAAATACATGAGATATCAATGCTTTATCCTTCGACTCCAACTAGAAGCAACTCCAGCTACCCGTCTGACGTTACGTATGTGTCACGGATGTGTTTATACGGGTAGCTTTGTACTTGAGTAACATGCACTCGACTTGCAGCACTTCGTGTCCACAGAATAGAAATCCCATATCGAGCTTTTCCGGAACAGGCCGGTCTACGAATTCTATCGCTTGAAAGCGTTGATTACTTTAGAACAAGTGATCACTTCAGTGGTCGAAAAAAAATGTACTCTGAGATCGTGTAAACATCAACTGTACGGAGATATCAAAGGCAGGTACTAAGCAGCTATGGAAAATGTAATTACTTTCACGCGATTTTGATATCTTATAAAACGAACAACAAATTCAAAAGGAATAGGCGCAAACTTAATTAACTGTCTGTTATATAAGGTTCTGCAAAACTTACACATTTTTCCTATTGTGAACAAAAACTGTACCGCGCCGTATCTTGCTCCGCTACATAGAAGCTATATATATATTTATACTGATAAAAATCATCGTTCAATATTTTGAGTGTAAATTCCCTGAAAGAGTTCTCCTCACTGGAGCAATATCAAGATGTACAAGGTTTTCAAAGGTTTCACACCGGTGTGAAACTAAGCCGGATGTGCGGCCTGCTCTCCCTGCAATTTTTACGTTTTGAGTATTTAGATTATGACATATAACACTCGTTTTGTATTCAATAAACGGAAACGTAGCATAACAGCACCACCGCCTTTGACAACAAAACTTATTTCCAAGCCCCACGGGCTCGAAGCAAGCGAGACTCAACGCTACTAAGAGCGTTCTTGTTTGAGTAATATACGACTCTGACTTCTCGCTCGACAATGCTAGGCTCTTTAGGCTCTTTCTAGCATTTACTAAGAACAACTAATTCGAAATACGACTTTGAAAAACTAACATAATTAAAAAGCCCACAAACTCGTGAATGCCACCAAAGCCAGCATGGAGGGTTAAAAAGAAAAGATGAACAATAGAGGCATTCTTCGTCAATATATTTTTGCATCCCTCGAGGAATCCTTGCCAATGTAAAAATAAGGGTCGTTTATCGGCCTTTCTAGCTCGTGGTTATGTGATTTATACCCCTCGCGTAACGCACGAGGAAAATAAATCACATAACCCCTTACTTCAGGCCGATAACTCTTACTAATATATTTTATAGATGCACGAACAAGTCAAGTGAAACACATAACATCACACAATCAAAAAATTATGAAAGTAAATTAATTTAAATCAATGGAATCGTGTGGTCATACCACTAATATTCTCTATTATTTCAACAAAAACAACTGAACTATAAGGTTCACTCCCTTTTCAGGCCTGTGTCACCACTGAGGGATTTTTGTGCAATAGATTGCAAATCACAGACTGCTAACAATGGAGCAAGCTCCATAGCAAAAAAGCTGCAGATTAAAGGAGCATACACTGTTACAGCTGTAGAACCAAACTGCTAATTCTGGATGATGAACAAAATAAAACAGGGCCGGGTTGTTCGAAGCTGGGTTAAGATAGTAGTCATGCTTCAGCAAAATTAAGCCTCATTTTGGACTTCCCTTGGACTTCCGGCATACTAATTTGGATTCCCTCACAAAAAGTGCGTTCCCTTTATTAATATGCATAACGGTCGAGTCTATGACGTTACCCATTCTTATAACCTGGGGAAAAAATGCGTTCCTCCGTACTAATGAGGGTCTTCCTGCATACTAATAAGGATACTCGACAAAAATGCCTTCCCGCATACTAATTCGGTATTAGGTTTAGTAATATGAATATGAATAGTTTATTAAAACTCTCTTGCAGTAAAAAGAACTGAATTATCGAGTACATCTTACAATCTTCAGGCAACTATTATCTATAGTGTAGTAATTTACAGTTATAACAATGAAAATAACAATTGAATCACTTAAAAAATTTAAATGTAAAGAAGTCCTCCACTCTCTTTGTCCTACAGACCTGCATGTTCCGGAAAAGATAATACTTTTGTGTTTTCTGCCTTAAGGTGTAGTTAGGCGCGTCCAAAAGTGGGCTGGGAAGTAGGTGGTGCAGAGGGTGGCTGGGGGACTTCATTTTCGCCATATATTTGTAGCACAAGAGTACTCTTCTATCATCTAACCTATCTAGTTTACCTAACTGTAAGGCATGAGCATATGACTCTGCCTCGGGGTAGATTATGTTAAGCGCCCTTTTTTGCACTCGCTCTATGGCTTCGGACAGGTAAGCAGGGATGTCCTGCCAAACTGATACAGCATACTCTAAAACTGGCCGGAATGTGCTAAGGTATATCCTCAAGATGTTGGGTTGGCTCACCCTGACTCTGCGGAGAACTCTAAGGGAGTATAACTTCTTACAAGCTTTCTTAATAATGTAATCAACATGACAGTTCCACTTCAGGTCATTGTTCATAATAACTCCTAAGATCTTATAGGTATTGACACGCTTGATGACATTGCCGCCAATTATTAGCGGGTTAATGAGACAATTAGAGTTACGTAGGAAATTAATATGCATTTCTTTACACTGGGTTGGATTAAGTCTCATATTATGAGCAATGGCAAAATTGTGAATGTCTGAGGCCACTACATTAAGTAAGCTAGGGGAGCGTCACTCTACTTCAATAGGAACAATAGGCTTGCCTAGACTTGCCGGTGAAGTAACTTGAGCTCGGTTTTCAGACCGTCTATTAAAAGAGAAATAGGAATAAGAGAAGCGATCACCATTTAGCGCTTAACTCAGATATATAAACAAAACACACACAGAAAGTGGAGTTGAAAGGTCTTTATTTCAATTTAGTTTACGTCTCCTTATTTAGCGCTAAAACGCGGAAATATAAACAAAACACACGCACATAATACACGAAGTGGTGCTGAAAACTCTCTATTTCAATTTTGTCTGACTATTACAAAACCGTTTTCTCCTTTCTATCTCGAGGAAATGAAAAACTGTTACAGTCTCAGCGTTTCACTCGCCGTTAGTCAGATAATTATGCGAGTTCACAAGTTCACTGTTGCATACAAATTAGCTCTGAAGTAAAAACCCCAAGGGAGCATCTTGACGCATTATTATAAAAACACCCAAAAAGAAACCAATAACTTAACAAGGATCAATTGAAACACACGACTAATAATCGCTCGCGATAAAACCAGACACGTTTCTTAAGACACAAGAAATCCACTTTATGACCCTTTAATAATTGCAAAAAGTGTAAAAGACTCAGTCATGAAGACGGAATCTAGGTTTTTTTGTGTATCAGTATGCCAAACTTCGCATGCTACCGTTTTATTATGATTTCATGGACAAGTATTTAGACCGTAGCGATTTTCAAATGTGTGAAATGGACACAGACAGTGCGTATATCGCTATTGCTGGGGAGAGTGTAGAAAGTTTAGTCAAACCAAAATTGAAAGCAGAGTTCGAAGCCGATAAATGTAACTGGTTTCCCCGTACGGATACACCCGAGCATAAGGCCTATGATAAGCGAACCCTGGGTCTTTTTAAGGTTGAGTGGGAGGGACAAGGAATTATCGGGTTGTGTTCATTGCTTTGGGGCGAAAGATAAGTTTTCTTGCAAAGGGGTTAACAAGAAATGTAACGAGATTAACAAAGATAAATATTTAAATGTACTATTAACCAAACAAAATAGTGCTGGGGTCAATCGGGGGTTCAGAGTAGTTAACAACACCGTGTATACCTACACTCAAGTGTAAATAGCATTGTATATGAAAGAGTTTCCTAAAAAGTTCTGAAAGATTGTCATTGTTAGATAGTTTGTAAATAAACAAAGTTGGGAGAATTTTAATAATGGCTTGTTCTCTGTCTAGCCACGCACGTGCCTTTCCTCGCGCGCTTCCTGGGAAAACACAGGGCTAAAAAGGTGCCCTTTCTGCCCTAAGTGCCCTCGAAAATCAACAATAAATTTCGTGTCGCAAATAGTTTTATTCAGTTGAAATCAAACTTGATAACTTGATAACATGAAGAAACTAAGATGTAAACACTGCCCCATACCGGGATTTCATTCTCAATTTTTAGTTCGATTGGCAAATCATTTAACTCAAGTACACGAGTTAACAGAGACAGAGCGAAAATATTGGCTACAGTTTGCTAAACTACAAAACACCAATGTGGTTCGTGTTTACGAGAAAGAGGCTGAACCTAAAACAATTTTTCTATAAATGATAGTACGCACCATTCAGTTAATCAGTTATGATCATGGATCCGAGATGGAAACATCCTTTCCCCGCGCTTGTGGCCGGCCCAACATGTTGTGGGAAAAGTCAGCTTGTAAAACGTTTACTTGAATCGGGGGGAAGACATGATTGATGGTGCCCCGGAAAATAACATCTGGTGTTAAAGCATGTAACAACCAGCCTACGATGAGATGCTTAAAACGATTCCGAACATTGTGTTTATCGAAGGAGTGCCTGGTGATCTGGAAACCCTAATTAATCCCTCTATTCGGAATTTAGTCGTCATTGATGACTTAATGCACGAACTTAGCAATGATCAGCGAATGACTAATTTGTTTACCGAGGGCTGTCACCATCGCAATCTCAGCGTGATCTTTATTCTCCAAAACATTTTTCATCGTGGAAAAGAACTGAGAGATATGAGTTGGAATTCTCATTACTTAGTGGTGTTCAAAAGCCCGCGTGATAGTAGTCAGGTCAATCATTTAGCAAGACAAATGTTTCCCAGTCATGTCAAATACATGCAAGAAGCGTTTGAGGATGCAACAAAAAGGCCCTATGGATATTTATTTTGCGACCTTAAACCGGAAACACCTCCCGACTTCCGGATGCGTACGAATATTTTTCCCGGGGAGACTCAGTACCCTTACGTCAGAAAAGTAAAAAGAGCGTGAACCACATCAAATTTCTTCAGTTGAGGATGGTACAGCGACTGAGAAAGAACCACGATTTTCTGAAGCTGCTTGTCAAGTGTACCCCAGCTCAGCGTAAAGCCATTTTGATGGTGGCAGACGACGCTTTAGTAAGAACCATTTGTGAGGGTGTTTTAAACGTGCTTAAAGGATCAGTGCCCGTCAGTAAGCCAGCCAAGAAAAAACTTTACCTCACAAGAAATCTTTGGTACAACACGGAGGAAATTTTTTAAGTGTTTTGCTACCTCCCATTCTCCGTGTGTTAAGTTCGATTCTTACCTAAAATGAATCACACAAAGCGTATGGTTCTCGTACCCGAGAACACCTTAATTGGAAAGATTACAGCAACGCCAGCAGGGAGTGGAAGATATATTGAGTCAGTTAGCGAAAACAAAGTCGAGTTCATCTTTGCTACGTCGCGAATTTAAGATTTCTGGTCAGATCGGCGAACCAGGGCAAACAGAGAAACTAACTTTTGTTTCCTTAATGCATCAAATAGACTCAGGGCTAAAACGTGATTACCAAGAAAATGAAATTGTGGACGCAGTGATACGTGCATGGGTATTCTTAATTTATTAGAAACCACACACCATTCATTTTATTATTTCCTTTTCCTTTATTCACTACACAAAAAAACGCATAAATGACAACTTCAGAATATCACTTTCTTGAACCCAAGAATCAAATTTTGGGTATTCGTATCCTTTCCATCTCACAGGGTACTCTACTACTCCTTTACGCTTTCTGTTCCTTGGAATCTTTTCGACGCGGTACACATCATCGTTCTTAATAATTTTCTGCAATTCTGGCTCATAAAATGTTCCATCTAAGATTTCACCTGAATCATCTTTTAGTTTATAAACGGGTACTTGACGAGCCATTCGCTCGTAAACAGTAAAAATTTCGTGCGTGAAATTACGTAAGATTTTTCACACATTCTCTTTACTTTGCTAATCCTCACGCGATCACGGACTTGAAATTCAAATCGCACAGGCTTTTGACCATCATCCCCATACAAAGTATCCCACACTTGAGCTTCATTCGCTTTAGTCACCTGGTTCGGTTTCATTTTAATACTTCGGTGGTAGGTGTTATTGTAAGAAGATACTAACTGGGGTAATACATTGATATAGGTGAGAATGTTTTTGGCCGTGAGATATTTGTACATCTTATTCTTCAATGTTCGGTTAAAACGCTCAAGCACTGAGACTTTGAGCCCAGAGTTAACAGTAAAAAAGGCAATGTTGCTGTCACTCAGAAATTTCTGGAACACACGATTCAGGAACTCTGTTCCTTGATCCGTCTACAGTTTGGTAGGTTTTTCACCAGTAGAAAGGATCTTTTGAAAGGCCTTGACCAGTTCTTGACCTTGTTTTGTCTTCAAAGGTAACACAAAAGCGTGGAGGAGGGAAAACAATAAAAATGAGGAGGCGGAGGAAAAATAAAAAAATGAGGGAAAATATTAAAATTGTGGACGAGGAAATTCAAGAATGAGGAGGGAAAATAATAAAATTGTGGAGGAGGGAATAAAAAAAATTGAGGAAGGAAACGTGGTAAAAAAAGATAGCTTGGTTTCTTTGACTGTTTTAATAGATTTCTTTCAAATCGCTGTGTATTTGACTCTTTGTGTTTTAAAACGGTATTTCCTGTCTGATTTTATTGCTAGCAATTATTAGTCGCGTGTTTAATCAATTGATCCTTGTCAAGTTATTTGTTTTATAATAATACGTCAAGGTGCTCCATTGAGGTTTTTCCTGTAGAGCTAATTTGTATTCAACTTTGGGCTTGCGAACTCGCATAATTAACTGACTAACGGTGCGTGAAACGCTGAGACTTTAATAGTTTTTCATTTCCTCGAGATAGAGCGGAGAAAACGGTTCTGTAATAGTCAGACAAAATTGAAATAGAGAGTTTTCAGTTCCACTTCGTGTATACGTGCGTGTGTTTTGTTTATATATCCGAGTTTTAGCGCTGAAAAGAAGACGTAAACTAAATTGAAATAAAGACTTTTCAACTCCACTTTCTGTATGTGTTTTGTTTACATATCTGCGTTTAGCGCTAAATAAGATATAGAAAGCCGTTTCTCGCGTTGGTAGGTGATCGAATCTCTATTTCTCTTTTAATAGACGGTCTGAAAACCGAGCTCATGCTACTTCACGGGCAAGTCTAGGCAAGCCTATTGTTCCTATTGAAGTAGAGTGACGCTCATTAGTAAACCTATACCGAATTAGTATGCGGGAAGGCATTTTTGTCGAGTATCCTTATTAGTATGCAGGAAGACCCTCATAAGTATGGAGGAACGCATTTTTTCCCCAGGTTATAAGAATGGGTGACGCCATAGACTCGACCGTTATGCATATTCATAAAGGGAACGCACTTTTTGCGAGGGAATCCAAATTAGTATGCGGGAAGTCCAAGGGAAGTCACCAACGGGGCTTATCTTTGACCCTAGTAGACTACTTAAGATAACCCAGGGTTAGTGCGAAAGTTGAACTCAGCTACAAGAGCTTAAAAAGCAAATTCAGTTTAATTCACTATGCCTACAATTTGATGATTGGATTCTCTAAAAAGAATAGAGCAAATTATCCGAGAGAACGCTTAATTTTGATAAAAAGAAAAAGAAACCGGGGATAAAATTTAATCCCAGGTTAGCGCTAACCAGCGTTCGAACAACTGGACCCAGGAATCTTCTGGGTCACCGCACAATAAAATAAGCAGAATAACAGCAAAAACAGGATTAAACTGCAAAGGATAACAGTGCAAAGCACAAGCATTCCCACAAACATCAACAGCAAAAGTTAATCCTAACCCAAATAACCTGTAATCTATGGACTTACAACAAATGGTGTGGGAGTTATCCTACTGAACATATACACAGGAACCCCTTGATTTGCAAATACAGTGCTGGTCCTTTGAGCAAGCCTACAAAAAAAATAACAAAATAGATATAGATAAATAGATCAAAAAAACAATTTTTTCATTACCTCTCAAGAGCAAAATATTGTATATTTTATGGCATTGACTAAAATTTGACTGACCCTGAAAATATTTTAATAGAGGTGACATCATCAGCAATATTACCTTATCCCCAGGCTTCTAAGAAAATGAAGAAGTAGCCTGGAAATGAGGTGGATATTTTCTTCATATTGCCTTTGTTCCCAAGATACTGTTGGCTGTTCTTTACTGAGTAGTATAGTCAGGGCTGAATAACATCTGTGTTTGTAACCAGTTCGCTTGTGATTCCATAGCAAAAGTCTAGCAAAAGTATAAATTAAGGTGGCTTGACTTGATATTTTTAGGGGGAATACCTGCCTAGTTCGAGCATTAACTATTAGCAAAGATATTGAAAGTTTGTTCTGATCCATGTTTCAATAATATCAGAGTTGCCATGGCAAGGTAATGACACCGTTACATTTTCAATTGCCACTGTATTCCTCAGTAGCTGGAGTGTTTTTTTTTTTAGAAATCACTTTAAGGAGCTTGTACCTCCCATAGCTGCCTCAAAAAAGGCGAATTGAAGTTTAAACATTCAAATTCTATGAGAGGGTTTTGGAAATATTTTGGAACAAAGTTTTAAGAGTCACAAAAATAGTGAATAAACACAATACTGAGTAGCAAACTAATATCTAAAGAAACTGATGAGCTCTGGAAATGCAGTTTCATCTCTGAGCGGTTTAATTCCATTTGACACTGTGTGCGAAAAAAGAGGGGGGTTGCTTTAGCAGATTTTGAGAAAGAAGAGTTTGATAAGCCTGCGTTCAGATTCTTCTGTTACCATTTTTGTAAGTTATTTGGTTCAGGCCTTCAACTTTCATATAAATTTAGAAACTGCTTAATAAATTTCTTTAAAAAAACTTGAGAATCTCAAGAGTAATGATCAACTTATATTGACTGTAGGTTTCAAGGACATTGAAAACATGGAAGGCGATCAAATGGAGCTTCTAATGTCACAAATAATAATTATTGCCCCCGCAGGTATTTCGCCCAGAAGACGAAATCCCGAGGAGGCACTCTAGTAACTCGCGCGTATATTAAGGAAGTACTTACAGTTGAAATATACAGTCATACAGTCAATATAGAAAAAATCTCCATAAGCTTGAACAGGGGCCGCGAGGAATCGGTAGGTAATGATGACGTTTCTATTGTTTGCGCCCGCAATTACGAAATGGTTAGGATGACGTAAAGACAGAACATCCCTAAGGGACCGCTTAGTTAGATTTTGTGACATTTATTGTGCAGTCATACTTCGACACTCTTTTGCGTTACGTGTTATCAGTGACAGTCTGTGGAGCAGTTGTTTCAGTGAAAGTTATGGACCAAAATTTTAACGACACTCGTTAAACGCAGAAGAAGTTATAAGGTGCGTATAACTGTGTGTGTATATAAACACTTGGAGAGTCTGCCAGACACGAGTTCACAAATGTTTCATTGGAAACCTTGCCGGACACTCTTTCTCTCTCTTTTACCGGAATAAGACTCAGCCTCAAACAAGCAAGACGAGTGAACAACAGCTAGCTTCTCACTAGCAGAACGATGGACGATTACAGAAATTCGCCGACAATCAAATTCTGTGCTGACTTATTCCCTGCTCACAGATGTCCTTCCGCTATAAAGTTTAAAATAAGACTAGAATGTGCGAGTGTGAATTAATCAATCGTCCTTTTAATTTCTAAGGCTTCCTTTCCGGAAATGAACTGAATGTAAAAAGTGAAAGAAAAATAGCTAAAAATTCAACTTCTTATTAAATCTTTTCTTATGGTTGAGAATAAACTATTCCCGAAACTGAGAATGTTTTGATCAAAGCTGTGTAAATCGACCTGAAACTGCACATGGAAACTTGCGTTTCCTGTATTTATCTCACCTATTGTATGGAATATGTGTGAAAATCTTCCTTATGAATCGGTATATTTCAAAGAGCTACACAACGAGCAAGAATGCTATCGACCGACAATATACAGTGCGGGGGCAGCTGTAGTGTCAACTATTTCTAGTTTTACCCCCAGATTTCTTGCTCCCACAGCGCACAGCGTCTTGTTTTCTGTAGTTTCTAACTTTCCATAGACAACAGGGCCCACGCATGAGGAGCGGCATGCATGGGGGAACCAGTAACAAAAGCCCCCCCCACACACACACACACACACACACACACACAGCCACGCACTTTTTGAAAAAAAAATTAAATTAAATGAAGTAATAGACATTTTCAAATTAAAAGTGTCTTTGCTGAAATACGAATATTCGGCTGGAGGACCTCGCAGAAGCATCCAAATTTAAGAGTGGCCCATTTCGATCCAATATCTGATCCGTAGTGAGATTATCTTTACAAAACTGCACCTAATCGTAGACTTTCAAACAAACTAGGCTTTGTAGCATATGCAACAATGGAGTCTTTTTTCATCTCATTTCTTAAATCTGAAGACTACCACACGAAGGGCCCGGTCACCCACTCTTCATTTTCCAGGAAGCGTGTATTTCCTTTGGGACCGCTTTAATTGGATTAAAAAAGAGCTGCCAATGATGGTAGAGTTTTTTAACCCCTTGGGATTTACTGCAACCAGTTTCCATAAAACTAATAGAAAAATATGGGAAACTGTAAAAACAAGTTTATGTGACTATACCAGCGAGACTGGTTTTTCCAGTTACACCTGTTTACCCAATTTGCCATGACGCATCTGAAATTCGTCTCGCATAGCGAATGTATGAACTCTGCCAAAATTCGTCCGGGTCTCGTTCTTTTGCATGGCCAGGTGAGTTAAGATTTAGTGCCTTTTTTCCGCTGCTGTCATTGTCTTTGTGCTGTTCAATGAGCCAGATGACTTAATAGATGTATTTTTCTTTTTGTAGGAAGACAACAATACGCGTAATATTGCTCTTGTTCGCAAAGGCGAAGCTAAAGGCGTACCAATGAGCCGAAGAGATCGAAAATGAGAAGGATCCCGTCAAAGACAATCTCTTGTGCGCCGCTGTTATTCAGACACAACTTCAGACAACCCCAGCATACCTACCTCCGCTGAAGGAGCCCAAGCATTTAAGATTGGACGTAAGCACTTCAAATTCAGTAGCAAAACCCACTCAGCAGCTTCAAGACTTACATAAGTCCCCTAGTGAAGGTGAAAAGACCTGATCAGGAAATCTCCAAAGGGATCGAGTTCAACTTCAAGACTCATCATCAAACGCTGATAAAACCGCCGACATTGTTACTGCAGCAGTGGACATATTCAGCTTAAGTCGCCTCCCAACACCCGAGCCAACTATCTTCTATGCTCTTATACTGTGAAAGGTTTGAACCCAGAAGGAGTCATTTTATAAGTACGTTGAGTTTGAATGCCTGGGTTATCGTAGTCCTGAATAGGAATGCTGTTGTTGACAGTGACTGACGTTTCGACAACCAGTGCAGTTAACTCATCTTCAGAGTCACATGTACAGTGACTTGTATCACGTCAGTTGATGGTATACTCTGGTTATTGACCTGATTGGTCAATAATTTTATACCATCAACGGACGTGGTACAACTCCCTTTGACTCTGAAGATCACTTCTATATGCTCTTATACACCGAAAAAACCTACCATTAAGCGACAAGATGTATTATTTGAAACGATACGTTAGTGGATCTGCCAAGCAAGCAATAAGCAGATTACAGTCGACTCTCTCTTAACGGACACCTCTATAAGACGGACACCTCTATAAAACGGACACCTAGAGTTGGTCCCTGCCTTTGTTTACAGTCGACTCTCTCTTAAGGGACACCTCTATAAGACGGACACCTCTGTAAAACGGACACCTAGAGTTGGTTCCTGCCTTTGTTTATTCCCTTTATTTGACTCTTTATAAGACGGACATCTCTCTAAGACGGACACTTAGAGCCGGTCCCAGAGGTGTCCGTCTTGGAGAGAGTTGACTGTAGATCGGAAGCTTACAAACAAGCATGGAGCATTCTGGACGACAGATTTGGTCTCCTATTTACAGTAACTAAAGCGTACAGAGACAAGCTACAAAGATGGCCAAAGATTGGTGCTAAGGATCATCAAGGCCTCAGAGGATTCGCTGATTTTCAACAAGTGTAGAAACGTGCAATGCAAACAGTAAAGGATCTATAACCATCTTAAATGAATATATGGAAAAACAGAAGTTACTTGCCAAGTTACCAGACTGGCTTATCTCCCGATGGAACAGAGAGGCCACAAGGGAAATGAAAGAACAAAAGAGATATCCAGATTTCAAGACCTTCACGGCCTTTGTTCCCAGGTGACCTGCATGCTCTTGAGACGACTTTCTTGTATTTGTGTACTGCTTACTAACTAAAGACTTTTTAGAAAAAAAGTATTGTGTTCAAATAACAGCTTTGATCTTTAAGAATATTTTATTTTGTTATTACTGTTGTATTATGATTATTTTTAATCAATAAATACGTTAATTAATTAATTTCTTTATTTTTGCATTTTGTACTGTAGTGTAATTAATGTCATTAGTCTGCTACTGTTGTTAAATAAATAAAGATTCGAGGGAACCTGAACGATCATCTACTCAACGGACCTGACCTAAATAACAATTTGACGGGCGTACTCTGCAGATTCAGACGATATCCTTAAGCTCTTACTTGCAATGATTCCTTTAGTGGCCTAATGGTGAAACAAAGCAAGAGCCCAAGGAATACAAAATGAAAATGCATTTGTTTGGGGCAACTTCTTCGCCTGGTCGGGCCAGCTATGGTTTAAATACATGGCTAGTCAAGGGAAAGAAGCGTACCCTCCCCTTCAGCAATAGTTCATTACTCGTGATTTCTACGTAGATGACGGATTACCCTGCATTGAGTCCAATGAGCAAGCAAAGGACCTCATCCGAGGAGCTTGTGAAATTTGCAAGAAGGGTAGCCTTCGTCTTCACAAATTTATAGCAACCGATCGCAAAGTGCTCGAATCAGTACCCTAAAATGAGAGAGCTATGCTTCGGTTTTACCATCGTTCTAAAGGAGCCTAAACTAGAAGAGTAACCTGAGATCGGGCCCAATTTTAGCGGTTCTCATACATTCTCCCCAACGGCTACCGCTAAAATTGGGCCTGATACCTGTTTTCGGTTCGCCTTGCCCGCCGGAATGTTATTGCAAAGCGAAACGAAAATTGAGCGTGATCTCAAAGAACTGATACTACAGGAAACATGTAGAGGTGTCAGCTGGGATAAGCCTCTGCCTGAAGACGTTCAGCCAAGGTGGGAACACTAGAAACTTGATCTTTTGCGCCTCAAAGAGTTACAAACTTGAGATGCCTCGAGCCGAAGACGACGAGTCAAAACAAGACCTATGAGTTACATAATTTCGAAGACCAACAGAAGGCCAGAAGATGGAAGATCTACCCGAAGATAGAGTGGAATCTACCCGACCTTTTACATACTGTGGAATGGACTGCCTTGAGCCTTTCACCATCAGGAAAGAAGAAAGGAACTGAAGAGATACGCAGTGATATTTACTTCCATGAGTTCTCGAGCAATGCAGAGCAGTTGGAGGAAATGACAAGCAATGCCTTCATCAATGCCTTAAGATGCTTCATAGTAACTTCTCAAACTAATAATTCATAGAGAAAGTATAAAGGAAATCAACGTTTAATGAGCGTTTGGAAATCAAATGAAAAACTGCTCATTTTTGCATCATTAATTTCTCCTTCTAAAATCATTTTGTTTGAGAAGTAATATCAAGCATTCGACACAGTGTTTCATCACGGATGAAACACCTTGAAGTTCGTCAAAAATACTCCGCTGCGCGTCGTACTTTCAACTCTCTTCTCAGTGTTTCATCTGGTGATGAAACACTGCGTCTCATGCTTGATATATTACTCAAGGACCCATCCAACAGCTAAGGTCCGACCAAGGCTCGAACTTTGTAGGAGCAAAGAATGAACTCGCACACGCCATGAAGGAGTTGGACAGTTGGACAGTTGGATCCAATCATATTTGACGACCAATCGCTGCGAATCCGTTATGAATGTCCCTTATTCCAGTCACTGGGGAGGAGTATGAGAAGAACAGATGCATTCGTTCATCCGGACAATCATACTCAACCGACTTCTGTTCTCAACGATTATAAAGGAAGAATCGATACGTCCTCACAGTCATTGCACACCTTCTTGTATGAAGTCATGGCTATAGTCAACGGCCGACCATTGACCTATCAATGTCTGAATGATCCAAAGAGTTAGAGCCTCTAACTCCAAATCATCTACTCACCATGAAGAACAAGACACTTCTTCCACCTCCGGGAAATTTCGTCAAGGAAGAAGTTTACGTTCAGAAACGATGGCGAAAGGTTCAGTTTCTGGCAGAACAATTTTGGAGTAGGTGGTGAAAGGATTACCTCCTCAGCGTGAATCCGAGACAAAAATGGTTTCGGCCAAAGAGAAATCTGAAAATCGGCAACATCGTAATCGTTCAAGAAGTTCTACGGAACAAGTGGCCTCTTGGCAAGATCATGCCGATTGGAGACTTCAACAGATCAACAAGGTTTTTTTCGTTCTGTGAAGATAAAGCATGGATCCTCAAAAAAAGGGATATGACACAAATTCTTATATCATCAAAATACCAGTGCAAAGAGTGGTCCTCATGTTGGAAGGCGTGGTCTAAGACAAGTTCCAATGGCAATGTTTGATGTGCACAGTGAAATTATTCAGGATTTAACATTACGTCCCCTTTTAGAATCATAAATAATTTAGTGGGAGTGTAGCTACTGCGATTATCCACAAGTTAATCCACTTATTTTTCATCCAAAATTTGATGATGTTTTGTTTTCTTCACGAGTGCGCTAAAGCAATTTCTAGATTTAACTAAAAAGTTCTTTCTAAAGCAAGCTAGGTTACACGCGAGAGCGCCACACAATACGGTCACTAAAAGGTGAAGTTTTTTATTTGCGGATAGTTGATGCAAGTTTCTGTAAACTCTGATCTCAAGAAACAAGGTTTCCTTGTTCTAGTGATTTTTAAAGACATCACGAAGGTAACTATTTACGCTTCATTTCTTTATTTAAGTAAGCACTTTGTAATTTCATCCTTTAAGACCAATTTTATTGTTCATTGAATTATAAAATCAAGATTTCAGATTGGATGAAGTGTGTATCTTCTGTAATTTCACGATCTTATTTGTGCGTCAACTGTCACAAATCCACTTCCTTTTTTCTACTTTTCCCGTATTTTTTGTAATTATTGTGTAGCAAATAAAATAAAATGAATAAATAAATTAAAAAAGTGCTAAAAAAAGGGAGTACTCAAGTAATGTCTTCAAATTCTGGAGAGCAAGAGAATTTTAGTGCAAACAGGGAACCCAAGAACCCCCAGCGTGGGCTAAGGAGCTTTTTCAACAAGTGGAAATATTAGAGAAGCTTAAAAATATTCCACAAGGGAGGCAAGGTAGGAAAGAAAGTGGGGAGTCTAGCCAGGGCCCCCGAGCATGTTTTAAGTGTGGTAGTCTGATTCATTTTATTCCTGACTGCCCACATCAAGTGCGTCCCGACCAGGGAAACGGAAGATGGGCGGGGCACAGTCGGAAGTGACCCCGCCCGAAAATCGAGAGGGGGTAATTGGCCTTGTGAAGTCTATGGTATCAACTCTCAAGCCTTATTGGACACAGGCACAGAAGCAACAATTATCGGCGAGGACTTATACTATCAAGGTAACACACGTAAGCAGACTCGACCCCACACAAAAGCCTGTTTTGGGGACCAACAAAATGCCACTTAACGTTGTTGGAGAAACAGGGGTGACAATTCAGCTGGCGGAATCAGAGCTCAGCGTAAGGTGCTGGTGTGTCGTGGATTACCACAGCAATTGTTAATTGGTGTAGATTTTCTAACTGCCCACAAATGCATCATTAACGTTGACACTAACACTGTCTACAGTAAGGGGGACCTAGCCTGTGAAAATGCTCTCTGTTTGGGGAAAGGGTGAAAAAGTCGCGAGGAGACAAACATTTGGGACCGCTATTCCGCCCTCTAGTCTTGTAATTGCCGATCATCTGTCAGCAAGATTGTTATCTGTCACTTGGATACATTGGAATGTAATCAATTTCACGTGTAAAAGGGGGGTCGGTAGGCAACACACATACTTTTACCTCGTGCCAAAATGCTGATTTTTCCAGTGGGTTTTTTCTCTGGCGGGTAGATTATGCTCTGGAGGGTCTAGTTTTAACTGAGAAAATGTGACTTTTGCCGCTTTTTTCATACTGAGATGTGGTGACACGCATATGGATTTTATGCAGTTATTTTTTCTGGTCGGCGTGATTTGCCCTCTGATGCAAGAACATTCGCTGTAGTTAAAAAAAGCTCATAAGTCAACCACCAGAAGACGCCATGTTTAAGTTCAGAAGACCTGTTTACAAGGCATTATTTAAATGTAGTCAATGTAAATCGACCCTGCTAACAGTCATCCTCGGAGACCCAGGGGCAGTCAGTCGGGTCGGGAGGAAGGGCGCGACGAAAGTTTTCAAGTACGGGCGAAAGAGCCCCTGGGTACCGACTCTAACCGAGCTATTTCCAAACATTCAAGCGGATGCCGGCTCCTGATTGGACACAAAAAATGCTTTGTATTATTGTGCCAAATCGGCGAAGAGTTTCTCCTGAGTTCTTTTCGTGAGTTCGTACACGACGGCTATTGTCTTGCCACACTTGCCCGGTTCGTTCACCAAGGTTGTGCGAGCAAGGGAAACTTTTATTTTCTACTTTCCTAACCACAAACGAAGGAACTAGCGATGAGTCAAAATAACGTTTGGGATGCTATCAGCAGGAGCAGTTCAATTTGCCCCGAGAATATTCTGTTTTTGATTCATCACAATGTATCGTAGATAATAGGAAGATAAAGATGGGGCGGCCGCGAGAAAGTCAAATAAGCAATACCTTGACAAGGCAAAACAACAACTTTGCACGTGCATCACACTTTTTTGTACATTTCTTTGCCGTCAACTGCACGACTACCCGTGAAAATGCCTAATTTCATGTATTGTGAAGGAGGTAAACAAACAATGACAAAATTCATTCTCTTCATGGACTTGGATATGTTGATAGAAATTCAGCTCCAGAAGAGTTCGCTTGCATTTGCAAAGTAAGCGTGATGGAATAATCACGATAGAAACTGAAAAAATGTGAATTCCCTTTTCCATGCGACGTTTTCGTGATTGTCAGCCATCATGGTAGCTTTTAAAAATTCCCTAATATTTATGCAAGACATGACCGATGCAAGCTTGAATACCTGTTGTAAGCACAAGCTTGTATTTTTGGAAAAGCGTCTTTAGTTTTCGGGTAGACAGTATTTTGAAATCAGATGGGGATTTTATATCAAACTGAAAGTTTCCTGACTGCCGGCATTTCTTTGGTGCATGAGCCAGACAAGCCGTGATCGAAACAATAGCCGTCATGTACGAGCTCACAAAAAGAACTCAGGAGAAACTGTTCGCCGATTGGGCACAATAATACAAAGCATTTTTTGTGCTCAATCAGGAGCCGGCATCCGCTTGAATTTTGGAAATAGCTCGGTGGTACCCAGGGGCTCTTTCGCCCGTACTTGAAAACTTTCGTCGCGCCCTTTCTCTGGACTGACTGCCCCTGGGTATCCGAGGATGGCTAACAGTCAGTGTTCCCGCCAATAGGAGCTTGCATCAGGATCTGATGCACAGCGGGTGCCGTGGAACGACGGTTGCAAATGTTTGACTACAGGCTCTCACCCTTTCCCTTCCTACTCCTCGCGATTTTTCACCCTTTCCTCAAACAGAGCTTGTTCACAGGCTAGGGGGGGACTTAGCAAGAGGGTCTTCGGAGACCTTGATAGAGTGCACAGGATGACTGTGGCTGACACTGTTATGTTATTTCCAGATATGTTCGCGGACATACCCTGTGAGGTCCAGGGGATGAATGTCCTAGCGGAATTTATGGGTTTGCTAGAACCAAGTGATAAATTCTCAGAAAGATATTCTGCTGGGGCCTTTCGGACCGCAGTGTCAGTAAAAGAAGGCCACATCCCAGTTCGTGTATTTAACTGCCTTATCAAGCCCCTCAAAATTTACAGATACAGCAGTATAGGAGATCTCTGCCCATTGGTCAGCGAGGAGGAATCATTCGAAGAAACAAGTGTGGGTGTGGGCTACAAGGTGGTACCCTCTAGGGCTCCCGCGGAAGATGGTGAGGTTGAGTTGGAAGCTAAACATTGTGGGGTCATTTTTGTCGAGGGCGTTGACAGTGGACGTTTCCGTTGGAAGAGATGTTCCCTACTAATTTGGTTTCAGACGAGGAAAAACTTAGGCATTATGAGGTGTTGTCCACTTATGCTGACTGCATTTCAAAGGGGCCGTGGGAAGGGAGTGAAACATACCATCAACACAGGCTCTGTCCAGCCAATCCAGGTACCCCCTCGAAAAGTCCTCTTTCCCGAAAGGCAGGAGGTGCGTCTCCAAGTGGATGAAATGCTTGAAGCACAAATTATAGAGCCGTCTGATTCCCCTTGGTCGTCTCCGGTGGTTTTAGTGACTAAACCTGATGGCACTCAACGTTTCTGTGTGGACTACCGTGCTCTTAACTCAGTGACCAAGAGAGATCTGTACCCTTTTCCATGTTTTCCTTTTCTCATCTCGACCTCCTTAGAGGTTATTGGAAGATCAATGCAGTAGAGCAAGATCGCAAACTGAGTTTCGGCCTTACCAATGCACCTGCGTGTTTTATGAGGGCTATGCATCTTATCTTGAAGGGTTTTTGCTGGTCAGACTGTCTAGTGTATCTAGATGACATTATTATCTTTGGCCGTATACTGGACAGTGATGCCAATGACAGTGGGCTAGGGGTGGCGTTGTCTCAGGTTCAAAGTGGGATGGAACATGTAATAGAATATGCTGTACGAGCACTCTCAAAGGCTAAGAGGAATTATAGCACCACCTGGAAGGAACTATTGGCCCTTGCGTGGGCAACGGAGCACTTCAAGACATTCCTCTATGTTCAACATTTTCTGGCCACGACTGACCATAGTGCTTTGCAATGGCTAAGGAACTTTAAGAATCCTAGATGCCAGGTGACCAGGTGGCCAGGTGGCTTGAATGACTTAGTGACTTTGATTTTGAGGTGGAACATCGTCCGGGTCAGTTGCATGCCAATGCAGATGGACTGTCCAGTCTTCCCTGAGATGAGGATGCATCAGATAAGGATAGGAGAAATGCTACCCTGATTCAGTCTGTGAATATGGAACAGGGACAGTTTACGTGCGACTCAGAACCAGGATCCTGTCCTTTCACAAGTTGTGAGTTGGCTTAAAACTGGTGTCAAACCCCTAGAGGTGACGTGGATGGAGGGGGGAGCAAACTGCTATCGTACTGGTCACATTGGCGAAGGCTGTTTTTGAAGTTTGGTGTATAGAGGTTGGGAACATGAAGTGTCACGCCAAGATTGTATCAACAAATCTGCATACCTGAGAGTCTTGTGCCACAAGTTTTGTCCCTTGCACGATGATCCTTCAGCAGGCCACCTTGGCGTGTCAAAGACTCTAGAAAACGTCCGTAGAAGACTTTACTGGCAAGGCATGCAGGAGGATGTAACGAATCACATTAGGACATGCGGCCTATGTGCTGAAGTTAACAACCCATCCAAACAGCCTCAGGGGCCTCTTATCAACATTAAGGCCCATCACCCTTAACAAAGGGTCGCAATAGACATTGTGGGTCCCAAACCGAGATCTACTTAAGGTCATGAGTGGTTGCTGGTGGTCTTCAATCATTTTACTAAGTTTGCTGAAGCTTTCCCAGTAAGAAGCATCTCGGCTGTTACACTGGCGGAGAAAGTGATGGATGAGTACATACGTCGGATCAGTTGTTTCAAGGGTTTACATTCTGATCAGGGAGCTAATGTGGATTGAGTTGTCTTAAAGGACTGTGCGGGTTGATTGATGCAGCGAAAACAAGGACAACACCTTACCATCCTCAAGTGGATGGGCAGTTGGAGAGACTGAACAAATCTCTGGTGAAGATCCTGTCTAAGCTGATTTCTGATCATCGCTGTGACTGGCTGCATTTTGTGCCAAAAGCGGTTCTTGCTTACAACACCAGTGTGCGCGAATCGACTCTATTAACCCCTTACCGCCTAATGTTCGGCAGGGAAGCTATTTTGCCATCGGATGCTATCCTGAGGTTCGAAACGGCACCTCCGCAAGGGTCGGTGCAGAAATATCCCAAATATGTTGTTCTGCAAAAACAGCAGTTAAAGGAGACAGAGCAACTAGCGAGGCAGAACCTCAAGCCAGTGCAGAAATTTCAAAAGCTTATTACAAACAACAAGTGCCATGGTCAAAGGTTCCTTGTAGGAGACAGGGTGTGGTATAAAAACAGAGCCATGACGAGAAGAAGGAAATTTTTCAAGCCCTGGTGTGGTCCTTGGAGGGTTGTGAAGGCCCTGTTTGATGTTACTCATTGCATTGAGGAGGAAGCCAGGAAAATGTCGCTAGAGGAAGGTGGTCCACCTCAATTATTTGAAACCATGCTTTACGCCACTTGAAACTCAAGAGAAACCCTCCCGGGAAGCAACTCCGATGCATGTGGAAGAAACACCTCCTGTGGAAACCTTGAGAGCTGTGCGGCAACCGAGTCAAGGGACCTCAGCTGACTCTGGAGACGTTGAATTGGAATGGCTGGAAAACACTCCTACTACCGGCAGAAGAGCTTTCTCATCCCCCTCATGAGCGTGAAGAGAGTGGTGCACTAAGCTCGTCTGTCTCAGCCAGTCTTCTCTAGCAAGTAATGAAGCATCTCGTGAACTGTGTCAGACTCCAGTGAGACCGAGACATGAATAAAGACAGCCTGTCTGGCTCCGAGACTACAGTATCGCTCAAAAGTAAGTTACCAGTCGCGTCTCGTTTCCTGCGTGACGAGAATCGCGTCGCACGCTACGTGATTATCATCGCGCGCTACGAGAATCGTGTAGAATCATTGAAGAGGCAATCTTTGGCACAAATTATTGACGACACATCCAGCGAGAAACCAACCTAAAATTTACCCAAGCGTTACCTCGAAGACTGAGGAAAACTAGCATTAGACTTGGGGTTAAGTTTCTTTCAAGAAGATTTTTTTTAGCTTCTCATCAGCACCCTGTTTAGTTTTCGACTTTATTTGCGATTGACATTTGACACTACACTTCATCATGACATTTCGTTCGCGAAAACGTGAAAACCGCTTCCACTTTCCTTGATTTTTTGAAATTATAGGCAAACCAACGTGAGAAGAACCAAATATACTACAAATCGCTAGAGATGAGTTTCTCCAAAAAAATTTGTCAGCTCTTTTGATGTGTGTAGTTATCGGTCACGAGTAGCGGCAACTTTTGCCGACGAAATCCAACACCGGAGGTACTCTTGGGAATTCTTTGTGGGGCTGTGCCGCCCGGTTCTCCGAATCCTGACCTTATTTCAGAACAAAAAATGTAATTTTCCACACCCGCTTTCAGACCAGGCCCCAGTTGTTCAAAAGCTGGATAGCGCTATCCAGCGGATAAAACACTATCCAGTGGATAGGGCAATTGGTTTCCCTAATACTTATCCACGGGATAGTAATTTATCTGGTGGATAGCGCTATCCAACTTTTGAACAACCGGTGCCAGACCTCTAAAATCCATACCCGTTTTCGGAGCCTGGCCTTTAGGCATAAATTATTTTATCATTACGTAGATTAGAGCGCCAACAAAAAAAAATTCAAATCCATTTTGAATTCGCATGTTTCTCTTTGTTTCTTACTCATTTGCAATTGAATCGATAAATACGTTCATACACTCCCATAGTTCCCTCAAAATCCAAACCCGATTCCAGACCAAAATGGGCAAAGTGTATACCGGTTTTCAGACCAAAACGGCGCAAAAACCCTAACTGATGGGGTGGCACATACTTATATAACTTATATAAGGGAGTAGCCCCCGGATCCAACATCGGTAAAAATTCAAATACGCATGACAGTCACTCGGTGTACGATCACGACATAATGTTAGCTCAATAGATTGGTTCATTATAGCTTTTTTTTACACTTGATTTATGAAAGAAAGTTGTCTTCAATTTAACAAATTACAGCGGCCAAATAAGACAACAGTACGGTGGCCCAGAAGGGTCACACGTGCAAATTAAAAATTGTACATGCAAACTAAAAATTGTGCTGCAAATTGAAAATAGAAAACATATCGATGCAAATTAAAAGTGAAAAGTCCTGCGCGCGCAGTATGAGTGATGAGGACCTGGTCCGAGCCGTGCGACCTGGCCTTACAGCCGTCGGCCCATTCACGTTTCATGTTTGTAATATTTTTAGTTTGCATGTACAATTTTTAATTTGCATGTCCTATTTTTAATTTGCAGGTAAAATTTTTAGTTTGCAGCAACATTTTCAATTTCCATGTGTGACCCTTCTGGGCCACCGTACAACAGTACATTTGCTGAACAGCATTTTGTTGCGTGACAACAAATCTCAAATTTGCATAGTGTCAAAACGTTTAATTTGAAACCTACTTCCCAGGTAATGTATTTGCCAACTTGAAAAGATACGCTTTTCGGCAATTCGATAAGCTCACTGGCTTAAACTTTAAAGCAGTTCCATGAAAAAAATTTCAGGAAGGGTGCCGCACACCCCCACCCAATTTTTCTGGAAGTACCCCCGCGGGAATTTTCACCCGTAATTTGTATACAAATAGGGGGTCATTGTGCCAGGCGTTCCTTGCGGAGACTGTGGAAACTGGGACTAAGATCGTTGCGTGATCAAAGCCACGCACGTTTTGCGAATAAAGCTTAGGAAAGATTAAATTTAGAGCTTTTCCGAAACGTGTCGGTCCACGAATTCTATCGCTTGAAAGTGTTGATTACTTTGGAACAGCTGAACACTACTGAGTGGTCGAAAAAAAAGGATCTTAATTAGCAAAATTGCGATGGTTGGGTGTTGTAAACTTTCATTGTATACAAATGGTTCTTGTGATGAGCATGCGATTTATTTTAGGCGATGATTGAAATGACGTTCTGTGTAAATCACTTTTTTGATATCTGGCAATGACGTAATTTGTCTGGAATCGAGGCCCTTGAATTTTCGAGTATTAATTTTATACACGCGTATAGCCTGCGATCGCAGAAAAATTTCTGGTCGTCGCTAACACGCCTACTAAATCAATTCAAAGACAAATAAAAAGTATCGAGGTCGATAAAGCAGGAAGTAAGAAACCTTAAGCGAGTAAATCATGTTTCTTGTCGAATTAATCGCCTCCTTATTTCTTGATCTAATCTCCAAGCAGGTGAGACTGAATGCTGCTGTAAACGCGTTCTTGGGTTAGAAGTTCTTACTTGTACCTCTGACCTTACGAGGCAGGGAGCAGTGTAACGTGGGGCATATGCCCGAGTTAGGTGGGACATGCGTAGTATTGCTGACTTTAAACTCGTGTCCCTCGTGTAACTCGTGCGCTAGTTTAGTAAAGTGAATCGAATGCTAGTTGTGTTGTTACTTGTTGCACATTGATAATATTTTCGTTTTCATTAAGTACCGGTACATGTAATGGAAATACATATTTTTAAACAATAATACGGTGTGCGTGCCCTATACTATGTAAAACCAGTATTTCATTGTACCACTTTGTTTCTGAACGAAACAGAAAAGTTGTAATTGAACAGACGATTTCTTAGTACTGTATTTTTGTGAAGCGAATTTAAGTTAGAGAATATTTACTTTGGAGTAAATGTTTGCAGGAAAAATGTTTGCGGTAGTTTTTATTTGCGGGAACTTATTTTTGCGGAAGCTGGAAAAATCGCAAAAATCAGAACCCGCAAAAATTTCGTGCCACACGGTATGCCGACATCTCAAACGTTTTCATACCTGCAGGAAAATAAATAACATTTTCTTAAAGTTCCACCAATCGTTATAAAGGATGCCAAAATCACAGAAATTGGTTAGATCGTTCTTACTGAAAACCCCATTCAAAAACATAACCAACACACATATAAATAGGTTCGGGCCTCCTTATTAAACAGATTCAAGATTCTATTCATTGGCAAATCTTGGACATTATGGAGAATTTTTAATTCCATTTTACAGTATAAGATCAAGCATGATGAAACATGTCAGTCAAGCTTGTAAAGTTGACTGTGCTGTTGGGTGAACCCTTACTGTGAAATTATGCTTGTAAACAAGGACTATTATTTAAGCCACTGGCTAGGGTAACCCTAGCAACCTCCCTCCTCGTAAACAGGCCCAAAGGCAGGTACAGCACTAGCTGTATTAGCTGGCTACTTGTTAATTTCACGCAACAAATCCTTCCTGGAATGTGAAGCCATGGCAATACAAGTCTATGTGAATCAGTGATGAACAGCCAACAGCATCTTGGGAACGAGGCCAATGTAATTTTGTATGGAAATATCAGCGCCATTCCCAGGCTGGAAGCCTGGGTATGATGTAATATTGTTAATGATGTCAACTTTATTAGAACACTGTAAACTGCCGCTTATAAGCCCTTGGCTTATATATCTTTGTAAAGGGTTTTAGGAGGGCTTATAAACGGAGGGGCTTATGACTGAACTAGAAAAAGCTCTTCAAAAAGCTATGACAGTATTGATCCAAATACAGCTGTGAGTTTTGCATTTTTAAGTAGGCTTCAAAATGTCATAATAGATCGAATTCATTTTCACATAAGCTAGAGGGAAGCTTACACTTTAAATACCCAGGGGGCTTATAAAAAGATTATTTTTGTTTACACGTAGATGGGCCTATAACTGGGAGGCTTATAGGCAGTCTATGGTATATTCAATGTCAGTCACTTTACAGTTGGCAGTCTGCTGTCTGCAATGAGCAGACTACCAGTGTCATGCACCAACCAAAACTCAAAGAAACACAGGTAATACTAATAGTGGTTACAACAATTATTCTTACAGAAACTACAACCACACAAAGAATATACTACATTGTACTTATCCACTAAATTATTGCAATGTATTTTTAATTATCACTGAATATTATACAAATGCACCGTAGATAACATTTGATGCGTTGTTTATGATGTGGGTCAAAATTAAAATCAGGTTAACATTTTTTAACCTAGGTTGATTCTCAGTTTCCTTTGTCTCCTAGCCCGAATTACTGGGCTGCCTATGGTACGTCCAGTGTTTCTTTCAGTTTTCGGTCGTCTGTGAAGGAAAACGAACACCTGAGTTGGGGGGGAAGACACGAGGTCTGGGAAAGGGAAATGATGTTCTCACAAATTGCTTCATACGATTTTCTCCTGCACAAATATTTTTTGTACGTCAAAATTTCAAAGCCCTAAAATGCGATTTTCAGCGTTCTGTGGACTAATTTGGGGACAAAAGGGCGTGTTTTTCATTCAAGAAAAAGTAACTTTCAGTTTATCAGTCACACAATCAATTCCTACAAGCAATGAGCAAATGATGAAAACTAATTTACGTACTTTTGCAGGTAAACAAATTCTGCGTATAACTATAAAGAAACTTGAGAAAAAATGACTGAAATAAAGCATTCACATGTCTAAAGCATGACGTAAAACCAGTGGGCCTTTATGAAAACACGTCATAATTACGTTTTGATTCAGATTTTACGATATATTTTTTGTTTACAACGTTATTCAAACTAGTTGGTTCTTCTTTCTAGAAAAAAAAAGTACTCGCCCTCTATTAACAAAGTAGCCGACGTGTTTCGTCAGCCGTCGTTGCTTATTGAAACCTCTGCAATTCATATTAGTATTGCGGTAAAAAATGTTTTATCGATCATATTTTGATCTATTTACATTGTTTAAAGTGTGTCCTAATGAAATCAACATCCGAGTGAGAAACCTTTAAACTCTTTTAGGTTGCACAATGCAAAGTTGAAGAAAAATAACAAAAGAAAAATCTTAGAACTGAATATTCTTATCTTGTGGAAAGAAAAATAATGCGTTTTCAGGTAGACTGTACACTGCAAATTAGGATAGTCTATTTAAAGTCTCATTGCAATTAATGAGGCCCGTGGATCGGGATCAATGGGCAGTTGGCTGTCTGTTTTAGTAAACTCTTCGTTTTCATACTATAGATTAATTTCTGTCTGGTGTACAATGTAGGTCTCTATGACAGCCCAGCAAGTCACCTGTCAGTGAGTCTAGTTATTTATGAGTTACAGCTGGGAGAATCAACCTAGGTTTAAAAAAATTAAACCTGAATTTAATTTTGACCTGTAACATGTACATGGAATACCAGTAATAACAAAGAAGGACATGAACAATTTCCTTACCGTTTACTGTTATGTCTTGCATCAAATCCTACAACAACTCCTCTTTCTTGTAAGTCTGGAAAAAGTTTTTCTAAATATCGACAAAGCCCCTGTTTGTAATAAATATAATTCAATTCAATTTTATTATTCACACTTTATAAAATATTTACATTATATATAGTAAGGTAGGAATACAATAATAAAGGAGAAGAAGAAGGAAAAAAAAAAGAAAATTAATGGCTTGGGTAGAAGTGTACGGTGGTCACGCATTTGGTCATAGAAGAGTAGAAACAACATCAATCAAAAGAAAAGTAACATGAAAAGTAAGATGAGGAGAAGGGCTCACACTGAAGAAATCAATAAATTAGGCAAGCAGCTCACACAGTTTGCTTGCCCGGAGTCACGTCATGCTTGTCTTAGTTAATGATGTTGTCAGAGCATGACTTGCCTCGACCCTTGCCCATTGGGCAAGTAAGGTTTAAAAGCCATTTGCCTAGCAAGAAAATCTGCTTGTCCCAAACTACCAGCCGATGGGACCTTTTTTTAATAGTAACAGACCAATGAAATAGCTCAACCGTAAGTCACTGTAAACATTGAAAATATGTACTTCATCACTTAATTAAGCCAGTAATAGAGGTTATGCTGCCGCTGGAAAATTTATAGTTGGTGAAAAAAAAGAATTCATTAATTAACAATGCTCTTTTTCTACCCGTAAAATAGGATTATAGAGATCCATTGACATATACCAATGCACTAATTAATCAAGAGATAATATTTCAATTGACCTTCATATCAATCCTTTACAAAACTTAAAAAAAAATGTTACATACTATAAAGTTCTACACTGTAAACAGAAACAAGATTGGCATCTCTCAATTTTTTTTTAATGGCTCACACCCCAAAGACCTGTTACCACTAATGAAAACAACAACATCAAAGATAGTCTTTTTTATTGTACCCCTAACAAGATAATATTATAGTTAATTTAAAAGCAGCCCAAAAGAACTACTATTATGCTTAACTACACTATCCAGTGAAAGCATGATATCATTATATAACTTCATTAGTCCTGTCGCATTACTGTCACAGGTCATGAAGCAACTCATGCAAATCATTGCCAACCAACAGACAGTAACCTTGGTACCAACTACTTTCTTCAATAAGTTTGAAAACAATAACATACTTAACATTGGAAAGTGGACAGAAGATAGTTAAGACTTATGATGGTCAGCATTAGCTTTCTGCAGCAAAGGTCATGACGTAGCAAATAAAAAAATGGCAAAATTGTACATGTACAATGATAATTTCACTGACCTTACACGAGGTTTTGAAACAATTGAATAGACTAAATTTTTGACTATTTGTGGTCTTTTTTTGTTGCACACTCCTTAGTTTTACTGTTGAAAGGGACGTGTATTTGTAATGGGTACATGCATGGTTCACCCACTCATTATTTTACATCTTGTATTTCATATTATTATAAAGGAAATAAAGGGAGATGTAAAGAATCAACCATAAGAGGACACAGAAAAAATCTGAGCCCCAGATGGGATTCGAACCCACGACCCTCCATGTTCTAGATCGCATGCTCTGACCTCTAAGCTACTGAGGACTCGTTGGCAAGCAAGGGTCATTTTTGTGGGTTGGACTTGCGAACCGCATCTCGCAGTCACACAGTCCATCACAAGCAACACATTAAGGCTTAACTGTATCACACAGTCACATTAATAGTAAGAAATGTCTCACTCATGAGTGAGACATTTCTCATTTCTTTCTATTAAAAACAGAAAAAGCCAAATTAGTTTCCTTTTGAATTTCCTGTTTAAAATTCTACCAGTGCAGAACCTTTTTTATGTAAAACGCATTGTTTTGTTGAATTTTTAGTTAGATCCACCTAACCCTATTTATATACGTAACAAAAACGTCAAAATCTTCAAAATTTACCAAAATTATTGAAATGACGTTCAGTTTAATTCTAGCCTAAGAAAAAAGGAAAATATTTTTCGTTTTTCATTTTATTTGCAAAAAAATACCAAAAAAGGAAAAAACAAAAATCTGCTTCCATTTTCCGTTTTTCATTTTATGCACAAGATTTGACTTCTGGTCACTCATTATCCCACTTACGTATGGATAAATGAGGTGTTGCTCAGAGCTGGCCCAGAACACCCCTGGCACACCCTCAGGACACCCCTGAAGAACTCCCTGACGGGCAAGAACCCCCGGAACATCCTTAATTACAAAAATTAGGCAAAATAATTACAAACCAAGAAATACCCTAAAATATCATCAATGAATCAATAACTGATATGTTTTATCTGTAACGTAGATCAGCCATTGTCTGAAATATTGCTGAGAGAGCCATCAAGAGGGAAAAAATAAACCAAAAATAAAATGTGTTTTAAATAAATAGCTTCTACAATGCTGTACTGTCTACTGTGTATAACTTATAAAATTTGCCGACCTATTTTGATTCTTGCCTGTTTTCTTCTTTTATTTTGATATTTTGTCTTTGATCAAAAGAGAAAATATGTTTGGTTTTATTGTTCCATGTTGATTTTCCAGCTAATGTTCATGGGTTTTTCTTTTGGGCAGGTAGAATATAGATTGCATGGAGAATTCTTTGTCCTTTAGGGGTTTCCCAGGAGGGGGCACTGTCTCTTATTTGGCCTTGCATGACGGGTATGTAGCCCTGAGCAGAGCATGGTTTTAGGGGTTTTGGACCAGAATCCTTCAAAAGATTTATTGGTATATGAATGAGTGACCCGGCCTTGATTATGGCTGACCATCCACTATTGAAACTGTGACAAAAACATCATTTGAGAAGTCAAGCGCTGTAAATTTTGAAAAAACCAAGACTAGCTGGAAATCTAAAGTGAAACACTAATAAAAGCTAAAAATATTTTTACTTTTAATCAGACAAAATACCAAAATCAAAGAAAACAAGACAAAAATCAAAATAAGTGAATTTTATTAAAGTGATACTCCTCGAACACAATAAACTACAAATTGGGTAAAAGATATTTAGTGACAATGTTATAAATCCTACATGGGCCCTTCGCTTGGTTCTAATTTAACTCTTCTATTTTATTTGGTTGATTTTTTTTTCTTGACTTCAGTTGTAGCTCTTTCAAGTATATTTCAGACAAAAAGGCTAGTAAGTAATCGTATAAAGGCAACAGGCTACTTTCTTAAAATCTTGAGAAGTCACAAAGTAGTGTGAATTCATCAATCTGATCCAATCTCCATTTCCCAGTAACAGATAAAACAAACATATTCAGTTATTGATTAATTGATGATATTTCAGGGTATTTTTTGGTTTGTAATTTTTTGCCTAATTTTTGTAATTAAGGGTGCTCTGGGGGGTTCCAGCCCGTCAGGGAGTTGTTCGGGGTGTGTTCCTGGTTTTACAGACACCCTACAACAACAAATTAACATGATTAAAGTGTCGCAAACACATAAACAACACCGTTCCCAACCCATGTTCTTACAATGATTGTGAAATAGTTGTCTCTGTTCCTACTTGTCTCAGTGGAACAGCAACTTAACCACCCTGTCATTGGCAAAGTATTATTTCCGATCGATGATGCGCCCAAATTGTAAATTGGTTGCCTGATGTGATCCACTGTGAGGCATCACTAGTACTGTATTTTATCCACACGCCAATGGTATACTGGCCTACGCTCTGAACAACACCTCATTTATCCATACAAAAAGGTGATAACGAGTGACCAGAAGTCAATTCTTGTGCATACAACGAAAAACGGAAAATGGAAGTAGACTTTCATTTTATGTATTTTCTTGTGAATAAAATGTTTTTTGTATTTTTTTTTTGCGCATAAAATGAAAAACGGAAAACAGAGGTAGATTTTTGTTTTTCGCATTTTTGTATTACTTCTTTAATAAAATGAATAACAAAAAAAGAAGATGGCTCCTTTTTTTTTCTTAGGCTAGAATGAAACTGAAAGTCAACTCTACAATTCTGGTAAGTTTTGAAGATTTTGACGTTTTTCTTACGTATGTAAATAGGGATAACTGGTTCTGACTAAAAATTCAATAAAATGATGCATTTTACATAAATCACGGTTCTGCACTGGTAGAATTTTAAACAGGAAAAGGAAACTAAGACTGTGATTTGGCTTTTTCTGTTTTTGAATATAAAATAGAAAATGTAAAATATTGAGAGGACGAACCGTGCACTGGCCTTAATGATGTTCCCCAGATAACGGACATAACATTACATTGACAAACAATGGGAACTCATTAAAAAGCCGGATGAATGTCTTCGTAGGAGGCTAACATTATCGCTGCTTACCTCAGTACATTCATCCAAAAGAAAGGAATTAAGCATACAGGCAATCTAGTCGATAAACAACCAGTTCAGAATGTTGCCAAGTTTACAAGTTTTTGCGTGATACAATTTTAAAAACATTCAAACATGATACTGTAAATTTTTCTATTTCTTTAACAAAAGTACAAACCTGGGTAGCTTGGATGATAGTCAGATCATTAATCCTGTTGAAACCTGCTCCCATTTTTGATCTTAAACCTTAAAAAAATGACAACAAATAAAATAAAGTACCATGTTACTGTCAAAAGAATTCTCTTTCATACACCTTGACAATAATTCATATTTTAGAGCAAACACCAGGGATAATAAATTAAAGTAAAGTGACGGTTCTAAACTAGTCAAGTTTTCATGTAATTATATAATTCCCAACAAGGCAACAAAGCTAAGAAGTGAAGCTGGCTCGGCAACAGAATTCTTAATGCTGCGCACTGTTTTGGAAAATTTTTGAACTTCTGCATAACCCTCCTTTTTTGCCCGTATTTAGGTGTGAGTAATACCCAATATTTGGGCAGTGACATCAACTTCTTGCATTTACATTTTACTCCTTATGGTTCAAGGCTAGGTAATCCAGTGTGCTACTGTAGGTTGTGGACTATGGATTGCGTTTGTTGAGTTGTTGCTGAGGACCTAACAGGTGAGCAAAGTTACGATTTCTTGTTTGAAAGGGCTCTTAGGGCCCTGTTTTCCTTCATAAATTGCGTTTAAAGGAGCAGCTGATAAAGGAATAGGGTTGTATGCTCAAATTTTATCAGAACCAGAGTGTTCTTCACAACTCGATTTAGATTTAGAATGCAACAAATTCGCCGACCTTTTGTTTTAGAGACAATCTATATGCCTTTCAAGAGACCCTTTGTCCTGTGATATGCACTAACTCATTAGATCGTTGTATCTTATTCAAATTTACATTTTTATACCTCTTATACATACTTTTCCCAATTCTTGCACTTTTCACACACAAACTTTACACCAATTTTTTTTTTTGTATGCATAACTCCACACGGAATATTTTTGTTATCCCTAATGATGCCATTGATCAGTGCACATTTAGAATTTAATTTGTACATGTATCTTTGATTAAGGCCTCGCTCGAAAAATATTTTACGTTCTAACGTTTACAGTTTTTATGCAGTGGAGTTTACCTTCTCAAACTCATTAATAATTCATTAAGAAAATACAAAGGATTTAATGAAAAACATAAGAGCAAAATTTTTGTTCAAACATTTGACACAGTGTTTCATCACCAGATGAAACACCTCGAAGTTCGTCAAAAATATCAAAACTCTCTTTTTCATCTGGAATGAAATTATAGTAAAATTTGATATATTACATGAAACATAAGAGCAAAATTGTTCCTAAGTTTAAGTTGGGTAAAATTTAAGTTGTTGGGTAAAATTTAATACCCATCCTTATCTATAGAAAAATCAACTTTAAACCTCTAAAAGTATATAACAATTTGGAAAGAATAATTAGGCACATTCCACAAAAGATAAACAAATTCACCTCATTGAAACTTGCCAGAAGGTACCACTAGTTTTAGTTTAATTTTAATTTTTTTTAAAGAATCAACCAATAATGTTACCTGCAGTACCAAACGACAATGATCTCATCATTGCTTCTCTCAGCTCAGCAAATTGGCATACTTTTAAAAGTTGATTTACTTCTGCAATAGTTGCTGGATACTGCCAAAGAAATAACAACTGATTACATGTAGGTATTTTTTCGTTTCATTAAAAGCTGACAAAAAGGTTGGCATTCTTATTATTAACTGTGTTACATCAATCACCCTGGTCTTCTGATCTCGACAATCCAAATAGATTGATTCTTAAGTGTGCTAAATTAAAGGGATCCATGCAAGAACATCCCCTTGATAATCTGGTAAATCTGGAAAGTGCTGCAAAGTTACAAAATTATGCAATTTGGTTGCTCCTTTAGTACAGAAACATTGTTGCAAACATTTTCTCATTGGATTGTGTACCATTTCCAAGAAATTACATCTACAAAAAAACACCATTCTAACATTGTAATAACAGGCCCACTCCCCCTCTCCCCAAGGGAAAAGACAACCCCCTCTCTCCTGGACAATTCCGTCCTTTGTTGATTAAGGTCAAAGGTATTAATATGGATAGCGTACTATGCGTGTTTTTTAATTTGACGAAATGTACATGATCAAATGAGGTTTTTAATTAGGTTGGGTTAGGCTTCATCTAAAAAAGAGTAGTATAAGACTTGGCGGTACAAGCAGACTTTGCTTATTTTTGGTTGATAATTATTGCCCCCATATCTTGGAACTTATTATATACTGTTTTCATAATATAGAATTTAGATTGTTAAAAGGGATAGTATAGGATTTGGTGGTACAAGCACACTTTTGCGTTTATTCATACTGCGCCAACTCTTGGATATTTCTATATGTTTTTAAAAATTATTTTCTTATATAAATATAATTATATAGAATGTATTGTGATATAATTCATGATGAATATAAAAAAGAATATAGTGAATGTCCATTTTGAAATGAAAAATTAAAAGCAAAAACAAGCAAAAATATAGACTGTTCTGAGCAACCAAACTTAATGACTGTCATATTGTATGTACCAATTGTGGCACTGTAAATGGTTACTTAACAGCCAATGAGTTTGTGGATTTTCATGAAAATAGGCATAGAATGAGAAGGAAATCGATCTATCACCTGAAATATCACCTGAAATATTCTAAGCCGTCTTTGCACGATTGCGACATGAAACTTCCTAATTTCACCTTCCTGCTTTATGGAGTACGGTAGGTGAACAAAACACAAAAATTTTCTTTTTCTTTTTCTAAACTTTGATACAGACCTTTCAGTTTCAACTCCAGAAAATTTGGTCAACATTTGACAAATTGAGTGAAACCGAATAGGATTGATGGAGTTTGAAACAGTGCAGGGTTGTCACTAAGGGCTGGGGGATTTTCCCCAGCTACTCGGAGCATGTGTCAAGTAAAACTCTCCGTTCAGGAAATGTCGGTTTCAACCGTTGTGTTGGCTTTGTGTTGAACATGTCGAAAAAGCGACAAAGGAATCTGGACTCTTTTCTTCACCGTCAGCCAAGCATCCAGTTTATCAAATTCAAGGTATAAAGATCTCAATGTTTGCGTTTCAGGGTCCATTAAATTACTATAAAATTAATGGAGGGTCATTCAGATTCTTTTTTCACCCTTCTCTGGCTGGTCTCGGGCACAACGTAGGTGGAAGTTAAACCGTACATTTTTTGGGTAAATGAAGAAAATATTCCATTCATCCAGACGAAGATTTGCACTTTGTGATCAAATAAATTTTGACAATCAAAAGTCGACTAAACTACTAAAAACTACAGCAAATAAAGTTTATAAAAAGCCATAGTTTCATTCCACTTGATGAAACATGAGTTGGTTGCCTAGCACATGACAAGTTTTTCCCTTGTGAGAGCGTGACTTTGCATGGACTCTTCCTTTACATGTTATGTAAATTTCTTTTTCAATTATTGCAAAGACGAACAGTACAGCGTAATTTCAGACTAGAAGCATCCCATAGTATTTTTCTCGTGACACCAACAAACCAAAAAATCTGGTGTAAAAAATGCTTCCGACATAGAGAATCTATTGATGCAATATGATACATAAGTTTTGTACGTACACGGAAAACTCAAAAGCATTGTTAATAAAAGCGATAATCATGCACAATACATAATCTTACAACAAAGCATTTTTTTACCTTCGAGGGTCCATTATTTTACCGCGGTGAACAGGCGAACTATGCGGCTTACAACTATAGTCGTCAATAATCGTTTCTCAGACAAGTTCACAGGAACTTTTTGTAGGATAATTTTTTCGTTCCTTGGTTTCTGCTATTTATTTTGTTATTGTTTGTAGTCAGTGTTCATTAAACTGCATAAAGAAAAAGTTTATCCAGATAGCTCATTTAACCACTGCATGTTTTAACATTCAAGATAAAAATGCACCTGCCAAACAACAATTTAGAAAATGTAAGTCATAAATATCATTTCCAAACACTAGAAAAGAGGTTCAAGAGCATGATGAGGTGCAGGCAAAGCGACCCTGCTGTGAAATCCCTTCCCAGCTCACTGGTGATGTTACCCATGATGCTGTTGATGCCTCATTTCCAGCAGAATCTGAGAGGCAGACTAAAGATGGGAACAGCCATGCAAGCAGCGCCTTTTCCGATGATACCATAAGGTGCGCAGATAACATGTTTACATCTAAGTACCATCAGCGTGAACTCTGTAAAAGGGCTGGTTGTTGTAATGTTACCAACAATGAAGTGACAAAGATTGCAAAGCAGTCTTAAAATTTCAAAATAGTTGGCTAAACAAAAGATCAATGTCATTTTGTGTTACAACTGAGATGTGGTGGCCTGTTTATGTTGAAGGCGAGGGTCTGTTCTACTTACTGTGCAAAAAGCATGACACGTCTAACCCTCAAAATGAGACGAAAGTTTTTAACAAGGAGCCCTGTAAATGATTTCGCCCAGAAGCGTTTGAAGACCACTGCTGTATGTCACAACATAAGAACGCAGTTTCAGCGGAGATGCTACAGAGGGTTTCCACGTTTCAGAGAACCCTTGACGAACGGGAAAGAGTTGCAGAAGATGTGCTGTTGAAGGTGTTCACAGCTGCGTATTGAATCGTGAAAGAAGAGCTACCTAACCACAAGATCAAGTCACTTCTTAACCTGCTAGAAGAGTTGGGACTAAAAGACTTGAAACGTTTTCTGCACAGATCCCAAGGTGCGTTAAGAGAAATATTCTTGACAATTGGGAAACTGTGCAAGATGTCTTTCTACGTAGTACGAAGCAAGAAGGACATATTTCAGCCTTTTAGTGGATGATGTAACTGATATCTCTGTTATGTCGCAGATGATAATGTTTGCCCAATTTTACAATGAATTGTGTCAATTAACTAAAACTGGTTGCTTGTCTATCAAATCTCCTGAAGAATTCACCATCTGCAAAGGCAAGCACTATAACCAATCGCATAATCTAGAACATTGATAAATGAGGTCTAGATTCCAAAAAATTGTCATCATTTGTGCCTGACGGTGCTGCTGTTTCGACAGGCACAACAAAAGGTGTTGCTGCTAGGTTGAAACAACTCAACCCTCGACTTATAAACTTTCACTGTGTCTGCCACAGGCTGGCACTAGCCTGTACTGACTCCTTGGAGAATGTGTCTTACATCAAAGTGTTCTGACATGGCTGACTCAGTTATGGAGAATGTTTCAAAATTCACCAAAGAAGATGGCTGTCTACCTCAAAACCCAGGCTGAAATGAAACTGCTGGCATTGTCAAGCAATGAGGCCTGTTAATGTGCCTCTAGACATCTGAAAAAGGCATGTACTACTAGATGGCTTTCTTTCGATGCATCCATTAACTAAGACAGTTGATGCTGAATATCCTGCATCACTTCACACTTTAAACACCTTGAAAAATACCGATGTAACCACCCTGGGACTTTTTTCAAAGGTGAAAGATGTATTTAAAAGTTCATTGGGATTGTGTACATTCTTGCTGAACTGTTACCTTACCTCTCAAACCTGAGTAGGGCGGGGACAGTGGATTTTTCAAGAATTGCTCCAGTTATAGAGTATGCAAAGGAAAAAGTTGAAGAAGCAGCTGAAACCGAGTCCCCAAGTAATAAGCTGAAAGCAGATCTTCTTGATACTGGAAGGCTGGGAATTCTTGACATGAATGCTTCCTTGCATCTTCTGAATCTGTTAGGAAATCTTGTGTCCAATTATGCTGAAGGCCAACATTGACAACACATTCCACGAAAGCTTGCCTGTGGTTTTTGCATGGTCTATCTTTGACCCTTTGAAAGTCCCAAACAAGGAACACCTGTCCTTTAAAACGCACATGTATGGCAAAAACCAAGTCCACCCTTTAGTTAAGCACTTCATGAGCTCCATGCCCCCAGACAAAAAACAGTCAGTTGGAGATGCAATTAAACCTGAGTTTGCAAAGTTGAAGTATGACATGCTCACATGGAAGGAAGAAATTCCTAAAGAATGCTACCCCTCTGATGTTCCCTATAAAGTAACTGCTACTGAATGGAACCTGCAGCAAATTTGTAAACTCTCTTACTTCTACCTACAGCTCAGTAATGTGGCTGACTTAATGCTTTCAACTCCAGTTTCAAATGCCTGGCCTGAGAGGGGTACAAGCTGTGTGAAATGGGTTAAGACAAGGTTCAGATCAAAGTTACATAATGGCATGTTGCATGTTGCCAGGCCCTGGCACAGATGTTGCCAAATCGCTAACCGAAGAAGCAGTGAAGACCTGGACAGCTGCAAAGTGTAGGAGAAGGCTCCCCAGGGGACAAGGAAATACGGCATCTTGTTCTAACAGTCAATCTCACCTGGTCCTGATAAATGCAGGAGTGCAAACAGATTCATGCGATAAAAGAACTGAGCAGATGTCTGTTGACATCAGAGAAGAAGTTGAGGCTTTATCCCAAGCGTTAATTCTCCCTGATGCTGATGTTGATGATGAGGAGGAGGATTATGATGAAGGTTAAAATTTGAAGATGACAACTATGACTAATTGCAATGTTTAATAAATTGTCATTAGTCCGTGACCAGATCTACATTTAGCGTTAGGTATCCAGTATATAAAATAATGCCTGGTCAACAGGAAATGTTTGATCATTGTCTGTGGATCATATCCTCTCAGTTCTAATTTCAATAGGTTATGTATAAAAAGGAAGACAAGTTAAGCATTAGCATTAGTATTGTATTCTTTTCCTTTTGTTTCGTTTTGACATCTCAGCGTCATTTATAAAGTTTTTTAAGGCTTTTCCGTAGGTCAGTTTCTTCATATGTTAAGTGATGTCTTTCAACCCCTTTCCATTTCTGAATTCGAGACCACTAACATTACCAATAGTGCAGTTTAGTTTTGCCATATTTTATCCCACAATTTTTCATACATTACACTTGTTTTTGCATTATCATACTTTTATTTTTCAACAAACCTGATTAACCTTATGTTAATGATGCTTTTTCATACATTCATTGTCTGCTTATACGTGTACGGTGAAACTTTTGTCTTCTTTCCCCTTCTCCGTGGGTAAATTCATCTCCAATATTATTTTTACCTTTCTTTTCCATAAGTTGTTTTATTCTTACGCACAAGAGTTTTACTTGATTTTTCAGAGTATGTTAATTCATTGCACCATATAAGGATTGTTCTTTCCACATTTTTAACATTTGTAAAGCGTGAAGATAAGTTTGCGTGGATAACTTGAGCAGCGCTTACTTGTTAGTTTTCCAGCCACTAAGCTTACATGTATTCCCATTCAGTGGCCACTACTTACATTCTAAAGTAAACACTTATTATTTTAGACATGATCATCATAAAACTGCTCATAATAGCTCTGCTTTTGATGAAGTCTGCTTTTTTGGGGCAGTAATGTCTTTTGGAAAATGGTAGAAGTTGCACTTCGTAAACTTCTTGGGGGGAGGGTGGGCCTCCATGACCCCTTGCAACTTCCCTGGCTACTAACAACAATTACCCGGCAACTTGAAATCTTAGTGACAACCCTGAACAGTGTGAATTCACTTTTTAAGAGAAATTTTTGGTTTGTTGTCATCCAGAAATTCTGCTACCATGGCAACCTGACATAACAAAGGCAAGCACAAAGTCAAAGTAAAGCAAACCCATTTTCTCCCTTGTGTGCATTCACAAATTAGGTTCCCCTTCCATTTTGAATGCATGCCATGCAGACTACATGACACATAGACACACTAAATGAAAATTTTAGTGAAGTAGTAGTTGTTGTGACTTAATTTTGAAGTGGATTTAAGTGGCAGCTTGCATCATTGTCACCTGTGGAGCTTAAGGAATTGTACTGGGTGTGATTTTCTTCAACTGATCTTCAACATAGATCAAAACTTGCAATTCTGATGATAAATCTTCAAGAAAAAGAAAACAAGTTCAAATGACTCGTAATGGCTATTGGCTCATTAGGATGAAACAACTTTGGAAGTCGATTGCCCTATGAGAGTTGAAATTGGAAACAATTTGGTAAAATATCAAGTTTCAAATTTTATTGCTGTATTTAAAAGGGCATTCTATGACAAACAATTGAATACATTGTTCATGGCCCTGGAAGTTATATGATCAGGTTGTTTTTTTCACCGGCAAAGCCACAGAGCTGCCCCAACTAGTATACATAGAAATTGGCCCTGCATTCTGCAGTTATGCCGAGTTCTGATTGCTTCTAATAGTATTTCTTTGTTCCTTACTTACAATCAAAAAACCCATTAAACAATCATGGTTACAAGGCCCAGCGCAGAGCGAGCTGCAAAGCGGCAACAACAAGTCTCAAAGCAAGGGTGGCATAGTGGTGAGAGCACTCGCCTCCCACCAATGTGGCCCGCGTTCAAACCCTGGCGTCAAAGCCATCAGTGGGTTGAGTTTGTTGTTGGTTCTTTCCGTTGCTCTGAGAGGTTTTTCTCCAGGTACTCAAGTTTTCCCCTCTCCTAAAAAACCAACACTTCCAAATTCCAATTCGATGTGGACACATTTAAACGAGTTCATAACAACTCATAAGTGTTTTGTGGGTAAACAAATTACAAATTATGGGAGAGAGAAAAACCTCTGGTGTAGAGTTATCACCAAATAATAATGGGTCTGAAAAGACCTGATGTCCCACAAATGAAGCAAGGAAGATACTACCAAGCAGTTGTGAATGATGACACTCCTAAAGACGAGATTTTGCATACCTCGTAGCCAGTTATTCAGGACTTAAAAGTAGCTAATTAACAATTATTCTTTGAAATCAAGTAAATATCCCTAAAGCCACTATTCACCGAGATTGTTTAGTACATACAAACAAAGTGATCTCATCAAAATCAGAGACAAAACCATTAAAAAGTATGATTTGATTGACGGATCAAATCATACGAAAGTCTAAAAATAGATCTTTGCAGAATTTTCAAACATGGCAATAAACAAGTTTATCACTTCACAAACAACAGTGTAATGGCTTAAATGGAACCATTAAAAGTTTGAACTGTTTCCTTACCTGGGAAGAAAAGTAGATCTTTGTTGTTTTCTGTTAACTCGCCAAGTTTATAGCCAAAAGGGTTTGTTGTGTCATTCTTCGCATGTAGTGCTGACAAAAACAGCCTTCTTTTTCCTATCTACTTGAAACGTAGAATTTCTGCAACATTTGCTTTTAAATTTGTTTGTCATAAATTAACTTCGATTTTTGGGCCAAATTTTTTTCTACGCGAATAAACGGAAGTTATTACAAACAATCCATCAAGAAAAAATTTCAGCTACAGTAAATGGAAAAATGCCATTTTGAATCCTTCCAAGTCTTTCCTTGTCTAGCCTACGTAGCAAGTGTTTCTGTGCGGTTTAGGAGCAAAGAACAAGGAAAGAGAGTCAAAATGACAAAAGTAAAAGAGTTTGGAGGTGGTGGGGAAGAAAGGAAGGAAACGCTTGCAGACAAAGCCCGAATTTTGAAAACCGCTCACTTGGCCTGTCATGCCTGAGTTCGCGCACTGGCATTTGACAGTGTCATCAGCTGTCAAAATTGGCCAATAAAATGTTTGGCCTTCCGTGGAGTGGAAATGAACTTTAGAGGACACGTGTGCGAAAACAGAATTTTTTTTTTTGCATTTTGGTATGCCTGGATGGTGTTAATGTTGAAATCTCAATGAATCCGAAAGATCAATGCAGGCTTTGTACATTTGTCTTATCAATCTGTCTAAAAGGAAGAACAGCAAGAGTGAAGTTTTTAAGTTTTAGATCAAAACCTCCAGAAAGGTGGATTTGAAGTGTTTAAGAAATGTGACAAGTATTCAAGTCTAGTATTTTTGATCCACAACGTGTTTTTGTGCAAGGTCAAAGTTCTGCCGGACAGAACAGCTTACCGTTCTTGACACGGCACAGACAACTAGAGATGCTCTTGTAAAAGTATCTATAAACAAAGCTAACCCGGCAACCGATGAAGCTCGCGTGGAGAACCAATCCATGGTCTTGCGGGGTCTTGCCTGATTAGAAAGGGCAATACATGTAACAGAACAGTTAAAGCAACCATTGCTTAATCAGCAATCTTGACTAAGTCACAATGCAGTTCTCCATAGTTGATGTAGCTACGCTGCAATCCATTCTTTGAAATTTGGATCTGAAATCACTATCCGAGAGAATTTAACATCCTGCAAAAAACACTAACAAGCTGGGCACAGCATGACAAAACATTGCAGGAAACCATCGCATTCACTTACAAAAGAAAATCGCTTTACGTTATTCAGATCCAGGAGGCACTTTGGAGAATAAATTAAACAACCAGAAACCTTTATTTAGTTGCAAGAAAAGCTCTACGTTTCAAAAGAGGTCAGTGAAAATGCTATTGCATTGGAGGGCAAATCTTGCTGAACAGAATAAACAACAACCACTGAAAATTAATATGAGTGTCACGTCCCATCCATGACCTCTCAGTATGAAACAAAGCTTTGATTGACACATGTCAATATTGTTCCACTAGCCGAGCCAATCAGGCACTGCGTTCGCTGGTGAACGCAGGTTTTCAAAATCGAGGGGTTTGTCTGCAAGCGTTTCCTTCCTTCCCCTTCCCCTCCCCCCTCCTTCATTTTTTGGCTCTCATTTCATTTCTCACGCAGTGAAAGTCCTCAGTCTTTTTTTTGCTCCAAAGTCAAACGGAAACGCTTTTTACGCAGGCTATTCCTTGCCTAAAAAAAGTCAACCCTAGGAATTCATCGACTTTTAAAAGATTGTTCTCTAAAAATATGGGGAAAACACCGAGCTCACACATTATCCACTCACTAGGAGGTGAATATTGTTGAATAGACCGAGATAGCAAACCAGTCAGATTGCTTAAATCACCAAGATCACTGAGTGTGTTTATACTTATAAGACTTATGTGGCAGGTCACACTCTAAATTCGAGATTTCTTATTTTAAGAAAAAAATTTAAAACAAATCATAGAACGATTTTGTTCTCGTAAATTCAAACTGCCTGTTTAAATTACAGAAAAAAGAGTTCTTATCCTATAATATGTTTTAAATTTTTCGCGTAAAATAAGAAAACTTTTCTTAAATTTAGAGATTCGGAGCAATCTCGAATTTAGAGTGTTATCCTGCAGTTTCTCGCCGCGAGATGAGGCCTTTACACTCTGCTGTTCGCTCAAATACGATGTTTTGGATAAACATTGTTTTGGTTGACAATCGAAGTATTTACCTGGTCTAAAGCCAGCCATTCTGCTACCTTTTGGTCTAGTTCACTATCACCCGTACTTGCCGAGGCTGTCTGCTGGCTCGGACCCGCCACCTTCGCCTCACTGTCCTTGGCCTCCATCGCCGCCATCTTTGCTAACAGGCTATTGGTCAGCAGTGCACTGAGAAACAAGAGGGTACTTCATGTGTACCTTATTGCAAGGCGTCGACACTTGTGTTAAAGATGGGTCGTTCTTCAAAGGACAAAAGAGATATTTATTACAGACTTGCTAAAGAAGAGGGTTGGCGGGCTAGAAGTGCGTATAAACTATTGCAACTTAATGATGATTTTAATCTGTTCAATGGAGTGAATCGTGTGGTGGATTTGTGTGCTGCTCCCGGAAGCTGGAGTCAAGTGTTGAGCAGGAAGCTGATTGAAGAACGGCCCAATAGTAAAGACATGGTCAAGATTGTGGCGGTTGATCTACAAGCCATGGCCCCTCTACCAGGCGTGATACAAATACAGGGAGATATCACAAAAGTAAGAAACAAAACTACATACTTTCTTTGCGATGTAGCATAAAGGTACCCTTAACCATCGGTCAATTTTTGTCTGAGTTTTGTCATTTTTCTCATTTTAATGACAAAAGTCAGACAAAAGTGAGGAATTCACTAATGTTAATTTCAGTTTGTTTGGGTGCTTTTTATTATACCGGACCGACTGGTCAGAGACCACTCGGACTAATTAAGGGAAAATGGAACGCACCCAAACCAAAAGTCCGACCAAATTGATTGTTGAGTAACGTTTGACTTCCCAAACTTGTCTTTGAACTTCATGTGGCTTGCAATAAGTAAATGGACATGTTTGACCTCCCATCTTTCCAGGGCTTTGGTCGAACTAGTGGAAGTTGTTGGAATGAGCTTTCGATTTTTTTCATACTGACTGTAAAAGCCATAAGGGCTAGGGTCACATACTGCTAAGAGAAAAACGCGGGAAAACATCATCAAGATTCAGAGACGAGCCCGTAATACATTTGTCTTTAAAAACTGATGAAGACCAGAAGAAAAACAAATTAAGATGCTCTGCTGTACCTGAGCCTTGTGTGGAACTGTGCATAAGGAGAAAGTTTACATTTGGACCAAAATTTCTGGAAATTTTGGCATAATGGAAAGCACCCTTTGTCTCAGGTCTGTGAATAGTAACTGCACGCAGCGCTATTCCAGCTGCGCCCACCCATGACCCCAGGCATTAGCATTTTTGGGGGTGTCGAGAAAACTAAGACCTACAGTGCAGGCCAGAACTAAGCGAACCAAAATATACCCGTAATACGCGTCCATGCATCTGCGCTGACGAGCATATGCGTCTGCTCTGAAATGTGTCAGTGCACTTTAAGACTCATTAGTATGTATGAGCTCACTCTTTTTTTTGAGGTGTGTGTCAGTGTATTATCAACAAGCTTTAAACTGGTGTGGATCGGCAGGCACATGCTAAAAAATCATTTTGCAAAATGCCAAGTGCAACTTTCGCTTGCCATTAAAACTCAAATTCTTAAATACCTGAAGCACATCTACATGTATTTTAATCCCATATTTCACGAATCGAGGAAACAATCACATTTCACAGAATCAAAACCAAGCTAACGCAATAGTAATGCAAAAGAAAACATTCAGCGTGCAAAGAAAATACTGTCTGATAGCCCAGGGCTTGTGGATTTTGCTATCGGGCTGGTGAATTCTGTTTTTAACCTGCCCAACGGCAAGTGAGGTTTTTTGAGGAATTTGAAGAACAGAAGAACTGTGAAATCAATTCTGCTAGTCAGTAAGTTTTTGGGGCTAGTTAAAATGACATCTAGGCTAGTAGATGCTAGCTTCAGCTTGCCCGAATGGCAAGCTGTAAAAATGATTTTCTTTGCACCCTGACATCACTCACTAACAGATCTTGAGGTACAATTCTTTGCGTTACCACAAATAATTTAATAGTTAAGACACGTGCTTGAAAATAAAATTCACTGGGATATTGAATTTCAGATGCTTTTCATAGAAGCAGAACTGAAAGATGATTCAAGAATCACGGGTCTGAATCGTAATTTTTGGCGCTTTTAAGTAACATTTATTTTTCTTTCAAAACGCTATCAACATCATTTTTGGTAGCAAGCCCATGAAGGCAAATTCTTGCACTTGCTGTCTTGTTCGAAAGGTCAACAGATATCGAATTTCAATCGCCTTTCATAAAATTTAGAACTGAAAGATGAGTTAAGAGTCAAGGGTCTGAATCAAAATTCCTAGCGCTTTTTAGTAACATTTTCTTTCACAACGCCATCAAAATCATTACTCTATTAGTCTCGGTGGCAAGTACATGATGGAAAATTCTTTTCCCGTAATAATTGCCATCAGCGGGCAAAGCGTACACGTTCATTCCCTTGTGTGCAAATTTATTTCATGTTGATTTTGTCACAGTTAAAATGTATAGGCTCTTTTAAGTTTCCCTGTTTGTTTTCAGCACTGTGAATCCGATAGACATTGATGAAACTTGATTCTTGGGAAGAACTTCATTGCCTAGCACCTGACTGAAAGTTGACTCCAATATTTACCAAAGTTGACTTGTCAAGTCTGCATGTTTTTACACTTTCCAAGCAGTGCGTGATGTACGTAGTTCTTCGTCTGCCCGAAGTGGGGTGATGGGAATGCAAGAAAGAGCTTCTGGAAGAATAATTTATTTCCTCCTTTTTTTTTGCCGCTGTTTTGATGAGATCATTTCAAAACATTTACTTTGGCATTTCCTCACGCATATTCTGGTGCAAATGTCGCCGTTTTTCAGCGGACTTAAGTCAATACTTTGGATCAATTTAAGATTTTAAGAGCACATTCGAGAGTTTCCTTTAGATTAGATGAAAGCTTGTTGTAAAGTTAATTGGGATTACAGCTTAACTATGAGTGTGGCTATTTTACTCACTCAACGAGCCATTAGCGTGTGAACTATTAATTCTCTCGTAAATGCAAATTTATTTCATTTCATGCTGATTTTGTCGCTGTGAAAAGCTTCAACTCTTTAAAGAACAGCTTGTTTTCTTCAAGTGTATGAGCCTAGAATTGCAATTACATATAAAAGTAGGATGCCGAGCGATTTTACAAACGAAACCCTGCACGTCACTAAATTTAGCTTGATTAATCACGGCTAAAGTCCCTCATGAAAAGTTCCTTAGAGTATCAAGCTTCTTCAAACCCGAGAATTTGTTTTGTTTTTTACAACAATGCACCACAAAGCAAGGCTGTCACAGTGAATAACAAAAGAAAAATCTTTTCCTTCCTGACATGTCCGAGCTGATGCAGACACTCACCAGCGCCGACTCATACCCTCATCTGAGCTGACGCGTCCTTTGCATAAGATTCGCGTCTGTGTTGTTCGCTTAGTTCTGGCCTGCACTGTAAGACCTAAGACCCAGAAAACTAGGACCCTGACAAACTGGCCATCAAACTCAGCAAAATATGAAAAACAGCAAAGGAATAATAACTACCAGGACATAGGAAGAAGAGCACAGATAAATGAAATGAAAAAGATCAAAATGAACCTGGAAAACTAAGACCCGGAAAACTAAGACCTGGAAAACTAGTAAGAGCAGTGAGTGTGACTTCCCGACATTTAGTACGAGATAGATCACGAGAAAAGGAGAACAGCAGTCTGTTTTTTGGAAACACCTGTTTTCAAAATAAATAATAATAATATAAAGATAAGATAAAAGCACAAATGGGCAATTAAAACATTACACTGACTTACCCGGGTCACGAAATCACAGTATAATTGACGTTCTTGGTTACACAAAAAATTTCACATGTCTTACAGCTGTAGGTGCGAAGAAGGTTTGGTTTGTCATCTTTGTTGTATGCTCACTGTTCATCCTTTTTGAAGGGATACTTTGAAGGTACCCCAAGTATTTACTGCTACATGAAATTTTTCATGCATGATTTGATCTGTCAATCAAATCATATTTTCAATGGTTTCCTTTCTGATTTTGTTGAGATCACTTCGTGTGTATATGTTGTGGTTCAATTTTATCCATGGTTTACTTTTATTTCCCTTTGATTAGACTCATTTAACCATAGATTGCCATAACAGGGTGCAACAAAAATGGTATCCACCTGCCTCAGACAAGTGGTTTTGATCAGTGGACAAGTAGTTTGTTAAAGTAAATCCTCAGAAAATAAACTTAGATAAAAAGGTGCTTTTACATAAATTGTATAGCCATGTTTTTGCAAGCATAAAACAGATCACTTTTCGTGAAAGTAATATTACAAATAACAAATGAAAACTGAGAACAGCACTGATGCAGGTGACTTACAATTTATCCACCGTTTTATTTCATTGTGCACTGAAAGGGGCCTGGGACTCTTGGGGGATTAACTTTTGCATTTATTGATAGACCCTTTACGTAACTGTTAGCTCGTACACAATTGCGGCTCAGTGAACCATAACAGGCTATTTTGGTGCACCAGTGAAGCATTATCAATCGTTGCTACCGGTAACTACAATTTGAAAAAAGATTCAAATCCTTAGTATGTGGAACCAATTAAAGCAGCTGTTCAAGGAAATGTAGTTCAATTAAATGAACAGTGTCACTCTTCACTTTAGTGCCTGTTCATCACAGCCTTCTTTGTAGCAAATGAAGAACTCGCCTTCAGCTGAAATTTGCAGGAAGAATAGTGTACATTTGCCGGGACCACGTGCTGGAAAGTCTGATACTTGACTCCAAATATTCCAAAATGACTCTAAATTTGTGAAGCAGAAGTCACTTATCAATAAAATTTGCAAACCCTGACAGAAATTCCAGTGGATGGTGGCAGAAGGTGTGACAGGCATCCCCTGGAAATTAATTATGGAAATTCCAGGGGATGGGGGGTCTAAAACAAAAGTGCTCTGCATGGGGGTGATATGAATATTTTCTGGAACTGCACATTAATTGCAGAGCCAAAGATTCAAAAGAATCTCTGAAAGATTTCAAATGCAATTTAAGTGGAGATGAAACAACTGGATACTGTATTGAATTAAAAGCAAAAGGCAAACGGACGAAGAAACAAAATAAACAATACCAGTGATGCCAACTCGATCTCCCGCTTTTGGCGGGAGACTTACGCTTTTTTGCCTTGTCTCCCGCTTTGGTACATAAGTCTCCCGCTTTTTACATCCACGATAAATATTGAATACTTAGTAAAAAATAAAACAGACTTAGTTTGAGATTTAGCCCATTTTTAGCTCAAAACTTGAATTTTTCTTATTTGCAGTACGGTTTCTGGGACACTTTTGCACGTATTTAGTCATTGACAAAGATTATTTCTAGCATCAAAACGATGATTTCGAATTTTGATAGTATGTACATCATGTAAGACGTCATATGATGTGCTAAGTCATTCCCATGCACTAAAAGTTCTTGGCTGATTTTTAGAAGTTCATCTCTTTACTTATCACTCCAACTTTGACTTTTACTTCCTCCATTGTCAAAGCTCCTCTGTTCCTTCAGAAACTAAAAGCCTGTTCATATCCAAAAGGCACGTAAATCTCTGTGGGGAACTTTTCTCTCGACGTTTATTGCACCAAATTTTGAAATTATTTAAACAGATATTGCAACATTGTTGGATTTATCAAAATACCCAAAAAGGGTGTTGGACAAAACACTGACCCTACATGGACTACCCCCATGGACTAATGGAGGGGGACATGGGGGTTTATGGTATTGTGGTATTGGGCTTTTTTTCATGCAGTATCTCGGTAATTTTAATTTTAACGTGCGGGATTGCGGTATCATCTAGCTCTGCGGTATGCGGTTTTTCATCATTTTGGCTGACGGTATTCGGTGAAATAAGATATTGTTCACAGTATTACGGTACCGTTTATGTGCGCTTTCCTTTCGATACAGTACGCAAAACAAAACACGGTAGGACATATAGGTCAATAAAAGTTAATATTTAGAAGTCTTGAGACATAACTGTAAATGATTAAACCATTGTGGGTCATTTTGTGACAATTAATGGTCGATAATATACAATAATAATATATAATATATACGATCTGTGTACGTGTGCCAGTCTGCTACACAGCCGTTTTTAGTGTCGTCACGCACGCCGTTTTTAGTGTCGTCACTGGGGAGGAGCGTTGCGTGACGGCACTAAAAATGGCTGTGCAGCAGACTATACCTGTGCAGGCAATTCAAGGTCTTACACGTTTTCTCACAATGGCTGAGGTCACTGAGACGGCGAAGACGGCATAGTCATCATTGATTGTGTGGCAATTTTTTATGAAGTGGGCGAAGGAGGCGAGCATTATCGCAACAAGTGTAAGTTTAGATGTCGGGTTTCAAAAATTGAAAAACGTCTTATAAAGTTAAAAAAGAAAATCTGTTAAGTTTGCCTCTTTACCGGCACAGCGTGTGAGACAGTCGAGATAGTTGACCCCTGAGATACTGACGTACTAGACTATAGACTCATCCAAACTCGCACTAGACATGCATGGAAGAGTTTTTTTTTTTTTTTCGCGCTTTCAAGAGTTATTTTTATTGGAGTTAGTTAGCTGTTGGGTCGACCTACCAAAAGGTTCTTTTCAGTGAAAATTTGCCAAAAATTTGCCAACTACCAAAATATTAAAAAAACATGGACATCTAGATCTGGTGCATAAATGCCTGAGATAATTGAACGCGCTAGATGGAAGCACCCATAAGTATGCGGAACCAATTATGAATGTGATTAAAATATGCGGTATCAGTATTTAGATGATTTTCGACACGGTATTTCGGTATTTGCCATTTTTTCTTACGGTATTGCGGTATTGGGTACCCCCCAATGTCCCCCTCCATATGGACTTATCCCAAAATGGACTATGCTGCTGAAGTTTGCTGATTAGGGTTAGGAAATTAAACTGAGTGAATCAAGTTTTAGGTCAGTTTTCCCAGTATGACGACCCTAAATGGAACCTGATTCACTCAGTTTCCAAACCCTAATCACTAAACTTCAGCGGCGTAGTCCACTTTAGTGTAGTCCATATGGGTATTCCATAGGGGTAATCCATGCACTGGGGATCAGTGTTTTGTCCACCACCCCAGAAAAGTACTGGCTCTGACTAAAATTCTGGTTTTTAAAAAAAAATGAGCTTTCAACCACCTGATCTGCAGTCAATAGAATAAAATCAACTGAGTAAAAAATTAAGGTAGATTAAAACATTACAAAATTTTTGACCTCCAAACAAAACTGTTTTTGGCTAGCATCCATTCAATTTAACAGCTGAAAGTGTGTAAATACTAGAAGAAAAGACCAATGAGTTGCTACAGTGTAAAGAAATTGTGGCTCAACATTTGCTTTCTTTAAAAATAAAAATTTAACAATGGATATTATAATAATATGATAATATATTGTTATTATTTTAATTTGTACTGTTGCAGATCTCAACTGCTCATCAAATCATAGGTCACTTTGAAGGAGAGGTAGCAGATTTAGTCATATGTGATGGTGCCCCAGATGTCACTGGACTTCACGATATTGATGAATACATTCAGGCTCAGCTTTTGCTTGCAGCGCTTAATATTACCACTCACGTACTCAAACGAGGAGGAACTTTTGTGGCAAAAATATTTCGTGGAAAAGATGTTGACCTTTTGTATGCTCAGCTCAAGGTTTTTTTCCTTTCGGTGACCATCTGCAAGCCAAGAAGCAGTCGGAACTCAAGCATCGAGTCTTTTGTTGTATGTCAGAATTACTCTCCCCCATCTGGATACATGCCATCAATGTTAAACCCACTACTGAGCAATCCTAGCCAGTTCAAAAGGTTGGTTTGTCTTTCTATATTTAACATTCTTTTATCAATTCAGATGCCAACATCTGGGAAGATCTAAAATCTACAGCAGGGGTAATATTGTATACCTGCCAACTCTCACGCCTGCGGGTTGAAAACTTCGATTTCACGCCGGCTCACGCTTGCGGGCCAATTTCTCATGCCTGATTGAAAAATGTGAGTTGCTGCCGTCTTGCTTGACACAATTTCCAAAAATATGTTAACTCAGACCCATGTAAGGAACGAAAACCAAGTGTAAAATGAATAAATGACAATACCTTCCTCGCGATCTCTGATTTTTGAAGTGAAAAGCACTGGGAGCGAGCTCGCGTTTATACGCGTCCTAAGACTGGGATTCGATAACTTCGCCTTCAGCAGACTTCGGACGTCTTCGGAAAACTTCGGACGTCTTCGGAAGTCTTCGGACTTCTTTGGAGATGATCGTGTCGTATTCAAAAATCCCAGCACTCCCAGGATAAAAATCTCACGCTTATATCTCAGAAAAAGTTGGCAGGTATAATATTGCAGAACCCAGCATGCAGAATGCTGAATGACTCTGAAGTTTAGTGATTATCTAAGGGTTAGGAATTGGAGTGAATCAAATTTTAGGTCAGTATAATGACCCTAAAAGGAACCTGATTCACTCAGTTTCCTAACCCTCATCACTTAACCCAGAGTCATTCGGCATTCTGCATTCGAAAACGAAGACCGAAGCATGAAGCACCCAAATCTCGAAAACGAAGCACCCAAATCTCGAAAATGGAGCAGCCAAGACTCGAAAACGAAGCACCCAAATCTCTAGCCTGCAAACACACCCGTTGCTCCTCACTCTTCGCCACTGGGGACGTTTCGCGCGGAGGAACGTCTGCGACTCAGCGACAGAAATTCCATACTGATGATAATCTGTCCGGAATCCGGTCAGAAGCGCTGATTGGTCGGCGGAGTAGTTACATTGTTTTAGTTATTGTTTACGAATGACAGACAAAAGACAAAAGGCCACAAAGGTCAAATATAAACACAAAGAATCTCTAACAAAACGGTCAATTTTTGGTGGAATATAGTCTTCTCTAGAAGAAGCATTTGAGTTTTGCTGGAGCTTGTTGGCAGATGAACACAGCACTTTTCCAAAATCGACCATAAGACACGTAAAACTGGACAAATGATATTTTCGCAGGCTACCAAATCTCGAAAACGGAGCACCCAAATCTCGAAAACGAAGCACCCAAAACTCGAAAGCGAAGCACCCTAAACTTGAAAGCGAAGCACCCTAAACTCGAAACCTGTCTGTAAGGAGACAGTCCCTTGTCAAGTCACGAGCAGCAGGAATCAAGCGCGATAACGAGTAGAATGCAGTTCAAAACTATTCAAGTAGAACTACGAGGTGTTGCAAATGCATTTCCTTCTCCCTGACTATTGGCCATTTCGGAGTTGCGTAAGACACTGGGGCGAGTATCAGATTTAAACTATCGATAAATAAGAGGTTGGAAAATGGGCAAACAGTGATTTTCGAATTAGGTCCTAGGTAGTAGATGTATGATGAATTTTACAGTTAAACAGGAAAACTGAAAAATATTTTAAAGAGTTTAAATATGGTTTTTCTTTTGTCTGGGGTAGGGTGTGGCTACACGTAGGCTACCCTGTCTAAGGTATGGGTCGCACTACCTTGAGGTAGGAATCTGTGATCGGTGGACATTTCTATGTGAGAACCCCATTGGTTTTCAGGTTGGAAAAAAAATGCCGTAGTGCTTGTGTGGGGCAGGCAGATTTTGGAAAACTCAAGCTAAACAATATAAGGAAGGACACCGGTAACAGTCAACGCTTGTCAGTGGTGAACGTGATCAACTTGAAACATGATCAATTAGAAATAAACATGGCCGAATGTTCAGACCTTCGCGCTTTCGTAGACGGACGAGAGAACTTTCTATCCTTGGCCATTTTACAGCTTTTACGCAAACATTCAAACAAACAAACAAACATTCAATTGTAGGGGCAGAGAAAGTTGGAATGCCGGCTAGACGCACACTTGAAGTTTACTGGTAAGACCAGTGATCAACGTAAGTGCTCGTGAAGTGCTCTAGCAGACGCTTATGTAGACAAAAGGGTGGCAGGAAAAAAAGGCTCAATGAAATGTCGATACCGCCCTACTTCTTCACGCGAGAAATCAATGCTCTGTGGGATGGATTGGTAGACCTTTGAAGGTGCGGCCTGATTCGTTGCCTCCACCTGGTTTGGCCTGCGTCATGCAAGACTTAAAAGTTGTAGACCTTCAACGTACAGGGGTTTCAAGATTTGGGTGCTTCATTTTCGAGGTTTGGGTGCTTCATTTTCGAGTCTTGGGTGCTCCGTTTTCAAGTTTTGGGTGCTTCATTTTTGAGATTTGGGTGCTTTGTTTTCGAGGTTTGGGTGCTTCGTTTTCGAGTCTTGGGTGCTCCGTTTTCGAGATTTGGGTGCTTCGTTTTCGAGATTTGCGTGCTACGTGCTTCGGTCTTCGTTTTCGAGTGCTTCGTTTTCAAAACTACCCAATTATTCATGAATTAGCTACAGGGCTAGGAGACAAAGGAAATTGAGAATCAACCAAGGTTAAAAAATTTTGACCTGAACTGAATTTTGACCTGTAACATATACCCAAGAGTTTTAATGACCCGTCAGGAGACCGGGAGATTGGTGTCAGGAGATTCCTGGATAATCCGGGATAGTTGGTGTATTGTTGTAGGTTCAGTGGTTCCTTAGGTCAATCTGTTTTAACCTACAATCATGGACAAAAGTCTTGGGACACTTTTTGCATTTCTTGGGTGCTTTCCAATTCACACATGTCCTCCCCTAACCCCACAAACAACATTTTTTTTTTCAAATCCAAGTTTCAACTTTATAGAGGGTGGGGAGAGAGAGAACTGCAAGAAAAAATTTGAAAAGGATGCACTATTAATTTTTATGAGGGAACCCAGAAATTACCAAAAATTATGAGAACTGCATTATTTCTCATATATCGGCCAGCCTTCCTATAAACCCTATTTTTTCTATTTATTTTATAGGATCCTATAAAACTCCTATAACTGGACAAAAACTCCTATATTTCCTATACTGTTTACATTATGAATTTGATTCATTTTAAAAGAAAAGGAAAAGATAATAAACACCTCTCTATGACAGTTCAGCAATCCAAACTCCAGGAAATCATGAATTATGCCAATTTGAAAGACTTGAAACTGTGACTCAGAAATTTACGGGACACATCCTGTACTTTTATGTTGGACTTGAAGTTCACCAAAGAAGCGGATTTTACATGATTGTATGTATTAAGGCTCCTTTTGCTTTTTAGATACTCTTTACATTGGGAACCCACAATTTATTATTCAGTTAACAACTGTTGAAGCAGTCTTAATGCTGTTGTTGTCCAAAACCTTGTTTGTGCTGGACATTGATGAGAAAAGTGGATGCATTAAGCTAGGGTTCATAGATGTATTCAGGGGTTAATGTTTCTCTTTCAAAATATGTCAGCTCTTGGATATGCATCTTGTGATGTTAATTAACTTCTCGTAAGTGGTTTAGTGTTTTTGGAGGTTGTAAGAAGTGATCCTGTGATTGTTAACAACTGCTGTAAATTGTCTTGAACACATTTGCAAACATGTGTCTTAGTTTTAAACAGATGTAAAGACGGTCTCAGGAATGATGTGAGACTCATGAAATAATTGTTTTTCAACTAACATATGTCATCTGTGTAGATCTGAAATTTCTAAAAAATTCCTATATTTTGTCCCAAAATCCTATAAATCTCCTTATATTCATGCTGCTTTCCTCGTATTTTTCCTATAAATCATTTTGGAAAATGGCTGGGATGTATGCATTACTGTCCCAAGGACTTTTTTCAAGGATTGTCTGAATTCTGGGTTTTTTGAAAGATATGTGTTTTCTCCATTATTAATTTGTAAGCCTTTTAAGCTTTTTGGAGACAAGTAGCTAGGTGACCACATGCAATAATAATGACCTTAGAAACGATTTTCTCAACATGTTTAGCCATGCATGAACAGGGCATATCATGAAACAACTGCTTTTTTCTCTCATTTGTCACAGTTACATTTGCTCCTATTGCATTTTAGTGTTGTAGTCAAATCACAAGGACAGGCCATTTAGATCACTTTTTTTTTTCACGGCCATTCCATCTTTTGGAAAATGTTCATTGTTAGTTTGTCTACCAAGCCTATTGAATTTTTTTACATATGTGGTCATATTGAGTACTCGCGACTGTAATGTTGACATCGCTGAGCAAAAGTTTTACCCATAATTTAGAGGTCCTCGTGCTTTGCCATATATCCACAACTTTTAAGCTCTTTGCCCTGCACACAATAATGTACAGTAAGTAATTTGTTGCTTCCCTTGACCGTTTTCAAGCATTAGTCTTGTTTAAAGTTATGTTATCCTTTTTGGAATTAAGCATTATATGTGCAATGAGATACATGACAATTTCTGGTGTATATTATTTGTTGTGAGGAAATCCTTGAAACACGTCCAGAAAACTGCAGAGAGCTGGGAAAATGTTGGCTCTATTCCAGTCTTTCATCAGAAGCACAAAAAAACACTTTTACATGCTTCAAAATCAATCAAAATTTATATTTCTTTTTCCAGCTCTTTTTCAGACAATCATGGACAAAATTCTTGGGACACTTTTGCATTTCCAGGATCGAGTTTTCTAATTCACACTTGCCCAACCCCTCCCCTTACCCCACAAACAACATTGGACATGTGTTTCTCAAACTTATTAATAATTCTTAATTTTCAATGAGTGTTTGGAAATAAGGTGAAAAACTGCTCATTTTTGCATCCTTAATTTCCCCTTCTAAAATATCATTTTGTTTAATGAGAAGTAATATCAAGCATCCAACACAGTGTTTCATGACCAGAAGAAACACCTCGAAGTTCATCATAAATACTTTGCTGCACATTTTATTTTAAACTCACTTCTCGGTGTTTCATCTGGTGATGAAACACTGCTTGCATCTCATACTTGATTTATTACATCCAGGATTTTTTACCAAGTGTCAACTTTGTATAGGATGGAGGGAGGAAGAACTCCAAGAAAAATTTCAAAAACTATACACTGTTTTATGACGGAACCCAAAAATTACAGAAATTATGAATACTCCATTTACTTTCCCAAGGACTTTGGTCCAGGATTGTAGGTCAATTTGTACCAGAACTGGTCAATTAGATCCAAAGGTGCATTTTTTATCATCCTACATTATGCAAAATTTAATTTTTTTCAAAGTACTTGCATGTAAAACAAGGAACAAGTTTAAGTTATGTTCATTAAAGGGGCTTCAGGATTGGAAAGCCATACACTGATTGATCATTGTATTCCCATTAGTAAATTAATATCACTAGAGTCAAACTAGGGCTATGAGTGTAAGGGTATAAATAAACTGGGTCAATTAGATTTTCATTTGTTCCCAGTTGCTGATAGAGTCAATGAAGTGTACTCTGACAGGTTTAGTCTGAATAGGGCTCACTGTCTCTTTGAGCAATCCCAGCCAAGTTGCCAAATATTAGGGGCCCTAATTTTTACATTTTTTAAAGAAAAATATGTTTCTGCTTTTGATTTTTTTTGTTTTGCACTGGGCAAATTCACAACAGTACCTTTGTAAAAAAGGAATTATCTCAAGTCCTAGGAACAGATTCACAAGGCAATTTATAGCCCTTCCTAAAAATTAGCTTCTTAATTTCTACATGTAGGTGTTCTGCTATTCAAGTTTGACAAATGACTTTATCACTGCAACTGGACATCATAATGAAAGGAGTCAAATGCATCATACATGTACCTCTTTTGGTACCTCTCTTCCGTACAAACTAGTGAAACATTTTTAAACATTCTGGGTACTTTCATCCTGACATATCAAGCATCCAAATCATCTGAATCAGATTGTGTATTAAGTTTTCTTTTAAAAAACGCATTCTAAAACAAGGAATGACCTACAATGATCTACAATGACCTACAATGATCTACAATGAGCTACTATGAGCTGCTAGGAGCTAAAATGAGTTAAAATAAGCCCTACAATGAGCTACAAAATGACAGACAATGATGTTAAGCTACGTTTGTCGTGTGTCACGCTTGGACGTGACACTAGGCTCATGGTATTAAATTGCCAAGCACATTTTGAAAAGGCAAAACAAAAATAAAGCCTGATCTCAGGTAACTTGAGAAACTTGAACATAAATTATTGCAATCGCGTTTTTACCGGTAACATCACTATTATACCCTATATTGATGGAAGTCATCCTGCGCCTGCGTGAATCCTGTATTGTCACAGTACTGTGACTTTTGTCCAAACCATCCCTTGCAACCTTTCCTGTCAGTTGTGTTTTGTGTTGTCTTTTTTTTTCAAACAAATTAAACAGTACTGTGACAATACACTGGATTCACGCAGGCGCAGGATGACTTCCATCGATACGGGGTATAATAGTGTTACGGGTAAAAACGTGATTGCAATAATTTATGTTCAAGTTTCTCAAGTTACCTGAGATCAGGCTTTATTTTTGTTTTGCCTTTTCAAAATGTGCTTGGCAATTTAATACCATGAGCTTAGTGTCACGTCCAAGCGTAACACATGACAAACATCATTGTCTGTCATTTTGTAGCTCATTGTAGGGCTTATTTTAACTCATTTTATACTTATTTTAGCTCCTAGCAGCTCATAGTAGCTCATTGTAGATCATTGTAGGTCATTGTAGGTCATTGTAGGTCATTGTAGATCATTGTAGGTCATTCCTTGTTTTAGTAACTACGCATTCTTAAAACAAAACAAACTCCACCTTTTTTTTCTGATGAGACATTTTGATTTCAGTCTTAGTTCATTGAGGCAAGCTATAAAATGTTGACATACACTTATTATTTTTGTTAGTTTTGGCCGCTTGTGCGGGGTGACCACTTGGTCTAGCTGCAGGGGCTGACATTTGATTGCATATTTTAGCTCTGCTTTGCCTTGCTTTGCTGATCTTTGCAGATCATTGCTATTCACAGCCTGTGATATCTGCTGGTTTTGCTCCCACATCTCCCATCCCCAGATAAGTAAGTATGGGTTGTGGTAAATATTCCCACTGAGATCTTTCAGTGTGAAGGTGCCTGGTTGTTGGTGCTTGCTTGGTTGCCATGGTTACCTCTAAGGCAATGGTCCCCTTTACCACTATAGGCCCCTCCACCTTTAAGGCACCTGCTCCCAAGGTAGTAGAGTGCAACACAGATTAACAAGGTTAAGCACCAAATGGTGCCAGGTTACTTTGAAAACATTGTCAAAAGAAATGATTTAAAGCCATACCGCCTCCGAAACTCAGACTTTATCCTTCCAAGATACAATACTGTAAAGTATGGAAGGCACTCCATCAGATACTTGGACCCATTGTTATGGTCCAAGTTGTCCAGCTC